AATATTTTTAATTTGTTCATCATCATTGGTCTCTAAATTATTATTTTCTGTAACTTCCAGATTACTCTTTAATTCGGAACTAATTAATTTACTCGAACTTATATTGATTGCGCCTTGCATTGCACGCCAATAAATGATAAATAATTTGTGAACGTCCGTTAATCGAGCTCCCTGCAGAATTTGATTTTTCAATTCGTTGAAATGTCCTTCAGAAGAAGCACTTGATCCTCGAAGAATTTCGCATTTGAAAAATGGCGTCATTACTGCAGACCACAGAGGAAACTGTTTTGACAGTCTTATCATATCTTGTGCAAATAAAGGGAGATAAAACGGATTTGGATCAATTCCTTTTTCGTCACCTTTGATAGAAAATAGAAACAAATATAAAAATTACACACTTAAAGTAGAATAGATTAAATCAAATTCTTAAACTAGTTTTAATTTGAAAAAATAATATATTGAACTAAAATTAAGAAAAAATTAAACAGTAGTTCTGTTCAAAATTATGAGCGTCAACAAAAAACTTACCGATTTTCACATTCTGAACAATCAAATCAATCCACGACTCAATTTTCTGAGAATAATTAATTTCTTCGTAGAAAGTTGAACTCTCTTCCAGAGGATCTTGATTATTAGCTTTTAGTTTCAATGTAATTTTTTTGTATTCTTCACTTTCTTCATTTGGAATTAGCAGTTTTATGGACGAATGATCTTCTGTGGATATAAGATTATTCAAGAATTTTCTAGCTTCTTTGGCGGGCATAGGTACATTCATACCATTTACATTTTTGCTTTCATAATTATGTGTTGTCACAATTAAAATCATAGTTAAAATGGTTTTAAACCGTTCAAAATTACTGCATGAAACTAGAAGGGCCACACATCGCATTAAAAAATCTTTCACAGCAATATTTTTAATTTGAAAACATTTCAAACGTGAGAAAATGGCCATGAAATGAGCTACGTCAACTCTTATAAATGTATCATCTGGTCGGTAATCCACTTGCAGTTGAAGAACCTCAAAACAAGTATCAACATATTCTTTAATTGACTTTCTGTTGAAAACAACGGAAAGTGTTCGCAATAAAGCTTTCGAAAAATCGCAGACAGCGATTTTTGGTACAGGAGCACCCGCCATAAGCCACCTCTTTAAAAAAAAGTCGAATGTTGCACTATCTTGAGACTCTGACAATAAAAGTCCAACTGACACTAATGTGTGTTTCACATTTATAATTATTTCTGTAGCAAATATATGACCTGATAGATCACCATTTGGCAGCTTTAGCTTATTTGCTAACGATCCTGAAGAGTCTATTGATATTTCCGAAAGATTTTTTTTTACCCGACTTTGCTCTTTCCACATGTAAATCATTTCAGGCATGAATATGTGAAGAGTGAAATCATCCAGTGCAATATGGTGTATGCTGCCACTATAAGGTGATGTGTATTTCAACTTTTGCAGTGTAAGAACAGGATTAATTCCGTCTTTCGATGAAAGACCTAAGTCTTTTTCTCTTTGTTGCTGCTTTAATTTTCTTAAAACCATTTGGTCATAAAGAATTGGAGCATTAGCATCTTCTACGCGCATTTCTTCTCGAGCAATATTGCGCTGCAAATTTGCAGCTCCTTCAAAAACTACTTTCTTCCCCAACTCGTCACGCTCATAAAACTTTAACTGACGTTTTACCTTCTCGTGAGGTTTACCGCTGGTATCATTGGTTTTAATTTTTAAAACTAAATCTCCACCCGGAAGAGGTTCTTTATCTGCAATAGCAAAAAATTCATTATTGCAAATTTTACTTTTGCAACGTCCAAATATTTTTAAAAAAATGGCAGTTTTGTCTCGAGAAGGATGAGGTTTTTTGAATGTATAAGCGCAGGGGAGACGTAATTGTCGCCAGACCTCTTTCATGATAATATTTGACCAGACACGAGGTTTCAAAACGTATTTTTCGCAAGTTTTATATCTTACCATTTCAGGCTTCATCAATTCATATAGCTCACTTTTGATGATGACTAGAAAAGTTTTATCATTTTCTGAAATTGAGTCATTAAACTGGAAGTGGCTTTCATCATCAGAAAGACTGTCTTCATCATTCTCCGTTGAACATCCAGGTTCATTGTCAATATTTCTTTGAATTTTATTTATTTCAGGAATACCAAGCGCGTCGAAAACTAAAGCTCTTAATCTATTCCTATTTTCACGAAGGTTTCTATATACATCTTGAGCAGTCCAATGGCCATTCAAACTTTTGCTCACACTTTTATAAAAATCGGATGAATATGGAGGCAGTTTCTCTTCAAGAATTTCTTTACTGCTTTCTTGATTCAAAATTGCATCTACTGCTTCGTTTGTTGAAACTTTCGGCTTCCGCGGCATCTATAAAATCATAAATGAAATTTTTAATTCTAAGATTTAATATAAGGAACATGTAAGCTCACCGTGTGAAGATTTGAGGACCATTAATAGAAAGTAAAATTTTTCTATTACTTGCTTCAGTATCACGTATAGGCTCCTGTAAACAAAAATGCTTTCATTTCTAACATGCAGAATTAATTTTTAAATATTTTGATAACATGTGCGAAAAACATTATAATATGTAATTATTATAGTAACTTAGTAATTCTCCACGAGCAACACTATCTAGATTATTTTAAACAAATTTATGAAAAATTGCCATTAAAAAATTCTGAAATTTCTCGGCAATTCTTTCACATAGGTAAACAAACATGTTTTCCTTTCGCAACTTGGAATTACAATCTTCTTACAAATCCAAATCAAATTATTGTAGCAAATTTGCATTTTAATCTTGCTGTAAATGAAAATTAAATTTCTAATAATTTTAAATTGCAAACGGGGGATATTTTTGTAAATATGTATAAAATTTGTTGTAAATTTTATAGAAAATATATTTCCACTTGGGTTGTGTATCAATGTAATGATTTAATTATAGAAAAATTTGCTAATTTTAATAATAAATGAAACTTTTTCTGAAATATCTGTGTTGAATATATCGAAAGATAATATAATGTGGACATACAAAATATTCTAAATGTAAAATATTGCATATATTAAAGAGTATCAAAATGTATGAAAAAACAAGAAATTTTGAATAAAAATATATCCCGTTTTAAAAGAATATAATATTTATGTGAAGATTTTGTACTTACTCTAGCGTACTCAATATTTTTTTTAACGTAAACTTAGTATTAAAAACTAAATTTTCCTTTTTCTTCTTTAATGCGGCTTGTCAACGTAAATTACAAATCAAGAAAAGACCTGTTAGTCACTTAGAAAAACAGGGTTTCCAACAAGATGAAACGAAATCTCTAATTTGGAAATGTATCGAAGTTTTTTCACTTCGATAACTCTAAATTTAAGCTACTTGCACAGCTCGTCTGCTGCCTGAGTAGCAGGGTTGGGCGCGTAAAGAACCTTTAGGCTGGAGTTCTATGACAGCGTTTTGTGTTGCGTTTTGTAACTAGGTCATGAGTGCAAATACAGCAAACATATACAGGCAGTATCTTAAGGCCAACGCAGAATAGAAACGTAACCGGAATCGTAATCGTAAACGGAAGAATAAGTTAGAGAAGGATAAACAATATACCTATCCTTCTCTAACTCATTCTTCCGTTTACGTTTGCGATTGCGTTTACGATTACGACGCTATTCTGCTCAGGCCTTTATATGCTGTCCTTCCGGTTTGGACACTTTTTGAATTGTCCTGAGCGTTCTATTACAATGTTGTTAGTCTATGGCATATAATCATAGACATATGATGGAGCTTCTACAATAGCTCCAAAAAGCAAGTCCAACTCCAAGTCCCTTGGAGATGGATGCGCGCGCATCGTGTTGACATTTATTTTTTTAAGATAATTGATAATAAATAGTAATTAATTATTAATTTATGAGTAATTAATTAATAATCTAACAATTAATTAACTAATAATGAGTAATTACCATCAATTATCTTAAAAAAATAAAAATTACACGATGTATTTTTTGAATTTGTAATTGGATTTCTTTAATTTAAATTCTGGTGCCGTTTGAACACGAGCAGAATCGCCTCCGTATAAGGACATAAAGGCGCATTCAGACCTTCGACTGCCTGCACAGGCAGCCTCCCACCACGCTGTCTGTGCAGGCAGTCGAAGGTCTGAATGCGCCTTAAGTTTTTTAATTTGTTAATATTTATTAATTGGATGACCACCAATCATCAAAAACCACCACCTAACAACCACCAAACGACCACCAAACGATACGAAAAAGAAATTTTAAAAATTATGAAAATTATTTAAAAGAAATTGTAAATGTGAAGTTAGCACTCCGTTATAGATATTAAGAATCTTCGATTTTCATATGGCATTATTTAAATTAAAGAAAATAACATATGCCAGTTTTACGAGGTATTCTGAATTAAATAACTGTTATAGTTATTTCCATGTTAATTGATCAAAGTTGATACTTTTACTTTAATAAAGTAAAAAATGATTATGTTGTTAAATAATAAAATGAAATAAAAAATAACAATATTGTTGTAGAACACTAAATAATCAAAAGGCTTATATAAACTGTTAGTTAATTAGGGTTTTGTATTTTTCAAATTTGTAATTGGATTTCTTTAATTTAAATTCTGGCGCCTTTTGAACACGAGCAGAATCGCCTGCGTAACTTAAGTTCTTTAATTTGATTATATTTATTAATTGGATGACCACCAATCATTAAAAACCACCACCTAACAACCACCAAACGACCACCAAACGATTCGAAAAGGAAATTTTTAAAAATATTGAAAACTGGAGTGCAAGGGTGAAGTTGGCACTCCAAATTGAAAGATTTTCTAGTTTTTTTATTTTTGACCACCAAACGTTAAAAACTAGCACCTAACGATCACCAAACGACCACCAAACCTTTCCAATTGGAAAAAATTATATATTTTATGTCTAGAGTGCTAACTTCACGTACATGATTTGCCCACTTAGATACGTAAATTCATTAGGCGCAGCGTTGTTTCGACATTTTTTTTTAGCTAAACTATTTATTCAGTGACGTCCGGACAATTTTTTCTTTCCATCAGGACACATTCAATTAAAAATTCTCAAAATATAGCCAAATTTAACCGTAAGTCATTTTCTGTGTACGGGGTTCTTTAATTTCATAATTATTTAAATATTTTATTTTCTATATTCACAGAATGTCGATTATAATCTTGAGCGTTCAAATTAATTATTTCAATCAAATATTTAAAATTGACAAAGAAAATTTTCACATTTTGAAGGTTAAATTTTATTTATAAATGAATCAAAAATAAATTAATATTGACATACAGTTTTACTAATGTCAAATAATATTAAATATGTATTTGAAAAAAAGATAATTCTACGAAAGAAATATTTGGTGGCCCTGAAAAGGGCCGATTGGATACGGATTTATTAATTTTTAAAAAAATAAATTCATTTTTATTTTCTTTTTATTTAGCGGCAGTTTTAACGGGTTTTTTTTGGAGTAATCTTTTTTGATTTAGGAATTTTGGGCTTTGTAGGTAAAGTTTTTGCCTTTTCTTTCGTTAGAGTTTTTTTCGTCGTTGCACTTTTCACTTTTGTAGTTCCGGCTTTTTTAACTGGAGACTTCGTTGTGACAGCTGTCTTCTTTGTAGAAGCAACTTTTGTTACTTTAGATTTTTTAGCAACTGCTTTCTCCACGATTTTTTCCGAATTTGACGGTGCTTTCTTTGGCTTTGAAATTTTTGATTTTGAGCCTAATTTGAAAGATCCAGAAGCTCCTTTTCCTTTAGTTTGAATAATATCTCCCTGTTCAACTGCACTTTTTAAATATTTCTTGATGAAGGGCGCTAGCCTAACGACATCAATAGCATATGTACCGATAATATACTTCTTAATGGCTTGTAAAGATGAACCACCACGTTCATTGAGTGTAGAAATGGCAGCTAACACCATTTCAGAAGTTTTCGGATGATTAGGTTTAGATTTTGGTTTTTTAATGTTGGATGAAGAACTTAACTTTTTTGGAGTTGTTCCTCCAACCGAAGTAGATAATTCAGTCATTTTTTTTAGGTTTGCTATTACTTAGCAATGACACTGGGTAATGTTACACACTTTACCTCTACGAAGGAAATCACAATATCATCAGCAACTTGAATTGGCAACGTATAAATATTGAAGCACGAACGGTGAAGAAAGGCCTTTGTAAATTTTCAATAATAATTTCTAATTTCAGCCCAATATTTTATAAATTATTTTCATTTTTCTTAATGTTTACAACTAAGATAAAATAATTTTTTTTGAAAAATACTTCACAAATTCTGAATTTACAAAACGAGATGAAAAAAAGACCTATTTGATAGTCAAATTTGTTTAAAAAATACATGTGAAAGTAAGTTCATGTCACGTTCATTACTCGAAATTTTGTTGAATATATAGAAAAAAAACATAATGATTAGATAATAGAATATGTTTAATGATCTTACTTGTAAAAAATTAAAATCTGATTTATTATTAAACGTATTTTAGAGTAAATAGAAAATATTTAACAATAAAAAATACAATTAAAAAAATTAATATAGACTCAAAATCATATAAAATGCTTGTCCAAAAAAATGTGAAACAAACAAATTTTTAAATAATTTTATAGATTTAAATTAATTTAATTGATTTAATTAATTAGATAATTAATTTAATTCTGGTATAAACAATCATAAATTAATACCTATAAAATATAATTTATATGGTAGTAATGAAAAAACTTGCATTATTGTTATATACTATAGAACGTGATCCGTTTTTTTATATATGCATATTTTACAAAATATTAATATACCTATATGAGACGATTTTTTTATTACATTACATTTTTAATATTTAAAATTAAACCTATAAAGAAAATCCGAAAAACAAAATACATAAGATATTACAAAATGATCTTTGTGACCTTTAGTGTTTATTTATAAGTGTTTTCTTTTACATACAACAGTTATGATTTCTTATATTTGAAATTCACATAGAATTGATTTTCGATAATTTCACACATGGCGAAAAATTTAATTTATAAAAATATTAAATGTTTGTCAGTCAAATTTTATAAAATTATATTTATTTTTATAAATTTTAGTAATAAATACCAATAAATTTAATTAAATAAATAGAATAATTGTAAATTATATTATTTAATAGTAAGGAAGACAAAGTGTTTCAGACAATAATTTCTCTTTTTTTTCATTTCAAATTTTGAAAATAAACTGTGTACTACTTGTTTGGACTTTATAATAATATAAACAATGAAATAAAAGAAAAATTTAACTGTTAAAAATAAAGGAAAATTGATGAAAAATAATATACTGTAACAAAAATGTACAATGAAAAAATAAATTTTATCTTATGTTAATACTTATAAAATTTTTAAATTTAATTATAAATATAAGCTAAATTTAAATGCGCTAATAGATTCTATTGATTTATTATTATAAAATAAATTGTAAAAAAACCCTATGGTTTTTACAATCAAGATTAAAATATATTTTTGAGAACCATAATTTCGATTATTGATCATTGAGATTAGTATTATATAAATTAAAATATATATATTCTATTTGAGAATATATGAAAAATGTAAATCGTGTTTGAAAAAAAAATTATTCTTCGTAAAAAACATTTGTTGGCCCTGAAAAGGGCCGATTGTTCTTTTTTTTTTTTTTTTGATTTGCAAGCGGGAAAATTAAGCACGTTCTCCACGGATACGACGAGCTAATTGAATGTCTTTTGGCATAATTGTGACTCGTTTAGCATGAATGGCACACAAGTTGGTATCTTCGAAAAGACCAACCAAATAGGCTTCACTAGCTTCCTGGAGGGCCATGACAGCTGAACTTTGAAAACGTAAATCTGTTTTAAAATCTTGAGCGATTTCACGGACGAGACGCTGGAAAGGTAATTTCCTAATCAAAAGTTCGGTACTTTTTTGATACCGACGGATTTCCCTAAGAGCGACAGTTCCAGGCCTATACCTGTGCGGCTTTTTTACTCCTCCAGTTGCTGGTGCACTTTTCCTTGCTGCTTTTGTCGCAAGCTGTTTCCTTGGAGCTTTTCCTCCCGTTGACTTACGAGCAGTCTGTTTGGTACGAGCCATTTTTGTTTTTCTCTTGAGTAACGAAAGTTCTCTAACAGTAATCAAAACGAGAATAGTATATTTTTTTTTCTTATGTGAGACTTTTATAAACTTCTCACTTCTGTACAAAATCAAGTGGTAGGGGATTAAAAATCGATGATTGGTCAATTAAGCAAGAGAGGGAGAAGACTATTGTCAGAGACTATAAAAGGGCCACAAATTCAGGTGGAACTTGAATCTCTGTTGTGGTTTTCTTTATTATTGACGTATTTTCGTAGTCGCCGAAAAAATGACTGGTCGTGGTAAAGGAGGAAAAGGATTGGGAAAAGGAGGAGCGAAAAGGCATCGTAAAGTTCTTCGTGATAACATTCAGGGTATCACAAAACCAGCGATTCGTCGTCTGGCTCGTCGCGGTGGTGTAAAACGTATTTCAGGATTGATTTACGAAGAAACTCGCGGAGTATTGAAAGTATTTTTGGAAAATGTTATCCGCGATGCTGTTACATACACCGAACATGCTAAAAGGAAGACTGTCACATCAATGGATGTTGTCTATGCTCTAAAACGTCAGGGACGTACTCTCTACGGTTTCGGCGGCTAAATTCCTTTTCATTAAAAAAGAAGAAAAAAATAACAATCGGCCCTTTTCAGGGCCACCAAACATTTTTTCGTAGAATTTTTTTATTTTTATAAACATAATTGATATTGTACTTGATTAATATAACATGAATTATTTGAATAATGAATATTTAAATATAAGTCAGCTTCTTACTGTAAAATAAGGAATCAGTTTCATTCTATAAAAGTTGGTTGGTTGGTTGGTTATGTTTATTGGCCTCTTGTCCCCGAGGGTCAAATAGCCATGAAAAAATTATATAGATTGTAGACTTCTGTATATTTTACATCCTGTAACTTGCATTCCGTTTTTTTAGATTTGGAGACGTGTAGCATAATCTATAAAAGTTAGATTTTTCTCTCCGTGTAGGACAGGTGTACGGAAAAATCGCCTTTTTGTACGTCAGAGTGGGGATGAGTTCGATCTTTAGAAATGCGGTATATGAATTTTCGTTAGTATACAAATGCCAGTCTTGAAAGATATAGAGGCAAAATAAAATTATTAAAACGCACTTGTTTCTACTTTGCGGTTTTTGAAGCATAATAATTTACATAAATCATCAAAAAATTGTTATTAAAAGGTTAGTAATTCATATTTGTCTTATTTGTTAACTATTAAAAAATAATTCAAGTGTGCAAGTAATATCGCTGGGCATTTTTTTTTAGGACTGTGGGGGGGGGGGGCAAGTAGTAATTTTATAATATTTTTAAAAAATTTAATAATCGAATATTGTGTATAAAAAAAAAAATTCTTTTTATTTTTCTTTTTACAGAATGCACAAAAAAATGAATGGAATCAATTGCATTGTTACATTGATAACTTTTATACAAATATTCCAATATCACATTATTGATGGCATATTAGAAACTGAAACACAAATTGACAGAAAATATTTACTTGAAGTAAAATGGAGTTTAAATTATGAAAGAGAAACAACAGCGCTACAAGAACTACTATTTCAAAATCCTCCAAAATCATTTACATTCAATTTAAAAAATGAAGATTATCCAAAAAATTTGCGCATTCATTTGAAATGTATGAAAAATCTTGACAGCGACAGATATATTGTAGTATCTGTTGAAAGTGACGATGATGAACAGAATAAAAATAAAATTTTGAATAAAATTAGTTTAGATTGTAAAGAAGGTCAAAATGGTGAAAATTGGGAGAAACATTATTTTCCAGTAAAAGATGAAATCAAAATATTACCTTCAAAACGAATAGAAGATTTTATTCGAGAAATAAAAGAAAAACGTTGTTTGGAATTGTTAATAACTTTAACACAGATTGATTACATCAGTTACTCAAGTTATTTTAATCGAAATTTATATAATAGAAATTATTAGAAAATGTGAGGTTAGGAGTGACGTCACCTAAATATAAATCCTGTCTGCGCGATTCATCCATATATATATAAAATCTTGTGTACTTATATTTTCTAAAATATAATTTTTAATAAAAAAATTTTGAAAAAAGAAATAAAAAAAGATTTAATATTTACAACTTACAACTATGTTTAAAATGGATTTTCAATATTAAAGGTATGTGGGAACCTCCCACGTGACCTAGTATGGGAAAATGTGTTTTGGTAGTATACATTTCACTCTAAAATGAGAAAAGATTTTTGTCTAAAATTTTGAGGGATTATAGATTAGGGTTCAAAGAATCTCGCTGTTCTCCGAAAAATACATAATTTTGCGTTAAATTATTAAAAAATTAAGTTTAAAAAGTGGCATTTTTAAACGAAAATGAAAAGAAACATGGCGGCGCATACACAGACGTTGCTTGAGTGGGTCGGTGCTCCAGTAAACAGCGCCAATTCGAGCGAGTGGCCGCTGAATCAACTATGATGTAATACATTATTTTACTATTTATTGCTTATTATTTTTATTATTTTTGCGTTAAGTTATAGTAAATGAGAAGAATAGCGAGATTTCTTATACCAAACTAAATCATTTTTCCAAAATTTTAACCCGAAATCATTTTTTATTTCAGAGAAAGTTTCAAACCACAGAAAAACGTCCTTTACCCACATACCCTTCACGTATAATGAAGTACCGTCAGCGAAAATTGCGAGCGGACGGTAAAGAAAGACCTCATAGAAAATACAAATGGAGCACCAATGAATTTCTAAGTACCCCCCTCCCGCGACTTAAGAAACGTTGGTGGGAAAGAAAGTACATACATAAATACTGCAATATTTTATTTTCGAGTCAGTAAATACTTGTCTTCTGGGTTGTAGGCGTTTAGTAAAATTGATTTTTTTTCGAAAATGAATCGCCCGTCTACAATGCAGCATCTTAGAAGATTGAGTATTTTAATAAGACTAATGTACGAGAAGTTAAGTGCTGCAAAAAAGAAAAACCGTGTGCATGAAATATTTATGCACACGCGAGCTATCGATTTAGCACTGAAGAAACTTGATATAATAAAAAAGCAGTTAGGCATGTAGTCCCTTCTGACAATAATCGGCCCTTTTCAGGGCCAACACATTTTTTTACGTAGAAATAAACTTTCTTTCAAACATTTTGTTATTTGAACATAATTCAAATGTTCACCGCAGGATGAGACGCTTGCTTTTCACCGAACGGTCAATACGTCGAACAGACATAATGTCTAATGGCAAGTTGTCGAATGGTCAAAATGTCGAACAGTCAATACGTCGAACGGTAAAAATGTCGAAAAGCCAAGACGTCGAACAGTCAATACATCGAACGGACAAAACATCGATAAGCCAAAATATCGAAAAACCAAAACACCGAACAGCCAATACGTCGAACGGACAAAATGTCGAAAAATTTTATTGACTTAACTATAATTATACTTGAGTCAATAAAATTTTTCGACATTTTGTCCGTTCGACGTATGGCTGTTTGATGTTTTGTCTGTTCGACGTATTGACCGTTCGGTGAAAAGCAAGCGTCTCACGTCCAATATTAATTTTAAGAAAGCAATTTTTTTACAAAATATTTAATTTTGAACCTTGATTTCTTTAATTATTTAAAAGTGTGCTAATTGAAAGATTTGAATTTGGCGCACCAATAGTGATCCGTTGAAAGAAACGAAAGGTCTCAAGACCCTGTTAAACGTAACAGTGTGAACGCATCATTACTATTTCCACTTCTTATCCTATGATTCCTATCTTAATGAATGAATTACCCATGATCAAAATATTTATAAACGCACGTGGTCAATTTTTGTTTTTACACACGTGTTTTGATTAATATCAAATAAATAATCTCTTATTATTTGCCCCCCCCCCCAATATTATGTAGATAAATTTAATTGTATAAAATAAAATTTAAAACTTATAACTGGTAATAAGTAAATCGACAAATTTTTTATGTATAAATTTATTTTCATGTAAAAAGTTTATCAACAAAATGGGTTTGACGAAACAATATTTGCGTTATATTCCTGCAGGAAATTTAAATATTATCGCTAGTCAAAATTGTAATGTTGTATTTGTGACATTAGAAGGACAAGAAGGTAGATTTGTTGCTGCTGGTGCAAGTGAACATGTTTTTATTTGGGATCTTCGTCTTGGAGAAAAAGTAAGTAGATTTCAATTTTCATTAATAATAATTTTCTCAATTCTTTTATAAATATAGAAAATAATTTTTATAATATTTTTATTTTAATTAATCTACTTAAAATGGTATTATTTATCTTTTAATAGTTATTTATAATTTAAATTCCACTTTTTGTTATTTGTTTATTTTTATATTTTAAAAATGTACAAGCACAACATAACCTGCGTTTTAAAATATTCTTTGCTTATAAAGGACTACAATTACAAATGATGACAAATTATTTTTGTAGAAAAATCTGAATGTATAAAAAATAATTAAAATTCAAGCTACTTTGATAGTGCTATAATTAAATTTTAATTATAATTTTCGAATGAAATTATTTATTCTATAAATTTTACAAAAATAAAAATTATAGGCTCAAGTATTGTCGGGGGAAAAGTCGGATGTTACACATTTGGCAGCATCTCCGAATAAAAGACATATTGCAGTTGGATATGCAGATGGTACAATAAAAACGTTTGATTTACGTTCTGGAGAAAATATTAGTATTTTAGTGGGACATCGTTCTGAAATAACAACATTAGCTTATGATTCATCAGGACATCGACTTGCATCTGGTTCTAAAGTATATTTTATTTGACTAAAATTTACTAATTTATTTAATTTTATTTAAAATTAAAATATACATTTTTTATTTAATTTCTCTAATTTATAGAAATTTCAAAAATTTAATTAAAAAATATATATTAATTTTTTTTTTTAACAATAATTATAGAATTATAAATTGAATAATTAAAATTATTCGATTTCAATCTAAATTTTATTGGTCTAAACATATTTATTAAATTATAATTTTAATTAAACGGAAATTCAATTGATCCAATCTTAAAATTAACGAAATTTCAATTTATTCAAATTTGAATTGATTTAAATTTAAAATTATTCAAATTTTAATTTATCTAAATTTTTATTGATTTCAATTTAAAATTATCTAAATTTTTATTGATTTAATTTTAAAATTATTTTTTTAAAATTATCATAATTTTGATTTATCCAAAATTCAATTTACCCAAATTTTAAACTACTAATGATTTAATGATTTGTGAAAAATTTGAATAGATTGAAATTAGTTATAATTTTTCATCTTATTGTCATTTAATTTCGGTAAATAATTTATTTTTTCATCCATTTTCAAAAAAAAAAAAAAAAAATACTCCATGTTCTAGTGAAAACAGTGAAATGCAGTAGGAAAAAACATTTTTCTAACTTGAAATTATTAGATTTTTATTAAAACCAATTAAATTTAATAAAATTTGTTTGTTAGGGAAAATTTTTTAATATCAGAGAAATTGAAAATTTTGTTCTTGTTACAATCTTGAATAACAATATAATAGAGGAAAAAATTTTAAAAATTCTTTTTTTTTCAGGACACTGACATTATTTTATGGGACGTTGTCGCAGAAACAGGAATATGCAGATTAGTAGGACACAAAGGAGTTATTACAGCTCTTGTATTTATGAAAGATCACAATATTCTAATAAGTTCTAGTAAAGATACATTTGTGAAATTTTGGGATCTCGACACAGAACATAATTTCCGAACAGTTGTTGGTCATGGTTCTGAGGTTCGAAAAAAAAAAACATTAACTATTTTTATGTAATTAAATATTAATCATAAACTTGGAGATTTGATTTTACTTTTTTTTCATGTTCATAGGTGTGGGGTCTTGTTTTAGTGAAAGACGGTAAATATTTAATAACCGGTTGTAGTGACAATGAATTACGAGTTTGGAAAATATTCTTTGTGGATCCCTCAGAAATTGAAATTTCCAATGTATTGAAAAATTTAACTCTTGATAATGAAATAACTGACATGGTAAGCAATAAAAGTTTTATTATTTTACAATAAATTTGGAAAATAATTATTTTATATTTAATTTATTATTAAAAATCCAATTAAACTCACAATTTAATATTTTACTTTTTATTCATTTTTTTTTATTGTAAAATTCAGTTCATGAAGGTAATGATGATAATTTTATTTTAAATTTCTTTTTTTAGAATTATCCATTACGATGTGAAAAAATTGGAAGTATCGCTAGAGCCGGCAAAGGAAGACTCGTTTCTCTTCGAACAGATTTAACGGGAAGAATTGTGACTTGTCATGGAATTGACAATACTGTTGAGCTTTTCTACATTTTATCGGAAGAAGAAGCAAAAGAAAAATTGGCAAAAAGATTAAAAAAGGCGAGGAAGAAAGCTACCGCGTAAGAATAATGGTTCAAACAATTTTTTTTCTCAAATATAATTTTGAATCTCAAGTAAAATTTATTATTTTTTTAATTTTATTTCTCAGAGAAGGATTATCAGAGATTGTCTCTACAGATCTCAGTATAAAAGACGAACTTAAAAGGCTTCCCGCCATTGAGATCAAAGTAGCGAATAATATGAAGCAAAGTAACAAAGTGAAGGCAGTCGATTTAGTTATGGGAAGAGGAGATGAACTAAGGGTACAAAAAATTAATAAATCCTTTTAAATAATAAATATTTTCAAAAATAATATAATATGTTAAATATTTTACATTTGAAAAAATGTAAAAAAAGAAATTTCTAACAAAAATTCAAATACAATATACATAATAAAAACGAATTTTTTAAATATTAAAATTTTCAAACAATTATTATTCATAGAAAAATTTTCTATCAATAGTAATTTTTTTTAAATACAATTTTTTTTTATTTGTTTTAATATTATTTGCTATTATTATTTTATATATCTTCTATGTATTTTTATATTATAATTTCTTTTTTTAATTATAAACAAAATATTTAATACAGGTATGTGTTGCGGGAAATTTCAACAGTATTGAACTTTATTCGACGATAATAACACAAAAGGAGTCAGAAATAAATTTTCTACGATCCTTAACTAGTCATGGACATCGGACAGATGTGCGGGCCATTTGTTTTAGTTCTGATAATTTGGCCTTGGCCACTGCGAGCAGTGATTCTATTAAATTATGGAATAGGTAAATTCAAATTTTTCTTTTTTTTATTTATTTCAGAATATTATTTTCATTAGAAAAAAAAATTCTACATGAATATATTTTTTAAAGTTTTTTTTCAAATTAAAAATATATTTATTTAATAAGATAATAATTAAATATTTTAAATATTAATTTTAGTTTAATTGATAAATTAAATTTTCAATTTTGAATTTATATGATTGTGGGTAAGTCCACGTCAGAAATATTAGAATCTGCAAGTGGTTCTTCGATTTTAATGATACTTGGTAAAATTATAGCTTAATATAAGAGTAATGTGTAAGTAAAAGGAATTTTTAAAATATCTAAAATTGTAGGAGTTATATCACTTTTAATTTTGATACTGCATTTTTTTCTTTCCTTTATATCTCGGTCAATTTTCAACCGATTTTGATGAATCAAAAACGATTTTTTTCAGAAAATTACGTATTTTCAGAAAATTTTAAAATAAAAATAAAATTTTATTATTTAAATAGAAAAAAGTAAAAAACAAAATTTCTTTTAGATTTTTTTTCAATTTCGACCTCTTTTTTTAATTTTTAATTTTTTAATAATATTCCTTTTTATTTTATCTTTAATTTATAAAAAAAAATCATCCTGGAGACTTTTTTAGATCTCGTGATATCGTTCTTTAAATATCCACATCTCAAGAAAACTAGGATCCAGATTTGTGTTTCTACTTTCATTTGTTTTATAATATTATTGTTACAAACTAGAAACTTTCGCGTAATAATGTTTTTATTTTTAAATTACTTGACTAAAACAAGTGAAAATTCAAGCAAATCAATATTTTATTAATAGATTTGAAGCAAAGTTTTTATTTTTTGTAATATTTATAATTTAAAATAAATTGTAATGAAACCTTAACAATGCAACCTGAAATTGTAGCTGAAGTTTTTAGAGCTTTCTTTTAGAGGATTCTAAAACAAATAGTTATTCATAACCATAAATAATTTCAACAAACAAATGAAAGTAATGATAGAAGCAAGTCCTGCGTTTTTCAAATTGATGAAGACTTATAATACTTAAAGGACGATATCACGAGATCTAAAAAAGTCTCCAGGATGATTTTTTTTTTAATTAAAGATAAAATAAAAAGGAATATTATTAAAAAATTAAAAATTAAAAAAAAAAGGTCGAAATTGAAAAAAAATCTAAAAGAAATTTTGTTTTTTACTTTTTTCTATTTAAATAACAAAATTTTATTTTTATTTTAAAATTTTCTGAAAATACGTAATTTTCTGAAAAAAATCGTTTTTGATTCATCAAAATCGGTTGAAAATTGACCGAGATATAAAGGAAAGAAAAAAATGCAGTATCAAAATTAAAAGTGATATAACTCCTACAATTTTAGATATTTTAAAAATTCCTTTTACTTACACATTACTCTTATATAAAGCTATAATTTTACTAAGTATTATTAAAATCGAAGAACCACTTGCAGATTCTGATATTTCTGACGTGGACTTACCCTTGTATAATTTAAAAAAAAAATGTTAATTTCTCAGACCAACTCTGGCATGTTTACGAACAGTCACATGTGGATATGCGTTGACAATGACTTTTGTACCAGGAGATAGACATTTGATTGTTGGAATGAAAGATGGAAAAATGCTTATTGTCGATATTGCTTCGGGCGAAATTTTGGAAGAGATTCCCGCACATTCGAAAGAACTCTGGAGTATAACTTTATTTCCCGATATGGTAATGAAAATAAAAAAAATATTAAAAAAAATTTATACTAAACTTAAAAAATACATAAAAATTGAAATTTATTGGAAAAAATTGAATAATTTTAATAAATATATATATATATTTTTATAAAAATTCTTGCAGAAAGGAATTGCCAGTGGAGGTGGTGATCAGACAGTGAAATTTTGGCAATTTGAACTTATCAACGATCCTGATAGTGAATCGAAAGCAAAAGTTCTCTCAGTTGTTCATTTGCGAACATTAAAATTAGAAGAAAGTGTTTTGTGCGTGAGAATTAGTCCCAATAATAAATTTGTTGCCGTTGCTCTTCTCGATTCGACAGTCAAGATATTTTTCCTTGACACTTTCAAGGTAAATATTATTAATAATAATAATAATAATTTTAATTGTAATCAACATTAATTAGCTGAGGAGAATGGAAATTTTTTGAAAAAAAAACCCTCTGAATTTTTTATTTAGAAATTTTAATTGTAATTTATTTATTTAAATTATACCCTTTATAAAGATAAAGTGAGAAAAAATATTACAAACTAAAAAAAAAGAAAATTATAATAAATTAGCGTGATCGCTACAATTATTAATTATTTTGTTACTATTCAAATTGCAATAAAAAAATGGAATTAAAATTTTAAAGAGAATTAAAAATTCAAGAATAATGTAAATTATTTAAATATAAAGTTGAGGGTTTTTTTTTTTTTGACAAATTTCCATATCCCTAAGCAAATCAATGTTGATAATTTCTTTTTGGAAAATTTTAGTTTTGGATATCACTTTACGGACATAAACTTCCTGTGCTTTGTATGGACATTTCAAGTGATTCAACACTAATTGCCACTGGTTCGGCTGATCGTAATATAAAAATTTGGGGCATGGATCATGGCGATTGTCACAAGTCAATATTTGCACATGATGATTCCGTTACTGGTTTGGCATTTGTGCCAAAGACACATTATTTTTTCACTTGCGGCAAAGATGGAAAAGTTAAGGAATGGGACGCAGATTTATTTCAAAAAATTATAACATTTCAGGTAAAACATTGTTGTTTCAGTGGTTTTGAATTTTAAAAGATTGAATTTCTGTTTCGATTTTCCATTTAACAGAATTTTTCATCAAATTCAGAAAAGTTGATTGTGAGATGAATTTTCTTGCGTATAAAATCTTATATTTCATTTTTTTTTTTTTTTTAGGGACACTCTGGCGAGTCTTGGAATTGTGCAGTTTCGCCAAATGGAATTTTCGCAGCATCCTGCGGATCAGATAAAGTCGTGAGAATTTATGAAAGATCACAAGAAACTCTTGTACTCGAAGATGAAGCCGAGGAAGAGAGAGAACGACAAGAAAATGAATTGGCCACTGGGGAAAATACTGTTGTTCCAGGACAAAAAGCACAAATTTTACCATCAAGAAAAACTGTTTCTAGCGAGAAAGGGGTAAATATTTTTTTTTACAATTTTATTTAATCATCACAAACATTTTATTATATTTCGAAAATTTCGTTCGTTAATTTTTAACTTAAATAATATAATAATAAAAATTATTGAAGAAAATTTTCGATAACTATATAATAAATCATCGAGATAAGATTATTATAATATAATATTTATGAATATTTTGTTTTATATTCAATTTATTGTTTCAGTATTTAATTATTCGATTTTATTTTCTTTCTGTATTACAGGCGGATTTACTATTAGAATGCATTGAATTATCAAAAGAATACGAAGAACAACTTAAAACAATTGTACCTCCAAATCCTCCGCCTCCATTACCTTTGCAAATGCAAATGTATCAATGCGAAACGGTGGAAGACTATCTTTTAGAAACTGTGAAACGAATTCGTGCAAGGTAAGAAAAAAAAAGAAACATTAATTCTTTCTCAATAATCAATGCAAATTTTATTTATAATTTTTTGGAATTCTAATAATTTTAGTTTTACAAAATTTAAAACATACTTTTTAATGGGAAATAATATTTGTTTCTTTCAAAAATTTATATATATAGAAGAAATTATGAATTTTTAAATTTTCATTTCAGCGATTTGGAGGAGGCTTTGTATGTTTTGCCATTTTCTGTAGCGTGTGACATTTTAGAAATGTTGCCAAAATTACTGAAAAGAAAATATCAGGCGGAAATAGTATCAAGATTGGCTCTCACTCTTATACAAACTCACTATAATTCAATTATTGCTAGTAATCTTTTTTCGACAGTGGAGGAAATTAAGAATCTTGCTATCGAACAAATCACCACACTGAGGGTCAGTATTGGTACTCACAATTGTAATTTTTTTTTTACAATTAATTATATCTTTCTTTAAATTGAATATTTACCATTTAAATTCAGAGTTTCATGTGAGAATAAATACTAATTGCTTTTTTTAAAAAAAAAAAAAAACAGGATACAATTGGATTTAATCTTTATGGAATGCTTCACACACGTCATTCAATTGAGGAAAAAGAGGGAATTCAATTATTTAAAGATGCAACTTTTAAACGAAAAGAGAAACAGAAAATAAGAAGAAACAAAGAACGAGCACAAAAACGAGCTCTTATGACTTTGTAAAAACTTAATCAGCAATCAATAAAGTGTAAATAATACGTTTTTAAATATTAAATCATTTATTCATTGTATTTTCTAATTTTGTTAATATCTTTCTTTGTGTAGATGAAATTTAATTTTTGTAAAATTTCAGATACAATAAAAGGAAAAAATAAGTGAAAAAAATAATTTAATTAAAAAAAAGGTTAATTACTTTTTGAAAGATTTTTTTTTAATTTTCCAAAATCCATAATTGGAAATTGAAAAGTTTTATTTATAAAATTTTTTGAATTCAAAATAAAAATTCTATAAAGATTTTATTCGAGTCAAATTCAATAATTTGTTTTTCCTTACTAATAATTCCACTTACAGTGAGTATTTAATTTTTATTAAATAATTAAATTGTACCATTTACGAGATTTATTTAAAATAAATTAGGAAAAATGTTCAATTATGCAATAAAAATCAAAGAATCTTTTATTAAGTATATAAATAATTATAACTTTAACAATTTCAAAGCATTTAATAAAAAAAAAATAATTATTATTAATTTTTGAACTTGAAATAAATTATTTTTCAAAAATAAATACATAATAAATTTGCAGAATATTTTTGAACCAAATAGTATAAGTGCTGAAAATTTATGATGTGTTTCAAAATTATTTTACACACAATTTATGTAACATAAAATAAAAAATACAAATCTACACATTTAGAAAAATTATCGCTGTAATTTATTAAAACCCTCCATTAAGTTTCAATATTTCTTTTTTAAATAACTATTACAAAATCGACACAGGAAATTGCAGAGAGTAACAAAAAAAAAGTCGCATCATAAACACGTGGAGTACATAACCTTAAAATGTTTATCTCTCGCGAGGATTATTAAAGATAGGAGAAAAGTAAAACAAATCCTTTTTTTTTTAGAGAATAAATTTCTTTGTGTTTACGTGAAATCCTTTGACGTGTGTTTTTCTACAATCAAACTTAGAAAATCGATAAATACACGAGGAAAAAGCGCAAGCGTAAAACGCCTGTCGACGCAAACATATAGAAAATACATGACAATTTCCTCAGCTGTCATTTGCAAAACAAGGTGTTTTTGTGAAACAATTCAAAGTGTCAATTGTTACTAACTTATATAGTCTTCCATCAAAAATTTAATATTTCATTTTTTTGTTTTCTTTTAATAATTAAAAAAAAAATATCTTTATTCTAACAAATGGCTTTTGACAAAAGAACGAAAATTTATCTTGGATTTGAGGATGAATATGTTACTGACAAGAATCGAAGTCTCGTCAATTTCATGACTGATAAAATCGGTGGAAAACCAGTAAGTTAGAAAGAAAATGATTCTTTACATAAATATTAATTTGTAGATCTCTTTTTTTCTAATTTCAATGTTTATATGCGAATTAATTCCTATACCTTGTTTTTTTTTTTTATTAAAAATTATACAGTAAAAGTTTTGTCAATTTAAGTTATTAATAATAATAGTAAATTTATTTTTAAACAAACAGTTTATAATTATTAATTATTGAAAATATTTTTTGAAATAATTAATGTCAATTGATTTATTTAATTGAAATAGTTAATTTTTTCTATATTACCAATTCTATATAAAAATAATTTTCAACACCCAAACGCAAATTTTCACAATATTATTTGAACTCCAGGATTGGCATAATGACAAAACAATATCGTCCCCACAATGTCGATTGTGTGGATTGCATCAAATTTTGGCATTGCAAATTTATGCACCATTAGAAAATTCCAAATATCATCGAACACTTTATATTTTTGCGTGTACAAATCCAAATTGTTGGAATCACAATGAGAGTTGGACTTGTTTAAAAGTTCAATCTCTCGATGAATCAACAAATTCCGAATCAATGGAATGTGGAAGTTTAGCAATTCCACCGACAACAAGTTGGTTACCCGACGAGGATGATTGGGGTGATACATGGAATGATAATGGATCTGAACCAAATGGAAATAATATGCTACAAAATGATCCAAATAAATTTACATTCAATACTCAACATTCAAGTTTCGAGGACGATTTCAATGTTGATTTTTCTGATCTTAGGGTGGACGATCCTAATGCAAACAGGTATTTTTTAAAATTTCCGACTTTTTTCGACTTATTTTAATAAAATGCAACACTTTTTCGACTTTTTTTTTACCTTTTTTTAAAAAAAATTTTAAACAAAATACGTTTTTTTTTTAATACACAATGCAGATCTTCTTTATTTTAATTATTTAAGGGTCAAACCATTATATTTCAACTAAAGTGGTCGCTGACTAATTTTTAAAAATTATAATACTTTGCAGGAATGATTTTGAAGTTATCAAGATCACGAAATGAAAAGAATTTTATTAAAAATTTAAATATTTATTGTAAAATATGAATTTAAAGTATATGAGGTGCTAAAAACTGTCAATTTTTTAGCCATTAGAAAATATGCAAAAAAACATAGAATTTACCATAAAAATAAAAAAAAATTATTGGAATTTACTAAGAATGAATAAATTTATCATTATCAATTGATATAATTATTTAAAGATGTGAAGTAATATATAAAATATGATTTCCAAGTGCACCTGTCAAATAACCTAATTTTGCGATTTTTATTCATTAATTATAAAAAATAGAAAACATTAAATTAAATAAAAACTTACCAAATATGAAGTTCTTGCCATAAACTTTTAGAATTTCTTTGCACTTTTCTTCTTTTCTATTCATAAGTATGAAAAATTTTAAAAATAAAATAGCTACTTTGTCTATTTTCACTATTTTTGAAAGTCAATAACTTTCTTGGAGAAAAATGAAAAAATATGGGGTTTCGAAAATTATTTAAATACACACTACATATACATTCACTGAAAATTTCGCATTGGTCCCGAAGCTATTTTCGAAGATAAAGTAAATTAAAAATTTCGTATTTTTTAGGCTATATGGACATGGATTTTAAATCAATGTGAAGGTGGTTCACTGGTGACGACAAACTTCACATTGATTTAATACCTTTAAAACCCATGTCAATATAGCCTAAAAAATACGAAATTTTTAATTATATTTAATTATATCAATTGATAATGATAAATTTATTCATTCTTAGTAAATTCCAATAATTTTTTTTTATTTTTATGGTAAATTCTATGTTTTTTTGCATATTTTCTAATGGCTAAAAAATTGACAGTTTTTAGCACCTCATATACTTTAAATTCATATTTTACAATAAATATTTAAATTTTTAATAAAATTCTTTTCATTTCGTGATCTTGATAACTTCAAAATCATTCCTGCAAAGTATTATAATTTTTAAAAATTAGTCAGCGACCACTTTAGTTGAAATATAATGGTTTGACCCTTAACAAAATTTTCAACTAAAATTCTTCACTAAATTAATTATTTTTTTAATAATTTTAATGAAATTCTTCAAAAAAATTCAATTATATTAAACTATTTTTCAATTAAAATTTTTATGATATTTAATAATTGTTTATAATTTTTAAAAAAATTAGCAAATAAAATTACCAAAAATTTTTTATTCAAAATCACATCAAATTTAATTATTTGCATTTCAATTATTTTTAATCATTTTCATAAAATATTCTTCGAAAATTCAATTATCTGAAAGCATTTTTCAATAAAAAAACTTTTGGAATTCAAATTTTGTATATGATATCTAATAAATTCTTCATCAAAAGAAATGACTAGAAATTTCTCTTATTATAATTATTATCTGAAATTTAACATAATCTTTTGAAATTCAATTATTTTCCAAAATTTCAATTTAAAAGCTTCTAAAATTTAATTATTTCTATAATTTTCCATCTAAAATTTTTTGAAATTTAATCATTTCAATAATTATAACTCTCCTGAAATTCAATTATTTTTAATAATTTTTATAATATAAAATATATTATAAAATATATATATAATATGTACATTTTCAATAAATAAATAAATAAATATAAATCATTAAAAATTTCAAATTAAAAATCACTTGAAGTTCTATTAATTTCAAAAATCTAAATTATAAATCTTTGAAAATTCAATTACTTTTAAAAAATGTTATCTAAAATTATTTCACAAATTATTTTTATAGTTCTGTAAAATTTAATTATTTTCTGTAAATTAACAAAATCTTTCTTGAAATTCAATTATTTCTAAAAATTTCAACTTTAACTCTTTCAAAATTATTATTTAAAAAAAATTTTTTTTTTAAATCTGTAAATTTCTTAAATCAGACTTTAAAAAATTATAAAAATGGAACTTTAAGAATTTTGTTAAAAATTTGTCCTAATTAAATAAAATTTTGAAAATTTGTCTTATAATTAGTTCAATTTTGAAATATTCGAAATAAACTTTCTTAATAATATTTTTATATAATTATTCTCATGTAAAATAAAACAGTTAATTAAACAAATATTTAATTAATAACTTCTTTTTTTTATTCGTACTTAAAGAAGTTGCAAAAAAAATTTCGTTCATTTGAACGTTCAAAACTTTTGGCTCATATAACAGTTATTTAAAGTAAAATATTCATTAACCAATTAAATTTTGTTAAAATAAAAAAAAATCGACTTTTCGACTTTTTTTCGAATATAAATTGACTAAAACGACTTTTTTTGTGCCTTAAAGTTAATTGGAGACCTGGATAAATAAAAAAAGGCTGTTTAAGGTTGTCAATTAAAAAAAAAAAAATTTTTTAAATAAAAAAATAAATAAAAAAATAAATAAAAAAATAAATAAAAAAATAAAATTTAAAATTGTAATATACTATGGGAAATTGAAGAACAGTTCATTTATTAATAATTTTTAAAATAAAACTCGAAATTTTCAAAAACTAAAAATTTAAACTTCTGTCGCAATTTTTATTATCATTTTTAATTTATTATCATTTTTAAAATGTTCAAAAAAAATTTTTTCTTTTAATTTTCATAATTCACAATAATTTTAGATCCCAAATAATGTCAGAAAAAAAATCGGTGACAACTTTAATCGAAATATAATGGATTGACCCTAATATTTGAATAATTATAATTAATTTGATTAAAAAATAAAATAATTTTGTTAATTTTCAGTCCAGCAAGTGTTGAATCCCCAGTTGGAGGTGGAGCTGTTGGAAAAGTTGATTCTCTTCATGCAACTGCTGAAATTGAAGGCGAAGAAAGTGAAGTTGTTTGCATTGATACACCAACACAACCACAATGCGACCTAATTAGTTTATTACATGAAGTCACACCATTGCCCGTTCATCATGCCGATTCTAGAAGTTCATTAAATTTTACCGAAATTTTCATCTCCATGATTGAAGAATATTCCCAAACGGAAGTGCCTCAACATGTTCGCGATCTATTTCTCGAGTATCAACAAAATGATCCCGATTCACTTTTATCTGAATCATCATCGGCCGATTTAAAAACAACAACAACAGAAACAACTGGTGTTGAGAAATATGAGAAAAGCATTCCAAAACATGGCGATGAAATGTTTCACGAACTCATTACACGAATACAAGAAAATCCTGGACAAATATTGAGGTAAAAAATTCATTATTATCTCCCTCAATTTATTTATTTGATTTTTATAAAATTCTATAGTCACAAATTTGAATTTTGATCTTCAACTACTTAAAATTAAATAATTAAATACATAAATAATTAAAAAACAATAAATTAATAAAATTAAATTAAGTTTTTCATTTGATTTTGAGAATTTTTTGTTTAATTAAAAAAAAATTTAATAATTAATAAATTTTTAAGATACTCGAGAAATAACAGCGCGCCATTATTGCTCTATCCAATGGGAGGATGTGTGGGACGATGTCGACATTGTGGCGAAGAAATGACATTTGAACTACAAATTTTGCCAACAATTATTCAAAAATTGAGGTTACAACCACGCAATGATTTGAAATTAAATTTTCAAATTGAATTTGGAACCATTTTGGTGTTTACATGTGTGAGAAGTTGTTGGTCACCCACTGATTCCTATCGTGAAGAACACATCATTGTTCAAGCGGAAAGACTGTAATAACATTATATTATTATAATATAAATTAGACAAAATTTTCAACGTTTTTCAAGTTACACAAAACTATTAGACAAGAAAAAAAGACAAAAAAAAAAAAAATTGTTAATTACAATATTGCCGTCATAAACCAAGTTCCGTCCAGTGTACAACGGATCTGGGGAGAAAAAAAGAAAACAATGAAATTTCTTTGTGCTCATTAATTAATATTCGTTAGTATACAAAAAAAAAAAGAAAGGAAAAAGAAAACATATTTTTGCGCTTTGATCTTCTAGAAAAATTTTGTTGCTCTTACAATTTTTCTATAATTCATTAAAATTAATTTATTGATTTAATGAAATTTATTTTTTATTCTATTTTTCTGATATTCGGATAATTAATTTATTGTTTAAATAATTAACAAAATAGATACTGCATTTTTTTGAAATTAAAAACATTTTTTTATGGTCTATGAAAAATACTAATTAATCTATAAGATGGAATTTTAAATTTAAAAAAACTTTTTTTTTTAACAAAAGTGCAATAAACTTTTATTAAAAAATAAAAAAAAGAAATGGAAATTTCACACAACTCTATCTTTGACATCTTTATGAACTGAATTTTTGGAACGTTCCTAATTGACGGCAGATATTTTCTAGAAAAATATTTAAAAGAAATTCAACTTTGATTGATTTTTACCGACAGATGCAATAAAAAAAAAAAAATTCCAGTACACATGGAATAAACATGATTCTTCCGCAAGCATCTGTGATAATTATTTATTATTTTCAAATATTAAATAAAGAATTTTACGTCTTTTTTTTGCTCATTATAAAAAATAATTCTTAAATAGATAAAAAAAGAAATTATTTTTTTATTTTATTTTTAATTGCAATAGAAATGCATTAGAGAATATTTTTTGCATTTTTTTAAAAAGTTGCCTATATTAAAAAATAAATATAAAAGCAAAATTCATAAATTTATTTCTAGATGACAAATTTTTGTCATTGTAAAATGATTTTCTACTAGAAATTCAAGTATACCTGTATTATATATTTGAATTTAATGAAATATCTACGAAAAAAGTTGTTTTTAAAGCTTTGATTGAGCGAATTTTCTTAAGGCCGTCATTCCTATTGTTTTTACATAAAAAAAATTATGTATATATATATAAGTAGATTTCACGTGTTAAATTTTAGCGCAATTTATTACATTACATTTCATATTTACAACCTGTGTTGTTATGTAATTAAATAAATAATTACTTTCTTGACTTAATTCGTCTTTTTTGGATCATTTTTTATAAATTTATTTCCTTGTTTTTTTATAATAAAGAATAATTAATTGAAAAATTATTACTTTTTTGTTTTATTTCAATCAAATTACTTATTCGCTACATAATTTAAATTTACTATTTACATATTCTCATTTTAAAATGCAAGTGCAATTTTTGAAAATTGCTTTTTTTTAATATGGAATTGTTTTCCAAAAATTATTGGAAAATAATTATAATACTAATAAATTCAGAAATCAACTCAATAATTATCAAAATTAATTCAATCAATAAAATTTTAAAAATTAAAAAAAAATGAAATACAAACAAAAATCCTCTCTCATTGAACGTGTAAAAATTAAATATTTTTTTCACATTTTTCCAAAGAAATCTTTGAAATAATTTATAAAATTGTACAAAAAAAAAAAACAGTGTAAACATTTTTACCAATTTTTCTTTAAAGGATTTTCCAACATATACTTTTTCAATTCGTACATACGATTTGCAATAGTAGGATAATAAATATTGCCATTGCAAATATCGCCATCGTCAATTTGTTCATAGAGACTTTTAATTTTATAATAGGCGTCATATGAAAAGGCAATAGCTGTTTGCATTTCAAAATCTGAACCTTCAAGACCAATGCAATATGAACGTGATGCACGTCCAAAACATGCGGTAATTGCATAAATTAAAGACGCCATTTCACTAATACGATGCATATCAATTTCCTTGGTCACCGTTTCAGCGCCATGTCGAATTAAAATTTCTCTGATACTTTTCTTTATTCTTCCAATTGATTCTTCAAGAAGGCCAATATAATTTTCATATGAAGGATGAAGATTTTCTAGTAGATTAAGTGATGGAAATTTTTCTTCGCGTCCAAATACTTTTTTAAGAAAATGTCCAGGATAATCATAAGGATTACGCATCTTTTTCACATCATCGCCAAAATAAACTCCAGCATATTGAACTCCCAATAATCCAATATAGGTTTTTAAATCGCAATTATTTTGCAATGCAAACATTTGATTTCTTATGACCTGCAAAAATTAAAAAATAACTTTTTAATAAGTGCACAATGGCGGAAATAAATATAATTAATATTTTACTTTTAAAAAAAATAACTTCAATTTTTCACTTTACTTTTTATTATAAGTTTTTTAATTATCATTTTCTTTACTTACATAAAAAAGTAATTTAAAAAATTTTAAGTGATATTTTATTATTAGAAATTAAATGAATTATATTTATTTCCTAATAAAAATATTTCTTAAAAATATTTTCCACAATTTTTATTTAAAATATATTTTAACCTTTAGCCCGCCTGCGTTTAGCAAAATCCATAAAAAAAAGCCTAAATTCAGGTTTTCCGTCAGTCTACAGGTTAAAATTGAATTGAGACAAATTATTCAAGATTTCACTTCAATGGGACAAATTTTTGAAAAAATTATTTAGTTACTTTTTTTAAAAAAATTATTCGAATTCAAAATTTCGTCAAATATTTAAAAATAGTAATGGAATTATAGAAAAAAAAATTTAATAAAAAAATATGTATGTTTTAAATAATTTAATTTTTTGAAAAACTATATTAGTTTTTAGAAATAATTAATTCAACAAAGAATTTAAATTGAAAATAATTGAAATTATTGTAAATTTGAAAATTTATTTACAAAATTTCAAACAATAATTGAATTTTAGAGAATTTTAAATTAAAAAATGTTTAAAAAAATTTAATTATTGAAAAAAAAATTGATAAAAGTTATTGAAATAATTAATTTATTAAAGAATTTTTTAAAAAAATTTGAGAAATAATTGAATTTCATGAGTTTTTTAATTAAAATTTTCGTAAATTTGAATTGCAGAAGGTTTTTTTTTAAAAGCTTTAGAAAATAATTGAATTTTAAACAATTTTTGAATTGAAAAAATGATTTAAATAATTTAAGTTTCGAAGGACTTGATTAAAGTTATTAGAAATAATAAATTTATTAAACAATTTTTGATAAAATTTTTAGAAATAATTCAATTTTGAAACATTTTCAGTTAAATTTTTTAGAAATAATTGAATTTTAAAGAATTTTAAATTGAAAAATTATTTTAAATAATGGAATTTTTAAAGAACTTGATTAAAATTATTAAAAATAAAAATTAATTTTAAGAAGTATTCTAGTTAATATTTTTTTAAATAATTTAATTTTGCAGAGATGTTTATGATTTTATACTAAAAAAATAGTAGGTACTTATTTATCTAAAAAATATTTTTAAAAATCCATAAAAATCGAAGAAGTCACTTATTATTAAAATAAGTAGAAATTTTTTGATAGAAATTTCAATCAAAACTTTTTGATAAGTATTAATATTTTTAAAAAGTATTCTAATAAAAATCAAAGCTTTATACTAATTTTTTGTGAAAAATACGGGAAATTTAGAGACAAATAGAGAAAATGTGGACTTTTAGGGAAAATAGGGGACGACTATGAAGGCTGAGCTCGGATCACATGAATCATTTATATAGAAAAGATGAAAATTTTATGTTCTTTAAATTAATATAAATTCAGGAATGTTAAAAAAAAATGCTTTTTAAACTAATAAATTTTTTAACATTCCCGAGCTAAAATCAATGTTTTTACGTTGTAAATTTAATTATTTTTCAAATATTACATTAATCTAATTTTGAGAAAGGTGAAAAAGGTAATAAATTGTCAAAATAGGTGAAATAGATGACAAAATTTTAAATCTAGGTAAATAATTTCCAGAAAATAATTTTCATTTCGTTATTTTTATACCTTGAAAATTATTTCTGCAAAGTATTATAATTTTTAAAAATTACTCCAAGACGACTTTAGTTGAAATACAATCGTAAAAGTGTAATTTTTCCAAATTAAAAAAAAAAATTTCCAAACTAAATTAAATTTAAAAGAAAAAAAAATTGTGCATTTAAATAATATTTAAAATACTTATATTTGATTAAAAAAAAAATACCTGTTCGAATGGAAAAGTAGTTGCACAGAGATGTGCATCTAAAATTTGAAATCCTTCAGTTAATCTAGCAATGCATTCTTTACTACAATATTCCTTTGCAATAGCTTGTTCCACAATTAAATCCTGACCCTCATACAAATCGGCGATTGATGTCGTTAAATAAGCAATACTTTCCATTGCATAAATTGAAGTTGAAATATTGGAAATAATTCTTTTTATCCCCTCACGTTCATGCATATCATAACGAATCACATGTTTAATTAATGAATTTAAAAAATTTTTTAAACAACTAATATAAACACCCGTTGAAAAATGTAAATCACGAGTATAATAATTCTCCAATGATTGCACACCACTTCCCACTTCACCAATAATATTCTCATAAGGAATAACGACATCATTGAAATTCACTGAAAACATATTTTCCATTCCCAACCATGGCGATTTAACGGATATTAATTCACCAACTCCCGGTGTTGTTTTTTCAACAATAAATGTTGACAATGTCTCAGGAATACATCGTCTATCGCCACCAACGCGTGCAACTGCATAAACAATAAATAGATTTGCATTATTGTCCTGTTGTACAAATAATTTTTGTCCCGATAATATCCATGATTTCTCATCGTGCGACAAACGAGCATTTGTATTTAAACATTCAGGATCAATTCGATCGTTGCTTTCGTTTGCGCAAACTATTGGACAATAATAACCACTTGCAATTTGTCGTAGATATTTGTGTTTTTGTTCAATTGTACCATCTTTTTTTAATAATTCAACTGGATAATTATTGCATTGTATAAAATTAATACCCAATTTTGGTATTGTTGAGAGAACTTCAATAAGACGAAGATACTCGGATTCTAATAAATTGAGTCCATCGTATTCATATGGTATTCGACCGCCGTAGATTCCAAATTCTTTCAATTTTTCACGCATTTCCTCAGAAAATGATCGACTATTATAAATCCATTCACCGTCAAGTGTTTTCACATAATCCTCAATTGGCCTCAACCAATCGTTAAATTCATTTGAACGCTGATCGGGTTGTGGCTAAAATTTAAAAAATTCTTTATTTTCTTTTACTATATCCTACTGTAAATCGGGAATTCAACGTGAAATTTACCTATGAAATTTTAAATTCTGTAAATATATTTTTTTTCGATCTTTATAGGGAAAAAAAAAGGTTTGTGTATTTTTTTTATTTTTTTATAAGTGCTCAAATTTTTGAGTTATGAATTTTTAAAAGATTTTTTCGAATTTTTTTTTTTTTTTAATACACCTAATTTCAATGACATCTAACTCTAAAAGTATTGAATTTAGGAATTATCACCAAGATACAAAAAAGTTTCAGTTTTTCATCGACTTTCAAAATATGTTAACGAAAAAAATAATTTTGAATTTGTTTGTGAAAAATAACGATTTTTTATAAACAAAATAAATGTATAAAATTAAATTAAATTTCCTTTTCTCTGAGTTTACTAAAAAATTCTAGTGCCCAAAACACTTTTCATTTCGAAAAATAAAAAAAAAATAAAATAATAATAATTTTATTTTAAATAAATTATATAATATTATATATTATATTAATAGAAAAAAATAAATAATTTTTTATGTGTGTAAAAATAAAAAAAACCGCGCCCAAATTTAAAAAAATTTAATTTGTTTATAAAAAATCGTTATTTTTTCTGAAAAACTTTCAAATTTTTTTTTTTCGTTAACATATTTTGAAAGTTAATAAAAAACTGAAACTTTTTTGTATGTTGGTCATAAGTATTAAATTTAATACTTTTAGAGTTAAATATTATTAAAATTAGGTGTATTTTAAAAAAAACTCGAAAAAATCAGATTTTTAAAAATTCATAACTCGAAAATTTGAGCACTTATAAACGAAGCTGAAATACGCACCGTTTATGATAAACGATTTTTTAAAATAAAAATTCTATAATTTTTTGCCTAAACAATATTTCTTGTAGTTTTCATTAATCAACAAATTATAAACAATATTTTTTGGCCAAAAAATTATAGAATTTTTATTTTAAAAAATAATTTTTTAAAAAATCGTTTATCATAAACGTTGCGTACTTCAGCTTCGTACTTATAAAAAAATAAAAAAATACGTAAACCTTTTTTTCCTATGAAGATCGAAAAAAAATATATATTTACCGAATTTAAAATGTCATAGGTAAATTTCACGTGGAATCGCCCAAATGTTTAAAAAGAAATTTTAGAAAAAATTACTAGTTTCTATTTTTTTCCTTGCTTATTAAAAAATAGGCATTGATACATATTTTTATTTATAATTAAATTTTTAAATATATAATAAGTATTTTATTTAAGATTGAAATTCAAAACTTGGTATAAACAAAATTTTCAATTAGATAAAAAAATAAAAATTGAATTCAAAATTTAAACTTTATTATTGAAAAAAATATTTATATTATTGCAGAGGGCTTTTTGTTTGTTAATTTTTCTTGGAAATAGAAAAAAAAAATCAAAAGTTAAAGATTTTTAGTAAACGAAATAAATAACTAGGTATTGAATAATTGCAAATTAGATAAAATAGAAAATATATTACAATAATCAATTCTTCAATTCAATTCAAATTTTATAATAAAGTACAGGCCACGAATTGAACTCAAAAAATGTCGTTTTACTCGATTTACATTTCAAAAAAAAGTCGAAAAAATTCAATTTCGTTCATTTGAACGTTCAAAACTTCAATCATATTATTTTAGTACATCTACCAAGGGATAAATTTGTTATTGATACGAAAAAAAATATTTATACATAGTCTCATATATAGAAGTATTTATTATCATATTTATAGAATTAAAATAATAATAATTATAAATAAATAAAATAATAAATTAAAATATAGAAAAAAACAATAGGATAGAATTCATAAATTCAAAAATAATCTCTATTAAAATTTAATTTAAATATTTAACATTTATCGGTAATAGGTCTTGTAAAAATATTTAATATAAAAAATATATAAATTAATTAAAAATCCATGAAATACTTGCGTAAAACTGAAAAAGGAAATAAAAACAAAAAAACTAAAAAATTGAGGTTATGAAGCATGCGACACAATTTTTTCTTTATAATATGTAAATTCGATGATAATTTTTGCATATTTTTAAAAATCTCTCACCTCGGGATATGTCAACATCTCAGCATCAAATTTCCCAACGAAAAGCTCTTTTAAAAATGGTTTTGTCTTTTGAAGTTTTGGTTTTGGCATGGGAAATCTTAACTTTTCTGGGAAAGCTAATTCTGTTTGATCGAGTTTTGCTTTTGTTGATTTTCGTGAATAAATTGTCTTTAAACGTGAACATTGTTGCAATAATGCAACTCTTCGAGTTAACATTTTTAACACTTTATTTATATGTATATGTGAAGTGATGTGAAATTAACAATAATTAAAAAATTTTCAATACTTCATTGCAATATTTGCAATTGTTTTCTCTCTCCTCAAACACTGCAAAAGAAAGCAGACGACAAACTTTGAAAGCGCCAAATTCAAATATAATTTTTGAAACTTTTTTCCTCTTTGAAATTCACTATTATCTCAGTTTCAGATTTAAAAAAAAAAAAATTTTAAGGAAACTTTATTTATTTTAAAGTATTTTTAGACATTGGATCAATTCACTGAAAATCATTTTTATCATTTTTATATCATCATCAAATTTAATTATTACTTAGCATAAACATTAATTAGTTTATTTTGCACACAGAAATGATGGAATTGTTATAAAATTATTTTATTTTTAGATAATAATCGAATATAAATATTTTTTTTTGTTGAAAAAATTTCACAATTTCTATTTTAAGCTTGTAACTTTATTCTGGAATCTCCAAAAAATTTGAAGTTTTGTAAATATTTTTTTACTAATATAATTTATTCACTGTTAAAATTTAACGAAAATATTTTGCCCCGTTTTGAAAATATTAAATTTTAATTGAAATTAATCGAGTACCACATTAAAAATTACAAAAAAAATAGTTTAATAAATTCCAGTATAAAATGCATAAAATTGTTTTTATAGGTATAGAATTTGAAAATAATTTTTATGCGGAAAAATATTTTATTACCAATTTTTTTCTTATACAATTCATTTGAAAGAAAAAAAAAACTCAAATCAGAATTATCTCATTTTTATGAAAAAATAATGTTTACAACAGGTACATTTAGATTTATAAACTAAGAATTTTTAAATAGGATACATGTATAATAATAACTTAGGATTTTACATTTAAATAGAAAATATTTTTTTCAATATTTCATATTTTCCTATTAACTTATTCAGTCTCTTTAAAATTTAAATGAAAATAAACGTAATTTGAAGAATAAATTTTGGGTCTTCAATTTTATTATAATTCCCATTGATATTTAGCAATTTTGCATCATGTCACTTCTGTCTAATATTTTATTTAATTCTTCATCATTGATCACTGAAAATAAAACAGTCTTTTTAAAACAAACAAAAAAATTGTCTTCTATTTATTAAAAAATGCTATAATTACATAACATTTTTTTAAAAAAATATTATTAGAAATATAAACATTTAACATACCATTTTCTGTGACCATATCATTTTCAGTTGATTCCAAAAGTTTCTTTAATTTCATCAATGTTTCTTTATCGTTTAATTTTAGTGAAAAATCTTCAGAAATGACCATTCTCTCCAATTTGCGTTTTGACTCTGCACGTCTCATAATTTGTTCGTCTATTGTTCCTTTTGTACAAAGTTTATAGATAACAACAGGTTTAGTTTGGCCAATTCGATGACAACGGGACATTGCTTGTATATCTGCTTGTGGATTCTGAAAATTTTTTTTTTAAACTTTAATTACTAAAAAAATTTTTAATTAAAAAAATTATTCTAATTGTGTTTTAAATTAATGTAATTAAAATTTAATTTTAATATTATTCAAAATGTGAAGTAAATTGAGAATTTTTTTTTTTTTTTTAATAAGTTATGAAAAAAACAAACCCAATCGCTGTCGTAAATAATAACAGTATCGGCCGCTGTCAAATTAAGACCAATACCACCAGCCCTTGTACTAAGTAGAAATAAAAATACTTTTGGATCATTATTAAAAAGTTTGATCGATTGAGCCCTCTCTTCAAGAGAACTAACTCTACCATCGAGACGGACATATTCATAATTTTCTCGCATTGTCAAATAATCTTCAATTGTATCTAAAATTGTTGTCATAGTTGAAAAAAGAAGAACCTTATGTCCTTTGGCATAGAGTTTTTCTAATAATTTATCAAGAAGAAGAAGTTTTCCCGATGCCTTGATAATACGATCATCAGCTTTCATTTTTGACATAATATCAAGTGGACAATACACCATGTATGGATGATTAACAATTTGTTTATATAACATAGCTGAAAGGATAAAAAAAAATACAATTTATATAATTAAAAAATAAATAAATAATTGCACATTTTTTTTAATTATAAATGGAAAATTGTCTATTGAATTTTTTAAAACTTAGAAAATTTCATTGTTTAATGGAATTGACCAAAAAATTGAAATTTTTCATATAAAATAATTGTTTAATTTATACTCAAAATAAAATTATTTTATTATTTGTTTAGAAAAAAATGAATACTTTCTCATTTTTGATGAGTTTTTTTGTTTAATGAAAAAATCAAAATTTGCGAAAAACTAATGTTGGAACTAATTTTTAATAATTCAAATCAACAAAAAATATACATAGCGCAAAATTTTTGGAAAAAAATAATATTTGATAAAATTATTAAGTATAATTTTTACTTATGAAATTTCTATGTGAAAAATTTGTTTCAGATCAAATAATTAGTTAGCAATGACATTTTGTTTTTTCAACAAAAATAATTTTTGTTTTTTTTTGCCAATTTGTGATAATTTGTGTGCTGCAAAAATTAAAAAAATTTAATAATTAGGATTCGAATTAAAAAAAAGGATTTTTAATCTCAAAAATGTCACTTATTTAAAAATAAACAATTGAGAAAAAACAGAACAAAAAGAAATTCTTACAACAATTTTCAAAAACTTTAATAATAATAATAATAATAATAATCTATTTAAAAATAATTCAAAAAACGATTTTTTATAACCAATTCGAAAATCATTATTTTTTTCGAAAATAAATTTTTGTACCGAATTGTGTTAGTTCAACAATTTTGAAAAATAATAATTTTTGAATATTTCTAAGCAAAAAATAAAACTGTTATTGAATTTTAATATTTAATTATTTTAAAAAATATTTAATTTCTCGTAAATATTATGATTGTTTTTTTTTGTACTTGTCTAGCACAAAATTTTTTTTAAATAATAATAATTTTCAAATGTTTCTGGGTTAAAAAATAGTTTTTTAAATTTAAATTTGAACTATTTTGAAGAAAATTTTAAAAATTGTTGCAAAAATTTCTTTTTGTTTTGGTCTTGCACAATTATTTATTTTTAATTACACATGAGTGGAATTTTTAATCTTAAAAATATTACGAAGCTGAAGTACTCAAACGTTTATGATAAACGATTTTTAAAGAAAAATTTTTTTAAAATAAAAAATTTCTTTTATTTTTTGCCTAAAAAATATTTCTTGTATTTTTCATTAATCAACAAATTATAAAAAAATATTTTTTTGTCAAAAAATTATTTCTTAAAAAATCGTTTATCATAAACGTTGCGTACTTCAGCTTCGTAAAATATTTTTCTTTTTTTTTTTGAAATTCTAGTCCCGATTATTATTTTTTCAAAAAAATTTTTGCAGCACAAAAAATAATTTTTTTTAAAAAAACAAAATGGCGTTGCTAACTTCTTACACTTGAAATAATTATAAAATAAAATCAAAGTGAATTCAATGTGAAGGTGGTTGAATAATTTTGAAAATAAATTTTACCTCTATTTCCAAATTTCATTCGAACTAAATATTCAGCATTATCATCAGTTATTGTTGTATAGTCATTCCATTCGCTCAAAACTTTTTGATTGAATACATAATTACTTCCAACATTACTGACTGCATTATTATCAGGTACGTTGCTCACTATTAATTCATTTGTTTTCGATTGATCAAATAAACTATTTTCATTGTAACTTCTTGTAAAAGCACAACGTCGCTTTGGCCGTGAACCATCGGGATTTATTTGAATTTTATCTTTTGATGTGTCAATAATTTTTTGAATATCACGGTTTAAAACGGCCTTATAAAGATCACGTTGTAATTGACTAATTGGCGCGTAAACAATTATTTCCTTTTTCGGTGGAATTTGTAAATTCACTTCAGCTTTGACTCGACGCAACATAAATGGTTTTAATATTTCACGAAGCGATGCTATCACATTTTTTTCCTCCTCTTGTTTCAATAATTTTGCCGCGCCACCTTCAGTCTCCAATTCTTTAGCGTCAAACCACGATTCAAAAACTTGCAAATCATTAAATATATCCGGTAAGAGGAAATTTAACAGTGACCATAATTCGGCTAAATTATTTTGTAATGGTGTACCCGTGAGTAGGAGACGATTTAGCGATGTGAGAAATTTTAGTGATCTGAAAAGAATTTTTTTTTCAAATATTCGTCTATTTTTCAAAAGCAAAAAAAAGTGAAGAAAAAAAAATACTTACTGAACGAGAAGACATTGGTGATTTTTAATTCTGTGTCCTTCATCAACAATTATATATCTCCAATTGTATTTGTTTAAAGGTTTTTTATCTCTGTAGGGAATATCGAATGATGTAATTACAACAGGTTGTGTTTTACATGAACCTACTTTGTGTATTTTTTTAATATCCTTGTGCATCATAAGTCTATCTTCTTCTGGACCATGATACAAAACAACTGGTAATTCGGGAGCAAATCTTTCAAATTCCAATATCCAATTTGGTAATGTTGAAAGAGGAGCAACAATAAGATATGGACCCGGTTGATTAATTTCAATAAGATGGCAAATTAGTGCAATTACTTGAATTGTCTTTCCCAAACCCATTTCGTCAGCTAAAATTCCATTTAGACCATTTTTATTAAGAACTTTTAGCCATTCAAGACCATCTTTTTGATAGTCATGTAAAGTGCCGACAAAATAATCTGGATGAACAAATTCTTTTTTCTCCTTTACGCTCTCAATTTTTTCATCTTCATCAGAACTTAATGCCAATGCTTCAGCGATATCATCAGAACTCAAATTGGCTTTTTTCTTCTGTTTTTCTTTTATCTGAAAAAAAATTTTTTTGTTTCATTTTTACAACACTGAAAAAAAAATTTATTTATTTACTATTATCAAATAAATATTTTCTTGAACCAAATAATTTTTGAGTCAATTAAATTTTATTTCTTTCGAATATTGAAATTATTAGTTTAAATAAGTTTATTTTATTCAAATAAAAATTATTTTGATACAAATAAATATTTATTTGATAATATTCGATTATTTGAATCAAATAAATTTTTTTTTTCAGTGTAAAGAAAACAAATATTCTCTAAAAATTATAAATTTCATTATTTTGAAAATAAAATTCCATGTTTTTCAATGATTTAAAAAAATCAGTTTTCTAAATAGTAATAAAAAAAGCAAGGTTACAAAAAAAATGTTTAGACATAAAAATAACACAAAATTTTTTCTACTTTTCTTTTCAAAAAATTACCTAATTAGGTATGTATAATAAAACATTTATCTTGAAAATAATTTTTAAATTCAATATTAAAATAAATTGAATTTTTTTTTATATTTTATCTTGATATTTAATTGCATTTAAATTCAACTATTTTGTAAAATTCAAATGATTTTACATTTAATTCTTTTTGATAATTAAATAATTTTTAATTTTTACATATTTCATTATTTTTTTTCTTCAATTTTTTTTATGGTTTTTATTGAAGGAGTTTGAAAAAAATAGAAAAAATTGCTGTATTTCGATTTGAACTCGTCAAATTGGTTAAAATATTGTTTTTTCAAGTTAGAAAGCATTTAAAAAACATGAGCCAAAAGTTTTGAACGTTCAAATGAACAAAATTTTTTTTGTAACTTCTTTAAGTACGAATCTTATTACAAAATATTGTTTTAAATATATAAAAAAAATAGTTATTAATTTAATATTTGTTTAATTTACTGTTTTATTTTACATTGACATTATAATTTCTATTAATTTATAGATTGAAAAAAATATTTTGTTCATTTGAACGTTCAAAACTTTTGGCTCATTAAAAAACGAAAAAAAAAATTGATACAATTAAATGTGAATTTGATAATAGTTAAATTTTTAAATAACTGTTTTTAAATTAAATTATTTGTAGAAATTTCAATCTAATTAAATTTAATTATTAATCAAATAATTATATGAATTATAATTGAAAAATTATTTTTAATTTTTTGATTTTGAAAAAATTATAAACTCTTTAAAAATGTTGTCTTTTTAATTTGAAAAACTGAAAGATTTAAAAATGAATTAAAAAAAAAAAAAAAAAAAAAGAAAATCTTACCCTGTTGGAAACAATTTCCCTGAGGACTTTTTTATTTTCAGAAGCAGTTTTTTTCTTCTTTGAAGGTGAGGCTCCACTGTTTTCGAGGGAATTATTATCAGGAGGCTTTCTACCGCGTTTTCTTGAATTTTCACTAACTGCTTTAACATCCGTTGAAGTGTCGAATTTTTTCATTATATAACTAGAATAAAACTGACTCTTATCAAGAAGATGCATTAAACTTTTGTAGCGTTGTTCTTGAATTTTTTCTTCATAAATTTTATTATTACGATGTCTTTCTTGTACTTCGAGTTGTCGTTGAAGCTTTCTCTCTGCCACTTCTGCCTCATGTTGACGCTTTTCCTCTGCCATCTCAGCCTCACGTTTAAGCTTTTCAGCCTCTAATTCTGACAGAGAAGAATTTATTTTACATTCTGGTTCTATTATACATATTTCAACTAAAGTTGTCGTTGACTAATTTTAAAAAATTATAAAATACTTTGCGAAAATGATTTTGAAGGTATCAAGATTACGAAATAAAATGAATTTTATTGAAAAATTTAATTTATTTACATTACTTTACTAATTTAATTTACTTGTTAAATAAATAAATATTTATTGTAAAAAATAAATTTTAAGTAAATGAGACGTTGAAAAATGTTGTTCAGCCAGTTAAAAATATTTAAAAAAATATATATACAATTTTCTAAAAAAATGTAAAAAAAATTATTGAAAGTTATAAAGAATAATTAAATTTATTATTATAAATTGATAAAAGTATTTGAAGATATTAAATAATAAAAAATTTACGATTTCAGTTTTGAGAAAAGTCACATTTTTAAAATATTAAGGAAAAATCGAACAAATTTTATATAATAAATTATTTTTCATTTGCTAATAATATAATTAGAAAAACATTTAAAAAAAACGTATTTCTTTAATTTTTCATATAAAATTTGAGAAAAAATGTTTCTCAGTAAATAAATTTTTTTGAACAAAAATGTCATGTGATAAATTAAATTTTATGGTATAGTTTTTGATAAAGAATAAAAAAAAAAAAAAAACTAAAAAATTGAAGCATTAGTAAATTAATAATGCGACTTTAAACACTCTTCAAGTTGTATGATTTTTAAAAATAATAATTTCTACTGGCTATGAACAAATATCAGTTTTCAAAACATTTTGTATTTTAAATTCATATTTTACAATATAAAATTTTTCTTATTTCGCGATCTTGATACCTTTAAAAAAAAATATTACAATTTTTTAAAATTAGTCAGTGACCAATAAATAAATGAATTTACCCTTGAATTAATCCACAATTTACTACAATATATATAAACTAAAATCGAGCGTTTTTTTTGTTATATGAAAATAATGTTCTCTAAATATTTATCTATTCACCTAATTTCATATATATTAATTCAAAAAAAAGTTTTTTTTAAAGTTTTCATGCGATTTAAAATATAACCTCAAAAGATAAATGATCAATCACCGGGAATATAACAGTAAAATTTGTGTTTTTTTAACATATTCTAAATATTTATTATTTTAAAAATATCATTTTTAAACTAAACATAATTTAATTCGATTTTTATATTAGTTACTTTTTATTTATGATTTTAAAAATTATTCAATACTAAAAATTTCTGTAGTGACAAGTACAAACCCGCTAATTTGGCATCTTCTGAAGGTCCAGCTTCGATGGAAAATCCTTGATGTGTTTCATTCTCTTTTTCTTGAGGGTTTTCCATTTTTTGTTATCTAAACTAATAACGTTAATAACACTTATATAAATCAACAAATTTAATAGTTAACAACAAAAAAGAAGAACATAACGAAAAAGACGAACAATTACACAATGACACCATGTGCAGAGATTCCATGTGTACTGTTAAATGTCGTTTCCCGCTTAAAATTTGTCGGTAATATAGCGCACAATATTATCTCTTGCGCTTACGTTTTACGGGTTAAATTCAAATTCATATAATATAATTATTTCATGTATTTATTTAAATGACATAGAATCGTTTATTTTATTGTTATAATTATATTAAAACATACATATTTGATAATTATACATTAATATTATAATTGTATATAGCGATATAAATCTTTCTCGCTGTCGCTTGCAATTGTAATTATTATTATTATTATTATGTGTAGATATTTATTATGGTTAATAAATCTTAAGGGCATGTCAAAGTTTGACACGAGTTTGGAGTTTTTTTATTTGCATTAAAAAATTAATTATTGTTATTATTTTTATGAAGTCTTAAAGTTCGGAGGCAATAATTGTGTGTATTAAAAAAAATGTAATGTTACAAAGGTCAAGAAACTACTGCGGAAAATAAAAAAAAAAAAAATTGTTAAACTATAACAGACTTACGTAACATTATGAAGTAGGTCCTATTTAATAATTAATAATAATAGAAATAAGAAGATTAATTATTTTTAGAAAAAATTATTAAAATATTTTTTAAAAAATGTTTTTTCTCAAATATTCGTGAAAAATCATAATAAAAAATTAATTTAAACAAAAAAAAATTTTATCTTAGAAAATGTTCAAGAGTTATTTTTTAAATTAAATATTACAGCAATAAAAATTCATTTCAAAAAAAATAAACAGTATCTAAATTTTGTATAGTAGTTTACAAATTTAATATATATTATATAATAAAGAATTTTAAATATATAAAATACAAAATAGTTGTTTTTTAAGCATTGTTTAAGAAATTATTGTAAACTTAATATAACATTCGATAAGGAAAAAATTTTTTTCAAAAATAAAAATTTCATGAAACAATTTTTTTAAATTGAAGATTAATACCATTTGCTGCAGCAGTAAAAGTTGACTTAGGATTTAAAATAGCTTTGTCTTTACTCAATTGATTGACTTGATATTCTCGTAAAATCGTAGCTAAAACAACTTTCACGTGTAATTGTCCCAATTTTGTTGCTGAAAATAATTAGTTTCATTGTTATATAGACTTACTACTGTTAAAAAAAAATTTCATTATATATTTTACAATAATAATAAAAATATAATATAAATATATCAGAATTAATTAATTTACTTTATTTTATTTAAATTTTTTAATTCACGTATATTTAATTATAAATATATTATTAAAGGGAAAGTAAAATTTGTTTAAATATTAATAAAAAAAAATACGTTCAATATTATAATCTTACCAACACATGACCTTGGTCCTATTCCAAAAGGAAGGTAAGCATCAGAAATTTTCATATCATTATCAAATCGATTTGGATTAAAAACTAATGGTTCATCAAAAAATCGATCATCTTCATGCATTCCATAAAGAGATACATAAACAGCTGTTCCTTTTTCAATAACAATATCGGTATCAGGAATCTTAAAGAAAATTATAATTTATATATAATATTATATACAATATGTGACAACAAAAAAATCAAACATAGTTTTTTAAGAAAATTAATTTAGAAAAAATAATATTTTTAAAACTTGATAAAAGTGTATTTTTATTTATTTTAGATTAGTCTTATAATTTTTTGACGTGACAACGTCTTACTCCAAGGTCTAGGGAGCCAGTCAGAAAAATTGGCGTTCATATCGCCGGCCAGAACTCGAAAACTATAAGTCATATTTTCAAGATTTTTGTGTTATTCGATTACTTTCGATCTAATCTCGATGCGAAACTTATTTTTGTCAAATTTGGAAATGAAATTTTTTATAGTTTTCTATGTTACCGACCGGTTAGAGATTTAACATGTTAGTATACAGCGCCACTGCTGACAGTATCCATTATGTATACCTATATATATGTATAATAATCAAAATAAACATGGCTGCCGAAGCTGTCACTTTCTTTTGTTTTCGTATCGTTATTCGAGGAAAAAAATGTGGAGTATTACCAACCCTACTGAAAATCCCCACATAGGCTCCTATATAAGAAGCCATATGGTTTCCTATACAAAATCGTATACGTAATTGGAACAGGAATTTGAATAGGAAATTAAGTAGGAATTATCATATGAATGCACATTATATCTTAATATCATGCGCAGTAGTTTTCTTCAACTTTTTCGGCTACGCAATAAATTTTTTTCATCTCTGTAGTCTATCAGGAACCTCTACTATTGAAAGATATATATCTTCCCAAGAAGCACGTAATATAACCTCAATATCAAGGTAATATTACATGTAAGATTCGTAATATAACGTTGTAATATTACAGTAATCTTACAGTGATCTTAAAATGTCCGCCTCAAGGTAATATTACCGGTAATGTTACTGTAATATTACGCGCTAATATTAAGGTAATATTAAGGTAATATTACAGTAATATTGCAGTAATATTATACCGTAATATTAAGGTAATATTACAAGAGAATATTACAGTAATATTATGGGAACATTTCTTTACGAAAAAAATCTACCGATCCAGGGAATCGAACCCCGAACTCAAAGCACACGAGTCCAGAGTTTTACCAACAAGCCAAATTGACTTATAATATATTAACGTTTTTTATGCTTTATGAATAACTCAAATCAGTCTGTAATATTACCGTTAATATTACAGTAATATTCCCGGTAATATTACCTTGAGGCGGACATTTTAAGATCACTGTAAGATTACTGTAATATTACAGCGTTATATTACGAATCTCACGTGTAATATTACCTTGATATTGAGGATATATTACGTGCTTCTTGGGTTAGAGTTGAAAAAAAATTCATATTATAGGAATTGAAATAGGAATATACATATAGGAATGTACATTCCTGTGTGGATGTGGATTCATATGATAATTCCGACTTAATTTCCTATTCAAATTCCTGTTCCAATTACGTATACGATTTTGTATAGGAAACCCTATGGCTTCCTACGGGACCCATGTGGTTTCCCATATGGGACCCTATGTGGGAATTTTCATTGGGGAATTTCTGAAATTTTGCACCGGAATAGTATCAAAACATAACCTCAATCATGGATGTATTCTGTTCAATAATTGTTATAATTAACTGCTCCACCGCAATTCTTGAACAGAGTAAATCCATAATTGAGGTTATGTTTTGATATTATTCCGGTGCAAAATTTCAGCAATTGTTAATAATGTGGCATTACGTTTTGAATATTTTTAAATTTAATTGTTTGGAAATTATTGTCAGTTTATTCTAAATGTATGCACTGAAAAATAATTTATTTGATTCTAATAATCGGTTATTTAATCATTATGGAATAAATATTTATTTGTATTAAATAATTATTATTTGAGTCAATGAAATGGTATTTGTTTCAAATACAAAAATTATTGGTACAAATACAATTTATTTAATTCAAAGAAAAATTATTTGGTTCAAGTAATTATTTATTTGATAATAGTCAAGCAACCGATTATTAGAATAAAATAAATTTTTTTTTTTAGTGTGTTTATGTACAAAATAAATAGTAGGGTCAACTGGGGTAAATCCGAACGCTTTTAGTAAGTTTCAACAATAACATAAGTTTTTTCTTTAAAAAAAAAAATACTTCCGGTATTCTGGTGCATGAAGTTGTTACTTTACTTCCATAGAACAATTTTATGGGGTAGAAAAAATTTTTGATAAATTACAATCGCAGGAAACTTAGCGTTCGTATTTACCTCGATACTTTGCAACTTTCCTAAAATACCGGGGTAAATACGAACGCCACTGTATTTCAGAAAAATCTTAGGGAAAATAAATTTAAAGTATTGCAATTGTTAAACTTATATAAAAACTCAAAAAAAATACGATAATAAACCTATTATGTAATAATGCATCATATATAAATACAAAAATCAAACAGGTTAAAAATTAAAATGCATTACACAATTAAAACCTTCAATAACTTTATCAAATCATAACGGATTTTTGCAAAACTTGGTACAGAAAGTATTTTGGAGTGATTGAATGTAAATACAAAAATAAAAGTCAAATTTTTTAAATTCAAAATGGCGGACTTTTCTAAAAAAACTTATTTTTAAAAATGATCAAATTTGCTAACCCTGAAACCCCCCGAGTAACAATTTTCGAGCGAATCCAATGAATTTTTTAATTCTCGTCCGCCATTTTGAATTTTGAAAAACTGACTTCAAATTGGTAATTAGCGATCCCAATAACCGTAGAATACCAAATTTTATTAAGATCCTGAAAAAGTTTTTTCAACAAACCATTTGGCAAAAAAATTGAAACACTCCTTCGAGAGAACAGAGATTAAGTTTCTGCTTATTAATTACTAACGAGGATACGTATAGAAAGAAAAACTTTTTTCTATGTACTTTTATAATGTTAAAATAATAGTGTAATGAAATAAAAACAATTTTGTGTGGCTCTGATGTAAAAAAAAATGATTGAAAATACCGTTCGGATTTACCCCGGTTTTCCAATTTTTCTGGGTAAATACGAACGGTCTGATATTATTAATAAAATTTTACAGAAGGCAAAAATGAAAAATAGTTTCTGTTCTAGTATTCATAACAAACAATTATAAATAATAAAATGAATTTTTAGCTTCTTTTTCTTCAAATACGAGACAAAATACTGAAAGAGTGTCATCTTTGATTTTCAATCTTTTTTGCAATACTTGTTATCTTTGTTTATGCTGTTGCTAATTAACAAACAAAAAATGGGATAATACTTAGAATCTCTTCAAGAGGATCTGAGGTAAAAATTCTCATATCGAACTTATTTTTAAAAATTTTAATTAAGCTGAAATAATTAGCGTTCGGATTTACCCCGACTGACCCTAAATAATAATCTTATAAAATATATTTTAATTAATTAGAAAAGACGTTGTCACGATCAAAATTCTCCGTCCGTGTAATATTAATTTAAGAATTAAATATTAAAATTATAAAGAATTACCTTATAATCTTGTCTAGTGTAACGATCAAGGGTTGAGATTGGAGGATGAAGTCTAATACTTTCTGAGATGCATTGATCTACATATTTCATATCATTAAAAGCCTCATAAGTCAATCCATGTTTTTCAATCGCCTTATTTATATCATTACGTGCTTCTTCTTGATATTCATGATTATTTGCCAATTCCATTAAAGTGAATGCCGTTGTTGTTGCACTGGATTCAAATCCAGATAAAAACATTCCAGATTGAAAAAGTAAATTTTCACCATCCAATTCTTTTGAATAAGGAAAATTTTTTTTTTAAATTCACAATAAATTTATAGTCGAAAATAAGACACACAATAATAACACCGTCCGACAAAATTCATCTTTTTTTTCACACACGAAAAAATCAATGATTTTCAGAAATTATGACCAAAAAAAATATACCCGTGTCTGGCCGTTTTGCTAGATCAGGTCATTTTTTGCTTTTAGGGGTAAAAACAACCCCTAATTGAAAGGTGATAGGAAATCTTGTACAAATAAATAATTTTTTATGAAACCTGGTATCTCGGGGTTTTCCGGGTCGCTGATTACGAATCTGATGTCAGATTTTGAAAATTCAAAATGGCGGATCCAATATGGCGGTCGAAATTTATAAAAATTCACCAATTCATTTGAAAGTTGTTACTTAGAGGTTTTTGGGGTCGCTGATTACGAATATGATGTCAGATATTCAAAATTCAAAATGGCGGATTCAATATGGCGGTCGAAATTTATAAAAGTTCATCGAATTCACTTGAAACTTGTTACTTGAAGGTTTTTGGGGTTGCTGATTACGAATTTGATGTCAGGTTTTCCAAATTTATAATGGCGGATCCAATATGGTGGTCGAAATTTATAAATGTTATTATGTTATTATTATTATGTTATTATCAGCGACCCCAAAAACTCCTAGACACCAAGTTTTATAAAAAATAATTAATATTTATAAATTTCGACCGCCATTTTGAATATTCAAAATCTGACATCAGATTCGTAATCAGCGACCCGGAAAACCCCGAGATACCAGCCCAAGAAGCACGTAATATATCCTCAATATCAAGGTAATATTACACGTGAGATTCGTAATATAACGTTGTAATATTACAGTAATCTTACAGTGATCTTAAAATGTCCGCCTCAAGGTAATATTACCGGTAATGTTACTGTAATATTAACGGTAATATTACAGTAATATTACAGTAATATTACAGACTGATTTGAGTTATTCATAAAGCATAAAAAACGTTAATATATTATAAGGGAAAATCTCTGGAACTTTTAACTATTATGTCCCTCGCGTATATTTTGTTAATTCCAATGAAATTTTACCTGGTTTTTGTTGGAAAAATCAATACTTGATACGAGCAATCATTTCCAACAGGTTTCACATTAATTTATTAAATAAATAAATAATTATTTAATTTTCAATGCACGATTTTCAACAATTTCTACTTGTCCCTAACCATACTTTGTGGTGCTTTAAACGATAAAACTTTATTATTAAAAAAAATTACCAGTTCTAAGATACGTCATTTTAAAGTTAATTAAACGATGAACACATTTTCGCAAGAAAATTAACATTTTGTAAATTGTAAAAAAAGTTATAAGCTTTTAAAAGTTGTCCCTCACTTTTAACCTTTTTGACTGCAATCCTCTTATTTAGCATTTTTCTTTGATAAGACAATTGGCACACCAAAATAACTTATGAGAAATTAAAGTTCAAGTCATTAGAATTATTTTGAGACATATTAAATTGATGTGCCTCGTGTCTTAAAAAAATTATTGTAATTTTAATAACAGAAAACACGTGTGTACAAAATGAGAATTTTATTTTAAATAAATGTTAAAATTATTAACCAAATTTTATCATTTTTAAAAAATTGTAACTTCACAGTAATTTCCTTTCCATTGTTTTTCATTCCAAAATCAACCACCTGTTGAATACTTTTCTGTTTTAGGTTAACAATAATTTGCAATTTTAAATAATTAATAACTTTTTTAAGACAAAAAATTTTATCTGTCCACTTATATAATTTGAAATCTTCGTACTTGAAGTTTATGTTGACAGAGTTTCAATACTGTGCTCGAAAAAAAGAATTTTTTTTTTCTTTTATTGAAAAGTTAAAAGTTCCAGAGATATGCCCATAAGTCAATTTGGCTTGTTGGTAAAACTCTGGACTCGTGTGCTTTGAGTTCGGGGTTCGATTCCCTGGATGGGTAGATTTTTTTCGTAAAGAAATGTTCCCATAATATTACTGTAATATTCTCTTGTAATATTACCTTAATATTACGGTATAATATTACTACAATATTACTGTAATATTACCTTAATATTAGCGCGTAATATTACAGTAACATTACCGGTAATATTACCTTGAGGCGGACATTTATATTACGAATCTTACATGTAATATTACCTTGATATTGAGGTTATATTACGTGCTTCTTGGGAGGTTTCATAAAAATTATTTATTTGTACAAGATTTCCTATCACCTTTCAATTAGGGGTTGTTTTTACCCCTAAAAGCAAAAAATGACCTGATCTAGCAAAACGGCCAGACACGGGTATCTTTTTTTTGGTCCTAGTTTCTGAAAATCATTGATTTTTTCGTGTGTGAAAAATCGTGTCGGACGGTGTAATATATAATATTAAATAAGACGCATGAATATTAATTATTCGAATTATTATTGAACAAAAATTCAATTTAACCAAATTTCTTCATTTACTCGACAGAATAGTCATTTAAAAAATTGTTATTTTACAAAAAGAATATTAGGATTAAATATTCTTATATCGACGAATTTTTAATTTTGCACAATTTTCAATCGTCCAAAATAAATAACTGTCAGAAAATTTAGAATTAAAAATTTTCTTGATATTGAACCAGAAATACCATACGAGTTTTCATTTTTTTTTTATTATTGTATAAATTTAATGTATACTTACTGAAGTCTGAATTCTGTTCATCGTTCTTCATTTTAATTAAAGAATCAATGAAATCTCCTCTTTTCTCTTTGGATTCTTCTCTTGATTTTAATGCATTCCAAAAGACGGTTTTTACAAAATCAGGTTTTACAAATACTCCCCCACCATAAAATTCAATTATTTCTGGTATAAAGAAAACTGCTATTAATGCTGTCATTCTTTTCATTCCTTGAAAGAAATCCATGACTGAAAAAAGTAATTTATTCCTTCTGCTATTATAATAAACTATTATTTGCATTCTTGAATTAATTTTATATTAATAGATACTGAAATTAATTATTTAAAAAAAATAAGACTTACATGCATGTGAAAATTCAGTATTCAAACCACGAAATGAGTCCGTTTTAGTTCCAAAAGCAATTGATGCTGTTAAATCAGTACAATGTTTGAGACTTAAATTCTGTGCATCGGCATTTTTAATTCCATTTTCATCGGTTCTTTGATTTTCCAAATAGTGCATTAATGGTTCTCCAGTGTCCATCATTAATGGTAGCATTTCCTTTAATTTACCCCTCGTCAATGTTGGTGTAATTTTTGATCTCACATATTTCCATGTTGGATTTTTTAAACCAAACAAATTTTTCATTCCAGTACTGTCCTTTTGTTTGGAGCCAGCAAAATGACGATCAGAAAAATTTTCAAAATCCGTCACAAACATTTGCTTTATTATATCGGGATCACGAATAAGAATGCATGGCTTATGAAAAATGTAGAATCCTAAAACGGTAGCATTTGATTTTGCAGCTTTATGTAATTGTCCAAGAAACCATCCCGGTGCTTTACGAAATAGTAATGCTTCCTTGAAATTTCCAAAAATTGCATCTGTTGGCAATGATTCAACTCCACGTCTTTTCCAATAGGACAATTTAAATTTGGCATATAGTCGAAATAAAATGACAATAGCTATTAGAAATGGTACAATTGCAGAAAGAAACGCCATTCTTGCATGTAAATGCGCAAAAAAAAGTAAATTTTTATCAATAAGGAAAGAAGCTTTTATATCAAAAGATTGTTGGCATATAAAAAGATGAGGGAACGAATAGAGGAAATTTGTTTATTTAAATTTTTTTTTCTTTATAATGTGAAAAAAGTCTTCTCTTTAAAAAAAAAACTATTTATAAAAAATTATCTAATTCGAATATTTTTCCCACAAGTTGTTTTTAAGTATTTATAATGGAATTAATTTAGATAGCACACGTATAAGCTTTGTGCAATTTGCATTTCCGATTTTTTGAAAACTTTTTTTTCTTTTAGTACTAATTGAGACTAGCTTTCATGTTTTTTTTTTAATTTTTTTTAGCAAGCCATTTGATTTTTTAAAAATTTCAGTATTTTAAAGATAAAAAGTCATTTTCATTATTGATGTACTGATCGATTTTTTCAAAATTTTTTATTAAAAAAAAAACATCAATTTTAAGTTTTTCTTAAGAAAATTAAAACGCAGTTAAATTGAAGGGGTCAACAATTTTTCAAAATATGTATACCAAGCAAATTTTCCTTATTTTAACTAAAGAAGGAAAAAAAATTCTTAAAACAACACAGACATTTATTTGTAAATTTCTTATTATATATGAGTTTTGTAAACATTCATATATTACTATTTTTATTTTAAACAAATATAAATTACTGTTCTACGATTTTGGTAATCAGTACACATAAAAATACATAAATAAACGTATATAGGATAGAAAAAAAAACCGGGGGTATTTTAAAAAAAATTCAAAATTTCGAAAATTTTAAAAAATTCCATAAATATTGAAAAAATTGTTTGCCCATGACCGGACGAGGCTTAGAATTTTTGTAAAAAGAAGTTTTTTTTTAAATTTTTCAAAAAAAAAAAAAAAACCAAACGCTACATACATTTTTAAAAATAAAATTTCAATTTTTAAATTGCAAAAAATATACCTCAGAGGCATTATCTGAACAGTACTCTACAAGAAATGTTTCTTTTAGACCAAAACAAATATACATAAAAAAGCGAGTTGAACCAAGCAGATATTTACTATGCATTAAGTAAATATTAAACAATTGTGAAAATTTTAAATTACATATGCGCAATAATAAAAATTATTTATATAACCACCGAAGAAATGATGTTATAAATTTAAGAATATCTAATCTTGGCTTACATATTTAAAAATATTTAAGAAACACAATTTTAAAAATAAAAAAAAAATCTATAAATCATAATAAATATAATAATAAATAAATTAATTAATTCAACGGAATATTAACAAAAAATGTTTTTATTGAAAGTATATACATTTTTTTATACAAAAGCGTAATCTAATGCATATATTAAAAGACAAATTACTTCTTTTTTGTACACATACAATTAAAAAATTTAAATATTTGATTAAAAACTTTGAACAATAAAATAAAATTAATAAAAACTCAGTACTCTTTCTTTGAACTAAATAAATAATCTTACTAAAGGTATCTAACAATTTTTAAGGGGAGGGACCGGTAAAATTTCAATTCATCGAAATTAATGTTTTTAAGGGTTGTCAATTTTTTTTCTGGCATTATTTGGGATCTAAAATTATTGTGAATTATCAAAATTTAAAAAAAAAATTTTTTTTCATTTTTTTTTTTTGCTTTAAAAATTAGATTACTATCTGTAGAATATGATCCTGCATTACTTATCTATAATTAGATGTATGAATGTATATAGTAATTATAAGTTTCGCACTTCAGATACAACCAAATGGGTCAGTCCACTGACTTTCGTCTAATAGTGGTTGCGACCAAATTTTAAAAAAATCTAGTTTTAATATATATGTGAAACTCGATGATTCCCTGATTTCATTAACCATAATATTATGGTAAAAATTTTATTCCCTTTAAAAATATTAAATATCAAAAGTAGGAGGTTCACAATGTGATTTTGTAACCTTAAATTTTTCAATTTTTTTAAAAACGCTATTATTAAAAAACTATTAAAAATTAGATGTTGGAACTCACCAAAAACATAAATCACTTTATTCTGCACAGAGGAACGAAAGAATTATTGCAAAAATTTATTATTTTTGGATGATATACGATTTTAAAAAAAATTTTATTTAAATATTCTCAAGATTTTTATTTACTTATAACTTTTTTGTCGGTGCTCCGAAAAAATTGAGGTTTTGCACAAAGATTTTTTATAATATTTTTTACCTTCTATTAAAATCTTACGAAGGTGTTTTGCTTCGTTTTGGAGATATTAATTTTCAAAATTTTTTATTTAAAAAGGTTAATTAAAAGACTTGAAGTTAACTAACCAATTTCAAATCGCTAGATTTTAATATATTTTTATAAAAAATGAAGCAGTTTGAATTTGGTTAGTTAACTTCAAGTCTTTTAATTAACCTTTTTAAATAAAAAATTTTGAAAATTAATATCTCCAAAACGAAGCAAAACACCTTCGTAAGATTTTAATAGCAGGTAAAGAATATTATAAAAAATCTTTGTGCAAAACCTCAATTTTTTCGGAGCACCGACAAAAAAGTTATAAGTAAATAAAAATCTTGAGAATATTTAAATAAATTTTTTTTAAAAATCGTATATCATCCAAAAATAATAAATTTTTGCAATAATTTTTTTATAAAGCTTATATTGTGTACTTTAAGATATGCTTAATTAAAAAATTATTAATAAATTAATTGTATTTCAATTTCCCATAGTATATTACATGTTTTAAATATTCAATCTCACTTTTTAAATATAATTATTTAATAATTTAACTCAAAATTATGTATTTTTCGGAGAACAGCGAGATTCCTTGTACCCTAAACTATCATCCCTCAAAATAGACAAAAATCTTTTCTCAGTTTAGAGTGAAATGTATACTACCAAAACACATTTTCCCATATTAGGTCACGTGGGAGGTTCCCACATACCCTTAATGTTTATCCTTCAATTTGATTTTCTCTTATTTAATACTTTTTAAGTTCATAACTGGGCCGTCGGAAAGTAAAATTCAGGGACAATTAAACTGAAAAAAAAACATTTTAAATTGAAATGAAGCATTTTTTTATTTTCTTTTTTTTTAATATTACAAGCGACTCTGCACATTACGAACAACATAGGTTTCTCCAATCAAAAGACAATTTTTGTTAAAGGCAATTTTCAAAAAAAAAAAATTTTTTTTTTTTAAAGAATTAATTTAACTCTCAAATCAACAATTTTCCCAGAAACTCTGTGCATATTTTCAATTTCAATAAATCATCAAATGTACAATAATCTTTCATTTCAAAAAAAAAAAAAAATAAATAAAAATAATTAAAAATTATAAATAATTTGTTAAAATATATTCATAATTCGACTATTTAAAAAATTGTTGTTTAAAATTTATCCTTATTTTTTTTTAAAAAAATTGTGCATTCGTGAGAGAGTTAAACTAAATCTTCATCTAATATAATTTTTACAGTTAAACATCAGATATTACATTATATATCTTATTTTCAATTTTCGATTATCGAAATTTGACAATTTTTTTACTCTTTGTTATCTAAAATGTTATTTGCATATTAAATACTTAAAAATTAGATATTTGACATTTAAATAATACAATCACTTATTCTACAATTCTTATTGCTAAATTATCATTATATAATTGAGAAGAAAAAAAATTTAACTATTCTCTGAACAATTAAACAAATTGCCAAAGAATCTTGTCCTCCCTTAAATCAAAAATAACAACCGAAAATATATCGGTAATTGAATATTCTATTATCAACGATACATTTACAAAAAAAAAAAAAAAAAAAAAAAATTTTGTATAATTAACAAGAAATTTGCACAGCTTTTTTTTATTTACAACCTTAACCACCATTTATTTATTTTTCTCTTTAATCATTTCGTTACGTTTCTCTTTTTTTCCAAACACGAAAAATGGTGGCAAAAACGTTTCACGGGAGGAATGTGTATAGAAATGATGTGTATATGTTTTGATGATAGATACTGCAATGAATTCATTTTGAGAAAAAAATAGTCACCTATTTTTATTCTAAAAAAAATTTTATAATCGGTTATCTTTTTTCTTTTTGCAGTCTTTGTTCATTTTTTTAGGTGTATTATTTCCAATCTTAAATAATCAACTAAAGTCTTTATATTTTATTAAATAAAGATCTTCAATTTTCTATTTTAATTGAAGAAGAAGAAGAAAAAGAAGAAATAACCGAGCATTCAAAAGAATGTGCTAATTTGATTTATAATTCTAATAATTTACAGAATTTGTGAAAACTGTTGCTTTCTCGCTTTATGGAATGTTTTTTTTTATTTCATTAAATATTTTCAATAAGAAGTAAATTTTATTTAAAAAAAAAAAATACTTCTTGTCGATGTAAGTTTTATTTTCTCTTTCTTTTCTATTGTGAATCTGGTGGATTCTGCGGTTGTTGAGCTTGTTGAGTGTGTGTTGGATGGGCGACAGTTTGAAGTCTTACTTGACTTGGTCCGGGACTACCTCTCGTTGTCACTATTGGCTTCCCTTGAATTGGACTTGGTTGTCGTAGTTGTGCACCGCTTGCAGCCACAACTTGAATTGTTTGCTTCAATGATCTTGAAGCAACGGGAATCACTCGTGTTTGTAATGGTGATTTTGCAAGAACCACTTGACCCGGTTGAGAGACAACAGTCTGTCCTGTCGAGACCTAAAAAAAAATCATTTTTTTCATTTTTTGCTATTTCTTTCTTCAAAAGCAAGAGGAAAATTATTGTGACATTAAAAAGAAAGTGAACCCCAAAATATCGTTGTGATTACTTGAAAAATTTTATTATTTCATAAAAAAATAATAATTGTAAAATTAAAAAGTAAGTAGATACATAGAAAGCAAGAAATTTATTTATAAATAAAAAAAATGAAATCATTCAAATTAAAAATAATAATTTTTTTTATGTTTCGATGTGAACAATATCGAATTTCTATTTAACCAGATTTTATAAAGTAAAAAATTCATAATGAATGGAATTTTCACACCAAAATTTTTTTCTTTAATTAATTTTTCATTTAATTAAATTTTTATTTATCTGTTTTTTCATATACATACTTTAGTGAATTTTTATTTAACAGAATTTTTGATTAACAAAATTTATATATAACGGAATTGTCATAGATATTTATTTCAAAGAATTTCTAATTAATGGAATTTTTATTTAATTGAATTTTTGTATTGATTTAATTTTACTTATCTGAATTTTTTATTTAATCGAATTTTCATTTATCTTAATTCTTATTTAGCAGAACTTTTATCGACTTAAAGGTACAAAAAAAGTATCTTTTAAAAAATTTATCTACGGTCAATTCTTCATAAATTGAGTCAAATAATTAAAATAAAAGTTTTAAAATAAATATTTTTTCAAAAATTATTCAAAAACTAAATTTGTTTTATGTACTACTTTATCATATAAAAACTCAATAACAAACCAAGTATTTGTGATAAATAGAATAAAATTCTTTATTAAGAACAATTAATGATAATATTTTTAAAAAATGTTATTTAGAAAAATTTAAGAATTTAACTGAGAAAAATTTTCAAGATCCTTAGGTTAAAAAAAAATCAAAATTCTTTTTTCTAAACTATTTTTAAGTTTTATTTATTTGTTTATTAATTTAAAATAAATTTATATAAAATTTTTTCAGATTTTCAATAAAATTTTTGAATTGAAATTGTCACCAACTTTGAAAATCAGTTTTATAAAAACTTATATTTAAAAGGTCAATTCCTGGGAAATTGTTAAGTCAAATAATGAAAATATTTTTCAAGTTAGAAAAATTTTCAAGATTTAAACTCAGAAAAATTTTAAACAGGAATCTAATTCAAAATTAAATTTTTAAAAATTATTCAAAACTAATATTTTTATGTCCTTCTTTATCATATAAAAATTCAATAAATAAATCGAAATAAATCTTATTTTATCAAAAAAAAAAAAAAAAAAAAGTTGCATTCATTGAAAAAAGCAGGCCTTGGATCAACTTTAAGACACAAAAAAAGTCGTTTTAGTCGATTTATATTCCAAAAAAAGTCGAAAAAGTAGATTTTTTTAAACAAAATTTAATTTGTTAATGGATATTTTAGTTTAAATAATTAATGTTATTAGATATTAAATTCAATTTATTAATTCTGTAATGAGAATAATTCTATAAAAATATTATCAAGAAAATTTATTTCGAATATTTCAGAATCGAACTAATTGTAAGGCAAATTTTGAAAATTTTATTTAAGTAGGAAAAATTTATAAAAAAAATTCTTAAAGTTCCATTTTTATAATTTTTTGAAGTCTGATTTAAGCAATTTTATCGAATTTAAAATTTTGTCATAGTTTTTAGTTTTGATGGTCAAAAAAAATTTCAGTCAATACAGATTATTAAATACAAATTTTTTTAAATAATAATTTTGGAAGAGTTAAAATTAAAATTTTTAGAAATAATTGAATTTCAAAAGATTTGATTAATTTTCAGACAATAATTAAATTTTACAGAACTAAAAATAATTTGTCAAATAATTTTAGATAACATTTTTTAAAAGTAATTGAATTTAAAAATATTTACAATTTAAATTTTTAAAATTAATAGAACTTCAAGTGATTTTTAACTTAAAATTTTTTATGATTACATTAAAAAAATTTATTAGAAATTGCAGAGAAAAATACAATAATTTGAAAACTTTTTAAGCGCAAAATGCTTTCAGATAATTGAATTTTCAAAGAATATTATTAAAATCATTAAAAGTAATTGAAATTTTTAAAAATAATTAAATCTCAAGTCATTTTGAATTAAAAATTTTTGGTAATTTTATATGATAATTTTTTTTTTTTAATTCGAAACAATTATTAAATTTCATAAAAATTTTAATTAAAAAATAGTTTAAGATTATTGAAATTGTGAAAAATTTCATTAAAATTATTAAAAATAATTAATTCAGTGAAGAAGTTTTGTTAAAAATTTATTAAATAATTAAAATAAAGAAAATCTATAAAGAAGATCTGCATTGTATACTAAAAAAATGTATTTTGTTTAAAAATTTTGAAAAAAAAAAATATAAAAAAAAGACGAATTTAATTAAAATAAGTCGAAAAAAGTCGTATAATCCAAGGCCTGTTGAATTTGTATCAATTTATTAATTCCAGTTTATAAAATTTTGCTAAATAAAAATGAATTTAATTATAAGATTCGTTTCACTGAAAATTTGAACTATTTAATGAAATTACTGAAATAATGAACTAATAAACCGTATTATGTAAGAGAACATTTTTCACCAATAGAGACTAAAATTCAAAAATTTCACGATGATTTCAACATTTAAATTTCAACTAAATTTAAAACAGAAAAGTTGTATTGTCAACTTTGAAATTTTCTTGATTTAAATGTAGGAAATCAAATTTTCCGAACGATATTTCATAAAATTCCAATATTTCCAGGTTTTCCATAACTAAAAAAAATTTCCCTGACAAATTGTAAATTTTCCAGGTCTGTGTCAACTCTGCCAAAGAATTTTAGCAGGCGGAAGCCAAGGTATGCAAATTTCCCAAAATTCTTACGCAAAAAAAATATTATAATAATAATAATAATAAAAGAAAATAAAACTCACGTGACTGAATTGTTGAACCGTCGACGGTTGAACTTGCTTCATAACTTGTTGAAGATGTTGAACAGTCATTGTCGTTGGTATCGATTGTTTTTGTACAATTAATTGCGTTGGTACGCCACCTTTGCCAGTGACTTGTGCCAATTGTGCAACTTTTTGACCACCGGGCAATTTTCTTTGAGCAAGCATTTGTGGATGTAATTGTAATTGACGAATTTGTTGCGATGTCGCAGCGCGCACTCCCATTCCCGATGTTTTCACCAATGTGGCCACCGGCGTTCCACCCGTCGACGTACTCGCTTGCACTTGTAAACCAGCTTGAGCGAATATTTGCGCTGGCGTGAGACCCGTTTGTCCTGGCACTTGAACCTGAGCAACTGTTTTCGCCTGCTGAAGAACAGTGGATGCTGCCGCTTGTCTCTTGAGTAATGCCGCCATTTCCGTCTCGGTGACGGGCCTCGTCACTTGTTTACCGCCACTGGTCGTTTGCACTGTTGCCTGTTGTTTCATAAGTGTTGCGGCACGTTGTTGCGCCGCCGTTCCCGTTGGTACGGTGACGGCAACTTTTTGCGTTCCGCCAGCTTGCGATTGAAGTACTTTAATGCCATGTTGTTGACGCAAAAGTTGTTGCTGTCCAAAATATTGAAGTTGCGCTTGTGTCACTTGTTTACCACCGGCTGTTGTTACGCCAACAAAATTTCTTGGCGTTGTCACCGTTGAACTCTGCGGTACTAAATTGACAGTTGCAATTCTTTGCGATGTGGAAATATTTGCAACACTAACAACAGTTGGTGTTACACGCGATTCTTGAATTGCAAGCGTTGCACTTGGTCGTGTTTTAATTGGCGTTGTTGGCGTTGAATTTCCCGCCAATGAAGCAACAGTTGTGGCGGTTTTTATTGACGTCAATGTCGAAGTTGTTGTTGTAATTGCTGTAACGGCGGTGGCAGTTGTTGTTTGGGCAATTTGATGAACTTGTGACGTTGTTCCAGTGACGGGTTGTGTCTGTTGTAATTGTATTTGTTGTTGCTGCTGCTGCTGTTGTTGTTGTTGAAGTTGTTGCTGCTGTTGAACAAGACGTGCTGCCGCTTGTTGTTGTTGTTCGGCAGTTAAAACGGCATTTTTCTTTTCTTTTGCAATTCTATCGGCTTTACGTGCCGCAATTTCCATTGGCGATGAAGGTGCCTCGTATTGTATTCCACATTCTGCCAATACAGCCGCGTGCTTTGGATTTTTCATCGATGGATTCATGCAAAGTGGCTTTGTTGTCGGTGCCTTTTTATTTGACACGGCTTTTATTGCGTCATGCCTCTGACATGATATCGAGGTAAATGAATAATTCTTATCCTGATTGTACAATTGTGATGTTCTCATTGGTCGATTTGTTTTGCTTTGTTGCTACAAAAAGAAGAAAATTATTCAGTTTTTTTTATCAAAATTAATAAAAATTATTAATAATATAAAAATGTAATAAAATAATTATAATAATAACAGGTTTCGCACTTCTTAGTAAATAAATAAAAAGTAATAAAAATCAGACCTCAGATCGACTTTAAGGCGCAAAAAAAGTCGATTTTTTTTATTTTAATTAAATTAGTTAAAAAGTAATTATTTTACTTTAAATAATTAATTTATTAGATATTAAATTCATTTTATTAATTCTTTAATAAAAGTAATTCTATAGGAATATTATCAAGAAAATTTATTTGGAATATTTCAGAATCAAAGACATACATTTTTCAAATTTCACTTCTGTTCAAAATTTTAGAAATAATTAAATTTCAAAAGATTTTCTTCAATTTCAGACAATAATGAAATTATTATAGAATTAAATTTTAGAAGGTTTTAAATTGAAGTTTTTGAAATTAATTGAACTACAAGTTATTTTGACTTGAAATTTTTTTTGGTGATTTCTGTTGCTGAAGAATTGATTAAAAATTAAAGTTTAATTGAACTTTAAAATTTTTTAATTGAAAAATGCTTTCAGATAATTGAATTTTCGAAAAATATTATAAAAATCATTAAAAATGATTGAATTTCGGAATAGTTAGAATTGAAATGATGAAATTTCAAAAAGTTTTAGATGGAAAATTTTAAAAATAATTAAATTTTAAAAGGTTATAAATTAAAATTTTTTGTAATTTTATTGGATTTTTTTTTTTTAAATTGTAAACAATTGTTGAATTTTATAAAATTTTTAATTGAAAAATAATTTAAGACAATTGAATTTGTTAAGAATTTCATTAAAATTATTGAAAATTATTAATTTTGAGAAGTATTTTAGTTAAAAATTTATTAAATAATTGAAATAAATAAGATCTGTATTTTATACTTAAAAAGAAATATTTTGTTTAAAAATTTTGTAAAAAAAATGTAAAAATAAAGTCGAAAAAGTTGTATCTTATTAAAATAAGACGAAAAAAGTCCTATATTCCAAGGTCTGAAAAAGTTTTTTTTTCTGTTAATAATGAAATTTACAGTAAAATAGGAAAATAATTAATAACATGAGAATTTTAGAAAATTAAAAGTAAATAAAAAATGGTAACTATAATAATTACCTAAAAAATTTATGGAAATACAGTGTTGAAGAGAAAAAAACGATTTTTTTTAAATAAAAGGAAATCAAAAAATTTAAGAAAAAAAGACGAAATTAAAGTAGAAGAAGAGAATTTAACTTAAATTTTAAGTAATAAATTCAATTTATATTAAATTAAAGAAATTGAATATTATAAATAATTTTGAAAAATTTCTCAAAAATTCTAAAAAAAAAGAAAATTTTTTTTTGAAATAACTGGTATTATTTATATTTAATAATAATAAAATTCTTACGTCGGCAACTTGTGGCGTTTTATAGACGCCCTTTTGTTTTTTCTGCTTTTTTGGAGTTGTATCGTAGAGAAGTTTTCCCTCTTCCCTTGGAACAATGACAGCCTCATAACGATTTCGACATTGTTTTGGTGAACGATAAATTCGCGCGGTATTATTTACAATATCGGCCACCAAATCCCAATTTGGTGTTTGTCCAGGTGAGAGAACAACTAAATTTAATGGTAAACTTTGATAAACCTGAATTGATTGCAATAGAGACCAATCTTCATGAATTGTCCATTCGAGAATATTTTCCTGTTCATTTGGTGATTTTAATAGTGGTGGTTTCAAACCAGACATACCACTTGACAATGGTCGTACCATTCCACGAATTTTGTGTAATTTCATGTCGCGTCGCATTTTCGCTAATGCCGGCGATGGTCTATCGAAAAGTGAACGTGGAGCAAAAACAGATTCCTCCTTGTGTCGAACTTTTGTTGGACGACGACCTGTTAAATTTACACAACAAAAAAAAAAAAATTTATTTTTTTCTTCAAAATGTAAAATTAATTTTAAATACAATTAATATTATTCAATAAAAAATACTCACCATCTCTCTCGCTTATTACGGGATCGACTCGAATTCGTTTTGGTTCTTTTTTAACGAATACTGGCGGCAATTGAGCCTCGGACATTGGTGTATTTTCATAGAGAAATCCCAGTGAATAATCAATGTAAACATCATTGTCAGAGGTTGGTGGAGTTGGTGGACACCACATCTAATAAGATTTGTTATTTTTTTTTAAATTTTTTTATAAATCCATATATAATCTTGTAATGAAATCTGATTGATAAATTCATGTTTTTATTCATACTAACCGGCATCTGTTCCATTGTGTTCTCCGATAACCATATCTGAAAAATTCAAAAAATTTCAAATATGATAAAATAATTCATCTCTTTTTAATAATGTTTTAAAGCACACAAATAATTTTCTTTTGCCAAAATAACTATTTTTTATAATTTTTTTTTTCCACGTTAAAACATTTATTACTAATCAATCGATGAATTCTAAATGAAACAAAATGTTATTCATGATTCGTAAAGTTACTTGTAATTAATTGAATAAAAGGGTGTTTTTCATATATTTAAAAAAAAATTTTTAAAAACATTAATTTATTAAATTATATTTTCATTAATTATTTTCATGAATAATACGTTTTCATTTAGTATCCATTAAAATTTGCAGCTAGATTTTGAAACTGAGACTTACCGTGAGAATTTTTTTTTCAAGATCATTAAATAAATTTTTTTACTAGCAAATAAAATAACAATTCAAGTCAAATTCATTATTTCATAGAAAAAAAAAATCTATTTTATATTTATTCTTTTTAATTATTTTTTTAAACGCTTTATTATATTTTAAGAAAAATTTTCAAATAACTTTTCTTTAGAATTAATAATTAAAACAAAAAAATTTCTGATGATAATAATAATAAGTAAAGAAAATATTAATATTTTTTTCAATAGAAAATTAATAATTACCATAAAATATTGAGGATAAAAATTTGATAGATTAAAAATGTGGGGAAAAAGAGTATTCACATTTGAAATTGAAAAATCGAGTTATTCTTTGTTTTTAGCAATTTCAGAGTTTTTTTTATGTTGAACGTGAATTTTTAAATAATTCTATTTAATGTATTACAATGTAAGTCAAAAATCATTAACATAAAGTTTATACTACATTTTTTTTTGTACTGAAGGTATTTTTTTCAATAATTAAGGAAAAGTTAATAGAAATTTTTAAAAAGTATTTTTTTAAATGATTTAAAAAACAATGTTAAGAAATATTAAACCATTTTTTTTAAATCACTTGAAATACTTTTAATATTTAAAATGATTTTTTTCGTTTAAAAAGAGTAACAATTAAAAAATTAAAAATCAAGAAAATTGATAAATTGACGTTTCAATTTCAATGTGAAACACTCTTAAAGGAACAACGAAAGCCCCGTTCATTCAAAGGCTCGTTCCAAGAATATTTCTAGCTGCAAACAGTGTATTAAGAAGTAATTTTTTTTTTCTTTGGTTTCCGCGGCTCGTTAATGTGCCTGCTTATATCTTGGCTGTCTCCAAGTTTGGAATGGCAAAGGCAGTGTTTTGGTGCCATTTTTTCTTTACTTTTTTTTTGAGTGAGTATTTGATCGGTTCTCACGCATGCTTTTAAAATTTTAGAATTTTTCAAAAAAAAAAAAAAAATAAAAAATTAATTTATAAATATATTAAAAATAAGGCTCTTGAAGAAGCCCTTTTTTTGTAAGTGCGGCCATGGACAGCCTTGCCACACCAAACTGATATGCAAAAAGAAAAAAGAATTTTTTTTGTGCATATCTCGATAAAAACTTCCAACCATAAACAAGCACACCGAGCAACTTTTGACACCAAAACGGAACTGAACCTTTGATTGAACTTGACTTGGAAACGTACCAAGAAATAAGTAAACACATTTGTTTGTTTTTTTTTATTTTTTAGCAAGGAATATTTCGTTTATTTCCTTTTTAAGGACTCATTCGATCATACAAAATACAGGCGCGCACAACTTAATTAATTAGAGGCGATTAATTCACGTTTAATCAGACATTTTTTTTCATTTCTCTCAACATCAGATCGCAATTCTTAAGAAAAAAACAAAAAAAAATAAAAAAAAAAAAAAAATCACGAACTCGCAAAAAAGAAACTACCACAAATATAATCGGACTATCATTATTTCTATGATTTAGATATACATTTATGAACTTTTTTTCTTCTCATTCTCTCATACACTCTTCTTTTTCTCTCTCTCTCTCTCTCTTGTTTCTATAATACAACAGTCATGAGTCTTTTGTTAAATTATAACTTAAACTGTTTAAACCTAGTCCGTCATTTACAAAGCGTTAAAAAATTGCACGCTTTTTTTCTTTTTTTTTACAGTGCTAAAAAATATTACAAATTGTACTTGGTACAAAAACGAAAATCTCGCAATTATTTACAGACGCAATTCATTCGAGAAAAAAAAAAAAAAAAAAAAAAAAAAAAAGTAAAACAATAAACTCAACTTTTTAATATAATTTCTTTTTTCCCTGTAACTTAGGAAAAAAAACACCCCAACGCGTTCATCATTAAAAAATATATTAAATATTACAACAATAGTCATCACCTTGAAAATAAATTTATCTGTTTTATGATTATAATCGCTTTCAATCATTTCTCTATCAAGTTTTCATTTTTTTTTTTTTTTTTTTTTATTTAACTAGCCTATTATTCAAGACAGTGTCTTCGTTTTCTATTTTTTTTTGTGTTTTTGTTTTACAACAAAAAGTTTTTTTTTCTTTTTTCTACACCGAATTATTGAGCTTATCATGAGGAGGAGCTTGAAAACGAAGAGATCTTTTTGGTGGTGCCTCGTCCTCGTCAGTGTTTTCTAAAGCTTGAATATCATTTTGTTTTCCATCGTTCGTTTTCGTCGAAACGGATGCTATTTTTTTTTTAAATCGTTTTTTCATTATTCTTGTCGTTGATCCTGCTGTGGGTTCACTACTATCCGTACATTCACTATCCAAATCGGTTGATATATTTTTTTTCTTATCTAATTTCATTGAAGCTCGCGTCGTAATTGATGATGATGATGTTTCACATCTATTCAATGAAATCGTTGGATTTGTAATTGTTGTAGCTGAATGTTCACCATTTTTTGCTTCCTCAACATTAACTTTATTTAATTTCACTTCAAGAATTGGTTGCTGTTGGGCCAAACGATTATTTGCTTTTGTTTGCGAGTCAAGTGTTAAAATTGCAACAACTTTTGCTGTTCGTTGAGGTTTATTATTATCAATATCATCATTATTTACTTCACCAATTCCATTTGAATCGCATTCTGTTTTCTCCAATGATTTTCGACCTGTTGTACGAATTTTTTGATTTGTAGGCGTGGAAATAATTTCGACTTTCGATTTTTTAATTTTTATTTTAAATGTCTCGGGCATTGGTGTATCGGGTCGACGTCGCGTTGGAATATTTTCTGACGATGATGATGATGATGATTTATTTTGTGAAATTTTTGTTGATTCATGATTTGTAATTATTTTTTGGGGAATTTTTGCTTTTTTTGGTGGGACAATATTTGTTGGTACTGTGAAAATATTATCTGTGGGAATTTCTAATTTTTCATCAATAATGAGAGGCCTTTTTCGTGGTCTTCCAACTTTCATTGGTAATGGAGTGTCGGGTCTTCGTTTTATTATTAATTTTTGAACTTTTGGCGATGGCGGCGGTGGTGGCATTTGAATTATACTTGAACGACGAGTGATTCTTGTTTGTTCTATGGATTTTGTTTTTGATGATTGTGGATCGTGATCGAGTGATTTAATTTTTTTCAATGTTTGTGAATCGTGATCAATTGATTTAGTGGTTTTTTCTTCCAACTCTGTGGGAGTTTCGGAAATTTCTTGATTCAATTTTGCACGACGTGTGGAAATTCTTGGAGTTTCGGAAATTTTTTCTAAAGAAGAACAACAAATTTCAGTTTTGATAATTTCAATTTTATTTGATTCTATTTCTTTTGTTTCGTTGATTAATTCTTGGCTACTTTCTTTTTCTTTAATATTTGTATTCTTTTCGTTTGTTTCTTTATCTTTTGTATCCTCTTCCTTTGTATTTTTATCTTTTAGATCCTTATCCTTGGTATTTTTATCCTTTAGATCCTTATCCTTGATATTTTTCTCCTTTGGATCTTTATCCTTGGTATTTTTCTCTTTTACATCCTTATCCTTGGTATTTTTATCCTTTAAATCCTTATCCTTTGTGTCCTTCTCTTTTAAATCCTTATCTTTTATTTCCTTCTCTTTCACATCCTTATCTTCTGTATCTTTCTCTTTTGCATCTTTATCCTTGACGTCCTTATCTTTTGCATCACAATCTTTTTCTTTATTTTCAATTTCACTTTTCGCTTCTAATTTGGCTGATGATCTTGTATTATGTTTGCAGTCTTTATCACGTTTTTCAATTTTCACCGTTGGACTCACGGATCGACGTGAAACATCCGGCGCAAGATTTGTCTTTAATTTTGGAGTCGCGCACGCCGACAACAAAACATGTGGCACAAGATTCTTATTTGAATTTTTCAATCCATCCTGAAGTTTTTGCTTTATTTTCGTGAAATTTTTCGACTCGTCTAAATTTTTTGAAGTGTCTTTTGAATTCTCGCCGGATGTTGTTCGATTTGTTGTAGTGATTGTAGTGCGTTTTGGAAAAAATGATTTTCGATTTTGCGATGCATTATTAACATCACAATTTTCTGTGTCCTCGTCATTATTACTATTTGTTTTCACAAAATTTGATGCTTTATTAGAGGCTCGCGTCACATGTACCGGTGAATCAGTTTCCGTGTTGATTAAATTTGTTTTTACTATTGCTTCATTATCTTTTTCCTCAACACAATTGTTCATAGAATTATCATCAACATCAACATTAACATCAACATCAATATCAACATCATCATCACAACACGAACCATTTAATTGCGAGACATTATTCAATTTTTTTGTATTCTTTTCCTTACATAGAAAATTCATTTTGGAATTTTCCAATTTTTCTAAACTCAAAGTTGGCGAAAGTAAAATATCCGATTCTTGAAATTTTTTACTATAATTTGAATCTGATTTTTTATTATCATTTACAGGTGATGGTAAAGTGAAATTGTCCTCGGTTTTTGAATTTTCGTTACGTTTTTTTGAATGAAAACCACGTGGTTTTTTAATACTACTTGGAAGAATTGGACTCACGTCTAATGTCCAAAGATTAATTTTCACATTTCCCCTTGATCTTGTTCGGGGACTATTTAAATCGAGTTTATTTTTTTGTGACGTTTTATTTAAACGACGACCTTTATGTTTAGTGTAGTTACCATTTTCCGCCATTGTCTCCACGTTTTCCTCGTTTCCATTTTCATTGTTGTCATCATCTTCATCATCGCCTTGACTTTGACTTTCATTATGACTTGATTCCTCATCGTTACTTTCACCAACAAGCTCCTCCTCCTCCTCCTCATTTTCCTCATTATCATCATCATCCTCATCTTGTGATTCAGTTTCCGTTTCGGTTGACGTTTCAGTTTCACTTGACGACCTATCTTGAACTCTACGATTATTTCTACGCGAACTTTTTCTACCCGGTTGTACACGCTTATTAGAATGTTTCTTAGAATTAATATTACTATTAACCTGATTTTCCGCGTCCTCGCGACCATACGTTAGGGGTTTTTCTTCATCATCGGCCAGTCGCATTTGTCTTTCCTCCTCCTCGCGTAATGCACGAAGTCGATCCAATTCCCATTCTTTTTTCTGCTGTTCGAGTTCACGTTCGGCTGCTGCCAATTGTGCGGCCGAAAAACTTCCCTCCGCTTCCTCAATGAATTTCATCGCATATCGTTCGACCGGCGTTAACTAAAAAAAAAATATTCATTAACATTAATAAGCCATTTCAAATCAAAAATTTTATTTAAAGAAAATTAAAATTAAAAATTAATTTACCTGTGAAACTAAGTTTTGAACTTCGATTTCCGCTTTACTAATTTGCGTCTCATCTTTATCGGGTTCGTCGAGTGGAATATTTTCGTCAAATTCAGCCAAATCGGCAACGGCTTCTGCTTTGGCAGTTTTCGCCGCTTGAACGTCAAGATCTTCCTCGGCAGCGGCCAAAGCCGATTCCAATGCACCCATTGCTGCTTTCTCTTCACCAATTGAATTTGGTTGCGACAGTGACGATGAACTCTCTCTTTGAAGAATTCTCTCGCGCTCTCGCGATTGATCAAGAACTTCGGCCATTCGAGTTGAGGCATCACCTTCCGTTTGATCGACATTGAAAATGTCTTGAATTGTCGACTGCAAAAAAAAGATGTGATTATTATTAGGTAAAAAAAATTACAAATTAATAAAATACCAAAAAATTAAAAACAAACAATACAAAACGAAAAAAAAATCAAATTTCATTAATTATAAAATTATATTAAACATGAAAATGTTAATATTAAACATAATAAATACTAAATTATTGAAACTCAATGATAAAATTAGAGTATGTAGATAAATTTCGATAATTTTCAAATAGTAAATTATAGAAAATATTATTATTAAAAAATATTGAAAATTAAATATTTTTTTCTATTAAACTATCGTTATTAGAATTAAAAATGTATTAAATAAAAATTTTAATGCATCATTAAAATATCAAATAAATTAACACTTACGCTCTTAAAGTACGCAGTGGTAAAGTTTCCACCTTCAATTGCAAGATCGCCGAGCAATCGTTTCTGATTCGCTTTCTTTAAGATATTTTCTTCTACCGTTTTATCACTAACAAGTCTGAAAATAATAATAATAAATTACTTTTCTTTTTTATAAATTTCTCATATATAATATCATTAAAATTAATTAATTAACATAACCTCAAACTAAAAAGTTGTTTTTAATAACAAATAAAAAGTGATAAATGAAAATTAATTTTATCAAATTTTAAAGATTCAGTTGTACAATTTTCAAAATAAATTTTTTTTGTACAAAATTTTTTGGTTAAATAATAATTATTTTTCACTTTTTATATTTTTTGATTAAAGTTGATGAACAATTGTAATTATTTTTCCAATAGCTCATTTTACTTTTTAAAAAGATTTTCTACAATTCTGTTCGTTGAAGTTTATTAACAATATTTTGTTCATTAACAAATTTTTATTTTTTTTAAACAAACCATTATTTAACAAAATAACAAAATCAGAATTTTAGAGAATTTTTCAAAGAGAAAAAGGAGCTATTGTCTATAAAAATAGAATAAAAATTACGATTCTAACGGGGCTAAGTACTATTATTATTGCATTTTAAAAATTAATTAAATTTTAATTTAATAGAATTTTTTGCTATAAAAATTACATTAACTACACTGGAACCTCTAACTTCTTTCATTTATTTTTAAAATAATTATTTTCTTTTGTAATATAATTTATTTAAAAGTATCATTTGAATTTTAGAAAATATTCGTGAATGTTTAAACAAGTTTAAAACAAAAAAATTTTAATACATTCTTTACTCTAAATATCTAATGTTATTGTATATTATTTACTTTATTTTTTCATTTCTTAATAAAAATAATTCTACAAGAATATTATCAAGAAAATTTATTTCGAATATTTCAGAACAGAACTGAGACAAATTTTCAAAATTTTAATTAAGTAGAACAAATTTTTAAAATAAAAATTTTTTTCAAGTTTCATTTAAAAAAATTTTTATAGTCTGATTGAAGCAAATAATAATTCGAATTTAAAATTTTTCCATAGTTTTTAGTTTTAATGGTCGAAAAAAAATTTCAGAAAATAATTAAGTTGTAATTTTGTTAAATAATTAAATTTTGAAAGAAATATTAAAATTATTAAAAATAATTGAATGTTTGGAAGAGTTACCTGAAATTTTTAAAAATAATTGAATTTCAAAAGATTTTGTTAAATTTTACAGAAATGAAAATAATTTATGAAATAATTTTAGAAAAACCTTTTTTTAAAAATAATTGAATTGAAAATAGTTTAAGCTAATTGAATTTGTAAAGAATTACATTGAAATAATTGAAAATAATTAATTTATAGAATAATTATAGTTAAAAATTTGTTAAATAATTTAAATAAAAAAAGATATGAATAAAATCTGTATTGTATAATAAAAAAATTTTGTTTAAAAATTGAAAAAAAATCATATAATCCGAGACTTGAAAATATTAGGGCGCATGATTATCCCATAAAAATGATTAGTTAAAATTTTCATTTTAAAGAATTTTATTCGATATAATTATTTTTTAGACGAATTTTTATTTTTCGAATAAACATTTGACAGAATTTCTTTTTAATTAAACAAATTTTTACATAACAGAATTCTTATGTATCGAATTTTTATTGTACATAATTCTTAAAACACCGAATTTTTTATTTGTCCGAAATTGCAAATGGCCGAACAAACAATCGGCAGAAAGATTTAGGCGCAATGTTTAAAATTCACCAATCAAAAGTTGTCAAGAAAATTGTGATCAGGGTGGATTTTAAAAATCGCGACAAAATCTTTCTGTCGATTGTTTGTTCGACTATTTGCAATTTTGGACAAATAAAAATTCGTCGTTTTAAGAATTCTGTACAATAAAAATTCGATGCCTAAAAATTGCGAAAAATTCCGACAAATGTCAATTCGAAAAATGGAAATTGGTGTAAAAAAATAATTATATCTATTAAAATTGTTGAAAATAAAAATTCTAACTAATGATTTTTATTGGATAATTATGCACACAAAAAATATTATCTAAAACAATAATTTTGATGTGAAAAATATTGACAATAATTACCTATAAATATGAACATCCCTCGTTTGTCCGATTCTATGACATCTGTCTTGAGCTTGAGCGTCCATTGTTGGATTCCAATCACTATCATAAAAAATAACAGTATCGGCCCCCGTTAAATTAACACCAACACCACCCGATCTTGTTGACAATATAAAACAAAATATTCTCTTATCCGCATTAAATCGTTCCATCAACACTTGTCGTTGATCAACTTTCGTTGCTCCATCCAATCGTAAGTAAATATGACCATGAAAATTGAGAAACGCCTCCAATACATCGAGCATTCTTGTCATTTGCGTGAATATTAATACCCTATGTGAACCAGATTTAAGTCGCCTCAATAATTGATCGAGCGATTGTAATTTACCACAATCATATTGAATGAGACGTGGCTCGGGAAATTGTGTCAACATTGATCTTGCAACTGGATGAAGTAGTGCAAGTTTTGGTGATAATTGTCGTTTTAATTCAAATTTAAGACGTTGCTCGGCCCACAATTTTTGTGGCGGTGGATGCGAACAATGAAAACGTGGCTGCGGTGCTTGAACTGCCGGCACATATGTGACAAATCTTTCAAAAATACCCTTCAATTCCTCAACAATTTGCTCAGTTGATTTTATTGCCTCAGCGAGTGCTTCGGTGCGTGAGAAAAATTGTCTTCTTGTACGTGGACTTTCTTCCTTTGCATTTGTACAATGCATCCATCCACCGTGCCATTGGCAACCATTCGCTGGTTTACCCAATCGCAATGCCATAAAAAGATCCTCACCATACAATGGACATGCGGCGCATCGTGTCTCATTTACATTTGCCAATAAACGAAGTTTACCCTGTCGTCGACGTCGTCGTTCATCTTCAACTTGTGGCATATGAAATCCCGATTTTGGCGCTTGTTCCTCTTTAGTTATCACTTTGTTGCTGGCGACAATTTCCTTCAATACAGGCTGTTTTGTTGTTGTTGTTGTTGTTACAATATTTGGACGTATTTGTGCGCCACTCGCAATATGTGCTTGCGATGTATTCATATTTAATTGTGGAACACGAACAATTGGTCGTCCGCCTGATGTTGTGGTAACAACGCCACTAAATACTTTATTGACACCGGCAGTTGTTGAAAGGCCAACCAATGATTTTGAAAGTACCGTTAAACGTTGTCCACTCGGTGTTACAACAGTGTTGGCATTTTGTTGATTTGATGTTAAGAGAATATGTCGTCCAGTTGCCGTTTGTACCAAATGAGCAAAGCCCGATGGTACTGCTATCCTTTGGACGGAATCACCCTGTTTAACGGTAACTGTTTGCGTTGCCAGTCTTTGTAGACCCTCACGAATATTGGTGTTTGCAACGGTGATTTTTTGCGAATTTGAACCACCGGTTGTTGTTGATGATGTTGTCGTTGAGCCGACATTTGTTGTTTGTAAATTTGGCGGCAGTGGAATTGCTAAAATAATCGTTTTTTTCCAATTAGAATTTCAAAAAAAAAGTAATAAATAAATTACAAGTATTTTTTTACATGCCCTTAAGGACCAGTGAAATTTCAGCGGGGCGCCGGATTATCTCATAAAAATTTTTAATTCTAATTTTCATTTTAAAGAATTTTATTGGAAATACCTAATTATTTTTTTAGACGAATTTCTATTTTTTGAATTAGCATTTAATGGATTTTCTATTTATACGAATTTTTACTTAACATTTTTAATTACCGAATTTTTATTTGGCAGAATTTTCATATAACAGTCATTTTATTTAAAAGAATCTCAATTTAACCGAATTTTAATTTAACACAATTCTCAATTCAATCGAATTTTGTGTGATTCGAATTTTTTAAGTGACAGAAATTCCAATTCACCGAATTTTAATTTATCCGAATTCTATTAATTTTTAATTGGTAGAATTTTTAAGACACCGATTTTTTATTTGTCCGAACAAACAATCGAAAGAAAGATTTTGGAGTAATTTTTAAAATAAACCAAATAGAAATTATCAAGAAAATCGTGATCAGGGTGGAGATAATTTTTATGATTATAAATTTCCGGTTAATTTTCTGTTTTTCCCGGTCAAAATTTTGTAAATAATTTAATTCTACAAAACATGACCATTTTTCTAAACAAAAAAAATTCATAACTTTTTTATTTTTTAATATTAATTCTTCTTATAAATTTTAATAATGCACTACTACAAAAAAAATAATTAGATATACTTATTTTAAAAATACATTTTTCTGAGAAATGTAATAGACGATATAAATTTTTAGAATATCTGAAAAATTCCCGGTCACTTTTTAAATTCCCGGTTTTCCAGTCATATCGACAAAATTGGTCAATTTAAAAAATTTCGCCGAAATCTTTCTGTCGATTATTTGCTCGGACATTTGTAATTTCGAATAAGTATAAATTCAGCGCTTATAAATTTTATCAATTAAAAATTCGTATAAATAAAAATTCGGACAATTGGAATTTCTGTCATTTTTAAAATTCGTTTGAATAAGAATTCTTTTAAATTAAAACTCGATTAAATTAAAATTCTTTTATATAGAAAGTAATGTAAAAAAAATTACTGTAAAATGAAAATTCTGTTAAAACAAATATTCGATAGCTAAAAATTTTGTTTATACAAAAATTCGTATAATAAGAAAATTTGTCAAATTTTAATTCGAAAATTGAAAATTCGCCTAAAAAATAATTATTATTTCTAATAAAATACTTTAAAATATAAATTGTAATTAATTATTTTTATGGGATAATCATGCGTCCCATTTCAGCTTATCGAAATTAATGTTTATTAAGGGGTGTAAATTTTTTTTTTTCTTTTGACATTATTTAGGATCTAAAATTATTATATATTATTAAAATTGAAAAAAAAACGCATTTTGTCCATTTCAGAACTTTAATTTTCTTTTAAATTTAAATTGTTCAAAATCATGAAAAAAGCGTAAAAAAACTTATTGATGAAAAATATTCAAAATTTAGTAGATATATTTAATCTAATTAAGAAAAAATTATATTATTATTATAGAAAATGTTTTCTTGGTTCTAGAATGCTCATGAAAGGAATTGATCAATGAACAAGCTGGCCCGAGAATATTTTTATCTTGCATCATTGCAAAAGCGATTGTCCACTTTGTGTTCCAATCACTGATCGATGATGCTTAAAATTTTTTTTATTTGAAATTGTAAAAGAAAATCAAAATTACCTTTCACACTTCCTTGATGTGGCACCAATTGAACCGAATAACCTTGCAATTGTTGTCCACCAGCAACTCTCAATGTCACGCCTGAAATTTAAAAAAATAACATTTTATTTATTTTCTCAAGAATAAAAATATCATTTCAGAGTTGTAACAAAAATAAATTTTTCAATTTTCCTGACAAAAAAAGTTTAATTATGATTTAAATAAAAATCAAATAATTTGAAGTAAGAAATGGGATTTTTTTTTCTAAGAAATAGGTTTAAAAAAAGTTGACAAAAACATAAAAAAAAATAGGTGACTATAAAAATTGGTAATTAAAAACAAAAAAAATCATTTAGGGAAAAATGTTTTTTTTTTAATTAATACCTTGTCCAGAGGGTGTTTGATTGCTTGCGCTTTTAATTAAAGGTGATGTGCCAACTCTTGGCGATAAAACAGCGCTAGTAATACATTTAGCCTTTGCCTGTTGAACATTCGTCGATTTTGCTTGATTTGACAAACGAACGTTGATTTTAATTTTTCCCGAAGGACAACGGGGCGGTAGTTCCGGTGCACTATCAATTTCTTCAATTAATTTTCTTGGAGTTTGCAAACGTCTTGCTCTGTGAGCAATAAATGCCGTCAGCATAAATTCCACCTTAACCAAAAGTAAATTCACACAAGACAAATCGATATGCTGAAATAGAAATTAAATTCATTTTATTTTTTGTTTGACAAAATTTCGATGGAACGTCAAGTTTTAAAGTTTCTATAGTATTTTTATTTAAAATAAAAAGAAATTGACTTGATTGTTTATTAAAACTTAAATTTTGGTAATTTTTTTTTGCTAGCAATAAGAATTGAAATTATAAATCAAAGCCCAAATGTTTTTTAATTGAAATTGTTTATAAAAATTGAAATTTTTGGATTTATATAATTTTTTTACCTCAAACGGATCGTAGTCGAGTGCATTGGCAACGAGTGAAGATGTGACATATTCAATGCCTTCCATTTGAAACGGTGAAATCGTTGGACGAACTTCAAAAAGATTTGGATGATTGCAAACTTTTCGCAATTGCATCAAAACATTTATGACACTCAATAAATTTCCACTCGCTAAAGTTTCCTTCGTCCTTTAATTGAAATAAAAAAAATAAATAAATGTATAAACAAAAAATGATTTAAAAAAAATTATTTTTTTCAAAATAAAAATAAATGTATAAACAAAAAATACTTACTTTGCTCGAGACATAAAATCATCGTAAAGATATCTCTGTCTTTTTGATAATCGGCACATCACAACATGTTCATACTTCTTTGGCAGTTGTTTTTCCACCTCAGTCTTTAACCTCCTGAGTAAAAAGGGTCGCAGGACCTAAAAAAAAAAGATTATTTTATAGACTCATCTGTATAATAATAAAAACCACTAAAATATAATTTTTTTTTCATTTAAATTAAATTGTTTTTCCAGACAGGATACGCGTGACTTATTATTTCCTCTTATCAGACACACGAGTTTTTATGGAAAATTTTCATCTCTCGCTGTTGAGAAAATCAAAAACACAGAAAAAGAAAACAAAATTTTTGCCCTTTCTGTGTGTCGGCAGCGAGAATTATTATCATCAATATTATTTCTTTCTTTTTCATCCTTTTTAAAATTCAAGTACGTACAAACCTTGTGTAGTCGTCGAATAATATTCTCGTTGTATTCACTATTTCCTTCGATCATTCCCGTCACTGGATTACTAAACCATTCCTTAAACTCTCTGTGTGATTGAAAAACATTTGGCATGAGAAAATGCATCAATGACCAAAGTTCCATTAAATTATTTTGAAGTGGTGTTCCCGTCAGTAACAGTCTCCTGCAAAAAAAAAAAAAAATCAATTTACAATTATATAATTTCTAAAGAAAAGAAAAAACTTATTAATTAATAAAAATGTTTCTCCAGACAGGATACGCGTGTTCTAAAAAATTCCTCTTAAACAAACACACGAGTTTTTATGAAGAATTTTACTGTCTCGCTGTTTTTATAAAAAAAAAAACACAAATACAGAAATTGATATTTTGCATTGTGGTCGGCAGCGAGAATTTTTGTCACATAAATCATACAATTAAACTCACCTTTGTGTTTGAAAATTGAGAAGCAATTGCCATCGTTGTGATTTGAAATTTTTGATATTTTGCGCCTCATCTAAAATGAGATATTTCCATTTTTTTCGTCTAAAACTTTGATGATCTTGAATGACAAGTTTATATGATGTGATACATATGTGAAATGCATTTGGTTTTGTCCAACCCGTTCTTTTTTGTTTACGATCTTTTTGCGTGCCATAATAAGTGAGAATTTTAAAACCAGGACACCATTTTTTACACTCCATTTCCCAATTTAACATCACAGACGTAGGAACAATTATTAAATGTGGACCCCAATTGCCCTTTTCACATGCAAGATGAGCTAATAATGCAATTGTTTGAATTGTTTTTCCCAAGCCCATTTCATCGGCTAGAATACCATTTAATTTTCTTTCATACATTGTCACCAGCCAATCTAATCCAATATGTTGATATTCACGTAACGAGTGTTTCAATAGGAATGGAACTTTTGTCACGACCTGCAACAAACACAAAATAAATAAATATATCTCAAATATTTATTTAAATTAATAATTTATATAAAATTTGAATAAATAATTTATAAATATTTATTAAATTTTTTTCAATTTATATAAATTAGAATTATGAGAAAATAAATAAAAAAAAAATTCTTTTTTTAATTGTCGCGATGTCACTGTAATGAAGAATACTTGCATTCTTTATACAAATGACAATCTCATTTACTCTGCCTTCCTGAAATAACAACAAGCAAAAAAAAAAAGCAAAGTTGCTTTGGATAGTGAAGGCATTTCTTTTTATTACATTCTTTTTTTATAATTAAATTTTTTTAATATTAAAATATGAATATATAAAAAAATTTTATTTAAAAAAATTACTTTATATTTTTAATAAAAAATAAAACTTACGCTTGTCGTTTGTAAAGTATTTCCTTTTGGTTGTATACTTTCAGCCAAGGCGGCAACGTCGTCCATTTCATTGCTTTCAGCTTCTTGAGTCTAAAATAAAAAATTATAATTTTTTATTAATTCTCTTTTTTTTTTTGCTCCATAAATTCGATTTTTGATAATATTTACATAATAATTTTTTCAACTCTATTTCAGATCAACTTTAAGACGCAAAACAAAAAAAATTCGATTTACATTTTTAAATAAGTTAGAAAAAATCGATTTTTTTATTTTAACAAAATTGAATTAGTTAATATTTTACTTTAAATAACTAATGTTATTCAAACTTTTGAAAAAAAATCGGAAACAGTCTAAAAACTCGTATAATCCGAGACCTGCTATTTTTATATTTATGTAAAGTGACTTTATTTTGTGACAAAAAATTAAAAAATGAATGATTAAACTTACGGTATTGAGTGACTGATCGCCGGATAAATCTTCAAGAAGGGATTTAAGACCAACGCCTGTTTCATCCTCACTCTGAGTTTGAGAATCATGATCTTTATCCTCATAGTCGCTTTCACTTTCCGATTGATCACTTTTCTCATCCTCATCATCGTCATCATCTTTGTCACTCTCTCCTTCAGATTCTGCAAAATTCAGAAAAATTTTTTTTTTCAAAAAAAAAAGAGAAAGTAGAGAATAATTTTTTTTTCTTTTTTTGTTTTAAGTAAACTCTCAGACAAATGCCTCGATAGCAGCACAAAGTAGGATTGAGTTGAATGAATCTCGCACCTTCAGAAACGGTATTTCGTCATCATTGATAAAAAAATTATTCTTGAAATACAAGAATTTCTATTTCAAAATTAATTTTCTACAAATTTTTCTTATAAATTAAATATGATTAATAAAAATAATTAGTTACAATTTTCATTTTAAATAATACTATTATATAAAATTATATTTTAGACGAATTTTCATTTTTTGAATTATCCTTTAACAAATTAGTTAAATTATCTAATTAAATTAGTTTAAAAAGAAATTCTATTAAGAGCTAATTTGAAAGATGAAAATTCGTCTAAAAAATTCTTTAAATTGAAAATTGTCATATATTTTTATGAAATAATCATAAGCCCTATTAAATAGAGAAAAAAGCAAATTTCTGTGAATTAAAAGAATTTAAAAAAAAAAACCTACCTCGATCTGAAACTTTATCGACATCCATTGGAATGTCTTGTCCAGCTCCATATTTTGAAATTAATTCATCGATAGACATTTCATTTTCCGCTTTAAGATCATCCAATTCTTGTTTATGATCCTCATTTTTCTCGAGTTTCTCTTGTTCCATAATTGTGTCCTCTTCATCGTCTGATGATACATCAGAAGCAACGGTAAATTCAGTATCGCCATCTGCATTCTTTTCATTTTCTTCTTCGAAATTCTCTTTCAATTCAGGCGATAAACTTTTATCACGTTCATCAAGATAATTTGGTGGCAAATCTTTTAATAAATCTTCCAATGGAATAATTGATTCCTTTTTTAAAAGTTCCACTTCTTCTTTATGATTCGATTTTATTTCCTCTTCAGCTTTTGCTATTGTCTCCTCATCATCGTCGGAACTTTGGTTTGGTTCGAATTCGTCTGCAAAAAAAAAGTTGCTTTTTTTTGAATATATGCAAAAATTTATGAAAAAATTAAAATATTAATTTTTTAATTTTAATTTTTTATTTTAAGAAAGACTCTCAGACAAATGCCTCGATAACAGCATAAAGTAGGATTGAGTTGAATGAATCTCGCACCTTCAGAGACGGTATTTTGTCATCATTGATAAAGTGGAACAAAAAAGAGGAATAAAAATATTTTGAATTTTTGATTTTGAGAAATTAATTAAAATTCTCAGACGTTTCAGAGATTAAAACGGGTTGAAATTTGTAATATCAGTTTTTTCTTTTATTATTCTATATATATATATATATATATATGCGTGTTAATCATTGTTTAAATATTTTTTCTTAATTACTTTATTATACATATTTATTGTATAACAAGATTGTTGAAAATAATCCTGTAATTGGTCTTCCAGACTTGTTGGATTTATTAAATAAATAAATAATAATAATAATAATATTTGAATACTACTATTCAAATACAGCTGCATTTGTTTTTATGAAATTTTTTAATAAATTTATTTCTAAACCTCAATTTTAAATTTATTCATTTTTATAAATTTAAAAAATCTTTAATTGCAATTCGCTAAACGCCATTATATTTAGTAAAATCTCTCTAACCTGAATTTATTTTTTGTAAATTTTCCTAAAATTTAAACATTAATTTAACTTTTTTACGATCCTGGCCCACTGTGTAATGGCATAAAGTACATATAATTAAGTTTTCAAAAAATCAAAGAACATTAAAAAAATATTTTAATGGCGGAGATATGTTGATTCTTCTGCAACTATGCTTTTTGAAACGGTTGGCATGATAACTCAAAAAATATTTAACCGATTAACTTGAATATTGAAACATAACTTTTTAAGTACATATAGGCGATTCCACGTGAGATTTACATATTATGACATTTTAAATTCGGTAAATATATTTTTTTCGATCTTTATAGAAAAAAAAAGGTTTACTTATTTTTTTATAAGTGCTCAAATTTTCGAGTTATGAATTTTTAAAAATTTGAATTTTTCAAGTTTTTTTAAAATACACCTAATTTCAATGACATCTAACTCTAAAAGCATTGAATTTACGAATTATGACCATGATACAAAAAAGTTTCAGTTTTTCATCGACTTTCAAAATATGTTAACGAAAAAAATTTTTTTGAATTTGTTTAGAAAAAACAGCGATTTTTTTATAAACAAATTAAAATTTTTTTTAATTTAGGGACGATTTAAGGAGGTTATAGGGATAATAGATCTGATATTACCAATTTAATGAAACTTGGTCCACTACTAGATAAAGGTTTCAAAAAAATGTTGTTAAATTTTTGAGACCTCTAGGTACTTGTGAAAAAAGTTATGAGTGTTTTTGTTTTTTAACATTTAACATTGAGTCTTATGGGAATTGAGTACTTTCTCATACATATTTGTTCACCACAAATTACCTGATATTAAGAAATTGATGAAACTTTTTTTAATACAAAACAGATATATAATGATTAAATATCCGTTTAAAAAAGGGTCATTAGGTTCTTGTGAGAGTTGCAATAAATTAATTTGTAACAATATTTCACGTTTTATACGTTAAATTGAACAGCTGTCAGAACATCTGGCAACGTTGCACACTTGATCATGCTATTCTGTATTCTGATAGCACGTATAAAATACGTTATATTTAAAAAGAAAATAAAAGTTAATAAATAAAATTGATTATACATTTTTAAAATTAAGTTAAAGTTAATTAAATAGAGGGATAATTGTTTTATTAAAGTAAACAAGTCATAAAGCAACTATTTGCAACTCGACTGACGTAATGTGGTGTTGCCAGACGTTTCACTGTACCGAGAAAGTCAAATCATAAAATAATGGTTTCTGTTTTGACTTATTCAGTCAATCCCTATAACCTCCTTAAAAAAATTTTTTTTTCATTTTTACACACATGAAAATAAGAGGAAAATTTTGTAATAAGTTTTGGAGTGGGCCTGATGATCCTTTTGCTTATGTGCGATTCCAAGTGAGATTTTGACTTTTTCGGAGTAGGTTAACCAATTGCAATGAAACTTTGGAATTTTGTTATATATAGTAAGACTAATCTTTAACGTAAATTTCAGCCTAAAATATTTGTTAGTTTACGAGATTTGCAATAATAACAAAAAATTTAAAACTGCTATATCTTCCGTTCTAATAAACGGATTGAGGTCTACTTTTTTTTAAAATGTCAAGGAAAATGAGAGGAATAAATCTCTTTCAGAACATTTTTTTATAATTTTACAACTAAAAAAATTATTAAATAATAATTGAATAACTTTCGCGCGACTAACTAAAATTCAATCACTTAAACGCTAAAATGATCTTACCTGTGTTTTCTTTAATGTTCCAAAGGATTTTTATTGTAAATGTAAGTTTAACTTAAGAAATTTTATTAATTTATTAGTATAAACAATTGAGATTTCTGCTAGTTGACGTGCAGACGACATTGCGCACGCAGCATTCTCACATAGCCAACTGACGTGATTCGTGGACTAAATTGGCTATGTGAGAATGCTGCGTGCGCAATGTCGTCTGCACGTCAACTAGCAGAAATCTCAATTGTTTATACTAATAAATTAATAAAATTTCTTAAGTTAAACTTACATTTACAATAAAAATCCTTTGGAACATTAAAGAAAACACAGGTAAGATTATTTTAGCGTTTAAGTGATTGAATTTTAGATAGTCGCGCGAAAGTTATTCAATTATTATTTAATAATTTTTTTAGTTGTAAAATTATAAAAAAATGTTCTGAAAGAGATTTATTCCTCTCATTTTCCTTGACATAAAAAAAAAAGTAGACCTCAATCCGTTTATTAGAACGGAAGATATAGCAGTTTTAAATTTTTTGTTATTATTGCAAATCTCGTAAACTAACAAATATTTTAGGCTGAAATTTACGTTAAAGATTAGTCTTACTATATATAATTTGTTTAAAAAAAATTTTTACTTTTTTTTTTATTTTTCGAAATGAAAAGTGTTTTGGCAACTAGGATCTTTTAGTAAACTCATAGAAAAGGAAATTAAAATACATTTTATTTTGAAAAATAAAAAAAAAGAACGAAAAAGTAAATTTTTTTTAAAACAAATTATATAAACAAAAGGATCATCAGGCCCCCTCCAAAACTTATTACAAAATTTTCCGCTTATTTTCATGTGTGTAAAAAGAAAAAAAAATCGCCCTTAAATTAAAAAAATTTAATTTGTTTATAAAAAATCGCTGTTTTTTATAAACAAATTCAAAAACATTTTTTTCGTTAACATATTTTGAAAGTCGATGAAAAACTGAAACTTTTTTGTATCTTGGTCATAATTCGTAAATTCAATGCTTTTAGAGTTAGATGTCATTAAAATTAGGTTTATTTTAAAACAACTCGAAAAAATCAGATTTTAAAAAATTCATAACTCGAAAATTTGAGCACTTATAAAAAAATAAGTAAACCTTTTTTTTCTATAAAGATCGAAAAAAATATATTTACCGAATTTAAAATGTCATATGTAAATCTCACGTGGAATCGCCCATATATATATATATTTTTTTTAAAAATGTTTTTTGATTTTTTGAAAACTCAATTACATGTACTTTATGCCCTTAGTGCATGAAAAAGTTATATCTTTAACAGTTTTTTAAAAAAAAATTGCATTAAAACCGTAAAAATGTTTTGCGTTCTGGGTAATAATACTATTTTGCTAATATGAACTCCTATTTGAATTAAATTTTTTAAACATTTTACAATAATATTTTAGAAATTAGAAATCTTTTTTTTGTACTATATTGCCCTTTAGACACCCTGTTATACTTAATTACATTTGAAAATGTAAATTAAAATTTGTAGAATAATTTAATAAATTAAGAAAAAACTAAAGATATTTACCGTCTGAATGTTGCTTTCCTGAGGGTATAGGCGATGAAATTCGAGAACTATTTATGGATACTGGCATGCTTTGACTTCCTTCAGTTTTATTAAGACCCTCGGTTAACCACGTTGAGTATTTTTCAGTCTGATCGACGATAAAATTGAGATGCTGATCTAGTGCCTTTTTTCTCTTTTCTTCCAGTCTCGTTTGTTGCTTATATTCTACCAACTGAAAAAATACAGAAAAACATTAAAACATATAAAAAAAAACCTCGTTTTTTTTAAACAAAATTTTTTTCCAAATTTTTTTTTATCTGTTTCTAAAAAAAGACGATGACTGAATTTTTAAAAACAATTCAATCCATTTATTTTATTAGAATTTTAATGTTCCCACAACGAGCACACAATTTAAACATTGAAAAAAAAGAAGTCAAAATTGCCGGCTTATAAGTGTGGGGTAAATTTGTTATTTAAAATTTAAAAAAAAAAAAAAAAAAGATTTACCTTTTCTACATTTGACCAGAAAGTCTTTATCTCTTTTGCGACAAAGCTCGCAATTTTTTTCAATCGAAGCTCCTCGAGTTTTTCTGCTTTCTGTGCTTGGCTGGCCTTTTCTTGAAAATGTTTTTGAATCATTCTCGCGCATTTTTTCGCCGCTGCTTTCTTCCATTTTCGTTCTTGGGCAAAATCAGCGGCAAGCCAAACCATTTCTTCCAATAAATAATCCCAATGAGCCTTCGATCTCGCGGGTTCTTGAACTTTTGGTAATCTTCGCTCGGACCATAAACCTTCTCTTTGTAATTCGGCAATCCTCTGCATTACATACGCCTCCTAAAAAAAAAATTATTCATTCAATAATAGAACAAATTTAATTTTTTTAAAAATAATTTTCTCTATTTTTGGTAAAATGAAAATAAAAATTTTTTAAATTTAATTTTACTTCATTATTGGAGATGAAATCATTTTTTTTTTATATTTTTAATACAAAAATTAGTGATGATAAAAAGTCGTATAATCCGAGGCCTGTAATTTTTTTTTTTTTTTTTAGAAATTTGATATTCTTCCACTATTTTTCATAAAATCCCTAACTTTTCTCTAATTTCCCTGAACCGTGATAATTCTTATAATAATTTTTTTGAGACATACCTGTTTGGCCTTTTCTACAATTTGTTCTTGATTACTCGAGGTATCACATGTTGTTGTTACAGAAGACGTGGGTAGTTTCACGAGTTTAACAACAGGTTGATTGCCGGAAAGTGTGGCAGGTGATGAACGATTCATCGAATTTGTCGTCGACGATTGTTTTTCCGATGCTGGACTAGCAGAATTTGTAGTGACTGTTTGTGGTGGATCTAAAACTAAGGGAGTTCCGCCTAAAATAAAAAAGTACATCATATTTCCTTTTGATTCGAATTTTTGTCTTAAAATCCAAATTTCCAAAAACAAAATTGTTAAAGATTTTAGAAATAAAAAAAAATAAATAAACTGAATCACAATTCTTGCACTACATGTTTTGTGTACTGCAAAAAAGGAATAAAATGTAATTATTTTTATTATTTTTTTTTTGTATCAAAACTGCCCTTGGACTGAATAGATAAAATGCCATACAGTCTTACAATTGCTTGAACTTTTATTTACCCACAAAAATTGAGACTATTTCACAAAATTTAATGAAACAGCGGAATTCTCTTTGTGGGGGATGTAGAATTAAAAATTGTAATTTTCTATTATTTTCAAGAAATTTATTTTTCAAAACGTTAGTTGTTAAAAAATTTAATATTTTATTTTTTGATACTTCAAGTAATTTTTTTTTTTTTACTTTTATTTATTTTTATTGTACAGTTTATTAAATTTAATTTAAAATCATAAAATATAAATAATTGTCCTTGAATAATTTGAAAAAGACAAAGTATTCGTGATACGAAACTAATGTCAAATAATGAAATTACAATATTAAGATGGAAATAGAAACATGCAAATTTTGTAGAAATTCTCCTTTGAGGAATATTATTATTTAAAAATTTATTGTGACTGAAATGTGAAAATAAAAACCAATTTCAGTACCATTTTTACTCAATTAAGCCCTAAATAACAAACATATGATAATGAATTGTACAACATTTATGATAAACGAAAACAAATTTTTTTTTTTTAAGACAGAAATTTATAAAAAATAATTTGTCTAAAAATCAGTTTTTTACAATTTGTTTATCAATAAAACATTACAAGAAATATTTTTTAGACTAGAATTCATAATTCAAAAAAATATTTCTTCAAAAATCATTGATCATAAATGTTGTGAACTTCAGCATTTTAACATCATGCAAATTTCACAATATGATGATAAAAACTTAAGAGAATTAAATATAAAAAAAAAATAGAATTTCTACTTTAATCACTTCAGTTCTTTTATATATTATTTTTTTTTTTATTTAATCCTCTCAAATGAAAATACTGAAATCTCCACTAGAAAATCACAGTAGGCTTGTTAAAAAAGCAAATTGTAAAGAAATTAAATAATGTACGACACAGATGTGCAATAATTTGCAATCATGGCAAAAATGTTCAACAATAAATATATTATTCTCACTTGTAGAATCAATTGACTACATCAAACAATTACACGATAAAGAAATTTTGAAATACTCTATGTGCCGAGTGTACTTATTTAAAAAAAAAAGGAAATTTAACCAAATTGATTTTAATAATACTATAATATACTAAAAAAAAAAAAAAAAAAAAAAAAAAAAAAAAAAAAAAAAAAAAAATTGAAAATGACTAAAAATATCAAAAAAGATGTATTGATTCATGTATTCATTTATTATATTATATTTTTTATTTATATTTTTATGAAATATTCAAATTTTATTTATTACTTAATAAAATAGTTTATAAAATTTATTAGTTTATACAATAAAAGTAATAAAATAATTATTCCCATTAATCAATAAAAAGTTAATTAATTTTCAATTATTATTGTTTCAAAATTAATATGTATAAAGAATAAAATAATTAATAATCAAGAATTAAAATTAAATGATATTAACGATTATTTTCACGTTTTAATTTCAATTTTGATTTACTTTTCAATTAGTAATCCCGAAAATAAACATTTTTTTTTTTTATTAATATTTACAATGTATCGTAAGCATCTCATTCTTTATTATGCAATTTGTTTGTAGTGACATTCAGTCGAACTAAATTGAGTTTCGAATGTTCTCTAAACTGAAGAAAAACAAAAACAAATATTACGAGTGGTCGCAAAATTTTAATAGCACATTCCCTAATAGGTCGCTTATTTTTTCTCAAAATTAATTATTAATATTACAAAATTGATAAAAAAATAAAGAAAATTAAATGATATAATTTTTATAATTATATTTTTTACTAATTTTCCTTTAGTTTTCCAATTTTAAGTAAATTTTATTATTTTGTAAAGAAATAAATTATTAAAAATATTGAAAGGAATTTATAAATAACTAACATTTTTCATTTGTTAAATATTTGATTTTTTTTCTGATAAATGAATTTAGTACTATAGCAATTTTATTTTTAACAATAATGTATTTTAAAATTTTTATTTAGCAATAAATTTTTATTTTCCAAAAGATAACTAAAAAAAATTTTTCTATGCAAATTATTATTATTTTTTATTTAAAAATTTTTTTGCAACATTTCTTGATCAATAATTTTTTGAAAAAAAATTTCTAAGCAAAAAATTAGTTATTATTTTTTTCAATCGTTGATCATAAACGTCTTGAACTTCACCGACGTAAATTTGAAAATTAAATTATTATCAAAATCTGCGATTATTTTCTACTCGTCTGAATTTGCGACCACTCTTTTAATTAAAAATCAACGAAATAAAGAATATATCAGTGAACGATTTAAACATTGAACGACAGGCCTACAGTAATCACCTATAATGAGAGCGGGTGCTAGAGTAGAGGTGGGTGAAGGGTGAACGGACACTGGTGAGGTCTGAATGGCAGCTCGGATGGCAAAGACCATGCCATGGCGGCCCCCTTGTGGCCTACCTGGTATATGTCCTAAGTGCGCAAATCACTCGTTCACATCATTTAAATTCCAAATATTAAAAAAAAAAAAAAAAACGCTAATTTACCAACGAAAAAAAAAAAACGTTTTCTAATTGAGGGATTTCTTGTGAAGTGATCAAGGTCAAAAAAGGTTTCTTTCCAAAACGCGCTCATACTTAGGTACGTAATTTTTTCAATTTGTGATTTTCATATTTTTTTTGTTTTTGGTAAAAAAAAAACTGATATTGAAAAAAAAATTATTAAGGTTAATTGTATTAAAAACTCCTCTCCTCTTACATAAAAAATATTGGTATACAAATGAAAATGTTGAACCAAGTTTAAGGGTATGTGGGCAAAGGACGTTTTTTTGTGGTTTGAAACTTTCTCTGAAATAAAAAATGATTTCAGGGTTAAAATTTTGAAAAAATGGTTTAGTTTGGTACAAGAAATCTCGCTATTCTTCTTATTTACTGTAACTTAACGCAAAAATAATAAAAATAAAGCAATAAATAGTAAAATAATGTATTTAATCGTAGTTCATTCAGCGGCCACTTGCTCGAATCGGCGCTGTTTACTGGAGCACCGACACACTCAAGCAACATCTGTGTATTTGCCGCCATTTTTTGTTTTCATTTTCGTTTAAAAATGCCACTTTTTAAACTTAATTTTTTAATAATTTAACGCAAAATTATGTATTTTTCGGAGAACAGCGAGATTCTATGAACCCTAATCCCTCAAAATTTTAGACAAAAATCTTTTTTCATTTTAGAGTGAAATGTATACTACCAAAACACATTTTCCCATACTAGGTCACGTGGGAGGTTCCCACATACCCTTAAGCACAATTAGAGAAAAATTTTTTTTTTTTCACCTTCATCACTTCATCTGAAATCTTTCAAATATATTTCTTAACGTTTTTATAAAAATAAAAACAGTTTTTAATTTATACTTATTGTATTATAAAAATTTTTTTTTTTTTATTTTAGGATCAATTCATTGTTATTTCGACTAAAATCGTCGCCGACTAATTTAAAAATTTTTTTTAATACTTTGCAGAAATAATTTTTATGTAATGTTTTCCACGTTAAATCAAATAAAATTTGGAATTTACATTTCCGATTTTTTTTTGAAACATTTTTTTCTTTTATCAATAATTGATTTATTAAGCTTCAGCCTTTCGGCACAGATTTTTTTCTTTTAGTATACTATTTAAAACTAGCTTTCATGGTTTCTTTTTTCATTTTTTTTAGCATGCCGTTTACGAGATATAAATTTTTCAAAATTACAGAATTTTTTTTTTTTTTGAATGCTCATGACTTCCTTAAAAATGTATCAATTTTCAAAGATTTTTTTTTTAAATTGTGTATTTTTACGTGAACTTTTCAAAAATTTGATGCAAAAAATTTACTATATTTTTTGCAATTAAAATTTTATTTTCAAAACTGTTTGTATCCTTCAATTTTTTTTTTTTTTTTTTTTTTTTTTTTTTTTTTGAAAATATTTCTAAAAAAGAAAAAAAACGATTTTTACAAAAAATTTAAAGCCTGATCCGGTCATGGTTTCAATACTTTCGAAAATTTAAAAAAAATCGTTTTCCCATTACCGGAACCAATACCCATAAGTATTCAAAAATAAAAAATCATTAAAATTCAGAAATTTTTTGAAAAGTTCATATCTTAAAAAAAATTTCAAAAAAATCGGAGATATAAATGCAAAATTGTGTCCAATTTGGCATGAAATGCCTCACATGAAAAAAAAAAAAACAATTTTTAATGTATTTTTTCTATTTAAAAAAAAAATGTTTCTAAAACTTAAAAAAAAAACGCCCAGTTTAGATTTTCTTTGTCAATTGAAAATTTGAATAAAATAAAAAAAATAAATTATTTTATCACACGAACCTTGTTGACTAAGTTGAGCAACGGCAGTTGGCAGAGTCGTCGAAACAGCCACAGGAGTGACGCCAATGCCCGGTACTTTGACTTCTGCACCTTGACTCATTGATTGAGTGGCGCTAACAACAGTAATCGTTGGCGTAACAGCCAAATCCGGTAACGGCACTGTTAAATCCTCATCATCATCATCGGGATCTAATTTATGCTGTCGGAGAAAGTGTAAATATTGCGGTGTCACTGGTCGTTTTCTCCACGTGTGAAAATCCATCACATTACCGCCCGCGTGTAAAAAGAAAAGTTCCGCGGCATTGTCAGCATATTTTTCTCTCACCGAACGCATTCGTTTCATTTTTTGTTCCATTATTCGTCGACGATAACCCATTGTTGTATTATCATCGGATGTTGTTGTTGTTGTTGATTTTTCCGTTGTGTCGGTGAGTTTTAATTTTTTTCTCGCTGACGGCGATTGTCCCGTTAATTGTGCTGTTGCTGTTGTTGTCGCTGCTGCTACTGCTGCTGTCGGCGTAACAAACATATTGCCATGGGAGGTGCGAACAAGTTTTGGCGATGTCGTCAAAACCACTTTGGTTGACGTTTGACGGGAGGGTGATGATAGAGGCGAGCCGCTCGCACTCGCGAGTCCAACAACACGGGGAGATGTGCTGCTACCAATATTGACAATTCGCGTGACGCCCAATTGTTGCAAATTTGCTGTTGTCGTCGCGCCACTCGGCAAAACCTAACACAAAAAAAAAAATTATAATTCATTATTTTTCATTTCTTTTGCTTCATCGGATCATTTGTGAGACCAAAAAATTTATTTTTCTATCAGACAAATGCCTCGTTTCACAGCATTAACAGGAATGAATTGAATGGATTTCATTTCCTTCAGTTTCGGTAGAATTATCATCATTTATTGCCTCCACATAGAAAGCATAATTTTTTTTTTTGTCTTTAAATTCATCAATTTTTCAGACAGGCCTCGGGTCGATTTTAAACCGCAAAAAATTCCTTTCTTTTCGATTTAAATTAGAAGAAATTAATAATTTATTAATAAGAATAATTGCATTATTTAAGTAGAACAAATTTCCAAAAACATTTTTGAAGTTACATTTTTTTTTTTTTTTTTTTTTTTTGAAGTCTGATTTAAGCTGTTTATTCGAATTTAAAATTTTTTCATAATTTTCAGTTTTTTAATAGTAATAGTAATAGTAGTATTTATTCCTGTATATTATGCATAGTTTTTAGTTTTGATGATCAAAATAATTTTATACAAAAACTTAATCAAGTTTTACAGATTTTTTATTACAAATTTTTTTTAAATAATAATAATTTTGGAAGAGTTAAAGTTGTAATTTTTAGAAATGATTGAATTTCAAAAGATTTGGTTAATTTTCAGACAATATAATTACATTTTACAGAACTAAAAATAATTTATCAAATAATTTTAGATAACATTTTTTAAAAGTAATTGAATTTTCAAAGATTTACAATTTAGATTTTTAAAATTAATTGAACTTCAAGTGATTTTTAATTTTAAATTTTTAGAAAAAATATTTTGAAAATAATTGAAGAATTTATAAGAAATTATACACAAAAATTGAACTTTTTAAAATTTTTTTCATTACAAAATGCTTTCAAATAATTGAATTTTTGAATATTATAAAAATCATTAAAAATAATTAAAATTTTTGCAAATAACTTAATTTCAAGTGATTTTGAATTAAACATTTTTCGTAATTTTATTTGCTATTTTTTTAAAAAAATTATAAACAATTATTATATTTCATAAAAATTTTAATTGAACAATAGTTTAAGATAATTGAATTTGTGAAGAATTTCATTAAAATTATTAAGAATAATTAATTTAGTAAAGAATTTTAGTTAAAAATTTGTTAAATAATTGAAATAAAAAAGATCTGAATAAGATTTGCATTGTATTCTATACAACGTATTTTGTTTCAAAAATTTTGTAAAAAAAAAAAATTTTTTAAGTCAAAAAAGTCACATTTTATTAAAATAAGTCGAAAAAAGTCTTGTTTTTGAAAAAAAAGTAGGTAAAACTCGAAAAAGTCGTGTAATCCGAGCCCTGAAAATTATTTGAATTCAAACAAATTAAATAAAAAATATTTTTCATTACGAAAAATTATTTAAGGATTTACAATTAAAACAATGAAATTTTGTTTGGAAAAAAATAACCCAAAAATTTATCCAAAAAAATTTCTTCAGAAATTAAACATTTGAAAAAATTGAAAAAATTTTCTTGGCAAATTTTAGGTTATGTTTCTTCAACAAAATGCCAGTTATTTGTAAATCTTTAAATTATTTGTAATTTTTAAAATTATTTTTTAATATGTGTATTTTTAGTTTTTAAAATATAGATTTTTTTAAAATAAAATTATTATTTTTAGATTTTTATATTATTTTTTTAGATATAATTTTAAAAATGAAATATTGGAAGAGTCACATATTTAAGATTTTTAGAAATAATTGAATTTCAAAAGATTTTAAATTGATATTTTTATAAAATTGAATTACAGATTTTTTTTCATAATTACAGCAATAATAGGATTTTAAAAAAATGTTAATTAAATAATTAAAAAATATTTTAAACAATTGAATTTTATAAGAACTTGATTAAAATTATTGAATATAATTAACTTGGCAAAGAATTTTAAATAGAAATTTGAAAAAAAAATTAATTTTGAGAAAGGCTAAAGGTCAGATTTTTGAAATTAATCAAATATCAAGAGATTTTGAATTGAAATTTTTGTATAAATTTGAATTACTGAAGACTTTTTTAAAAAAGAATTTCAGAAAATTTTTAAATGAAAAATGTTTTAAATAATTCAATTTTCAAAGAATTTTTTTAAATTATTGAAAATAATTAATTTCGCTAAGACTTTTTAAGATTCAAATTGATCAAAATTGAGTTTTGGAAGAGCTACAGTTTATATTTAAAGAAAAATCAAACATATTTTTTATTTAATTTTATTATGTAAAATAAGTCAAAAAAAAAAAAAAAAAAAAATTCGTCTAATCCGAGACCTGTTTAGATAAAAAAAAAATTATTCCATTTATATTTATCACAAAAGTATAAAATAATGAGGCCATTATCAAAGTTTTTCTCAGTTTATAATTTTGTAAATTTTAGCTGTGAATTAAAAAAAAAAATTTTTTTTTTAATTTAAAAAATTACCTGCGTGAGGCCTGGAACTTGAGAGGCGAGGACAAATTGTTGTCCTGCACCTGTAGTAAGAACATTAAGGCCTTGAGCAGTCGTAAGAACTTGATGTATATTAACTGTTTGTTGGGATCCTCCATTGTTCCCTCCATTATTTGTTCCACCCCCGCTGAGGGGTGGCAAAGTAGTACCAGGTTGTTTATCACTCATTACACATGATTCTGTAAAATAATTCATTTCAATTACAAAACCGCACATTAACTTTACATTGTAATAATAATAATAATAATAATAATAATAATAATAATTTATTTCATTGTATACCCAATACAGGGTTTTTACAAACTTCACTCCTTCGCTAATTACAAACAAAAATTACGCTCCTTAGTAACTTTACATTGTATTAAATATCTTTACGATGCTGAAGTACGCGACGTTTATGATAAACGATTTTTAAAGAAATAATTTTTTAGAATGAAATTTTTTATAAATTTTTATTTAAAGAATATTTCTTATAGTTTTTATTTAATTAGCAAATTATAAAAAAAATTATTTTTTTAAATAAACTATTTTCAGAGTGTCCAGTAAGAAGTACAAAAAAAAATTCCCTGACTTTTTTCTAACCCTTTTTCCAACTTTGCTTTAATAAAAATATTTAATATTAAAAAAATGAAAAGCATCAAATATTAAAGTATTTTTAAGATAATAAAAAACATTTTATTTATTAGCATTACAAACTTTTTCTTGCAACGAAAAATTTTAAAAATCCATTAAAATGTTTATTTTTGGCAAAGTTTTAAATAGTTTCCTGATTTTTCTCTGACGAAAAAATTTCCTTGATCGCTGAACATCCTGATTTTATAATTTTTCGCGTTAAATAAAAATTAATTTCTAATCGTTGATAATAAACGTTGCGTACTTCAGCATCGTATATCTTTCAATTAAAAATTCAATTTCATTAATTCATTAAAAAAAAGAACAAAAAATATTATGAAATTATATATACAATATCTGGTAGTTTTAATTTAAAAAAATAATAATTTATTTTTCAGTCAAAATAAGAAAATATCCTTCATGTTCAAAACGTTTAAAATTACGAAATTTTTTTTGTCTTATCTTCTGCTTGAAGAAAAATTTATTCTAAAATATAATACTTAGTAATAATTTTTATTTTTAGCAAAATTATTATCGATTAGTACTAAGTAGAAAAATAATGTTTTTCATCAAAAATAAAAATGAATTATTTTAAATAAAAATAAATTTCATTTAAAACAGAAGAAATATTAATTAATTAATTAATTAAAATTAAATCAAAAATATGTAATAAAATAAAATTAGATAAAATCGTAAGAAACAAAATGAAAAAAATTTTACAAAATAAAAGTATAATGAAAAAATTCATTTTTCAGAGTTGACATCTTAAATTGGCTCAAAAAAAAAAGAAAAAAAATTACAAAAACAAATCATGTTACATTTGTATTATTTATACTCGAATAATATAATTTTCAAATAAAATACTAATCTTCAAGAAATCTTTAACCACAATCCAAAATAGTCTTAAATCATACGCAAAAAAAATGTACAAATATAGAATGATTAAATATTCAAGATTAAAAAAAAAAGTTTATAAAAACACCAGCTGTGAAGAAACTAACCAAGAAATCAATTTTTTAATACAAGTTCAAAACTACAATTATTATTTTTTTTTTGTTTCATTACATAAATTTCTCACTTGAACCATTTTCATTATATTTTAAAAACTAAGAAATTAAGAAACATAATTATTTTTTAAAAAAATTATATATTAAATCAACCAATAAAAATAAAAAAAGCTAATAAATTTTTAATACGAAGTCAAATTGGCTAATGAATTCATTCGTTAAAAAAATATTTTAAAAAATTATACAATTTAAAATCCACTTTTTTCACGTATTTTTAACTATATAAAAAAACAATATAAAACTATCATCGTAAAAAAAAGCGCCGAAATCAAAATTAACTATAACGATCGGAGACTATAGGTGAACTTTCGATTTTTTTTTCCCCCAGAAGCTCGTCATCAGGATTCGCGAGCGGAAATGATTTTTTTTTCTAACAACTCAATATAATCGCGTTATCGTAATCTAAAGAAAAAGCAATGTCATTTTTTAAAATTACAGTAACAAACCAATATAGCGTTTGCATCACTAAGCACTCTCGGGGCGTCTCGTTTTGTCGTCTGGTCGGTGGAAAAAAAAAATCCATTTTCCCCGATATCCAATTAAAACTGACCGGAAATCACTCACAAACTTGAATATTTATCATAAACACTAATTATAAAACGTTTGAATAATAAAACATTAATAATAAAGAAAACAATATTTTGATAATTATTTTTACATGAGAAAACCTCGCCTAGATACAAAGGAAATTTTTAGACCGCCATATTGGCGTTGTCCCGACACGAAGACGACTTACCATTTCGGAATCACAAGATTCCGCCTCCTAGGTCGCCCATCCACGGGAATAACTATTTCACCCGTGATTAATAAGCGACAAATTAGAAATGGATATCTCACGTAATTTGCTGAGAATTCAATATATCTAATATTTTACCGAACATTTTTGCTTGACTTGCTCAAGGACGCAGAGACACTTCTAAACATGGCGACGGTTTCCGACAAATTTCATGTCAACGAGACTCCGAAAGAGAAACAACATCGCTTTCGCGAGTTTACAAAAGCCGCCGACAGAGTGCGCACATTTTGACTATCGCAATTTTCATTGGCTAGAAAGATGAGGATACTTGGCAACATTGTGCATTCTAACGATCACCATTGGTTGTATTGTTAAAAATAAAAAGGGTGGACTTCCGGCAATGAAAGTCAAATCAGCAACTCTTTTATATTTCATAAAAAAAAATTTCATGCACTTATAAGGGAAAAAATTTTTTTTTCATGGAAAAATTATTGTCATGCAATTTTTTTTTTTTATTACACTAAAAAAACATTAATTAAAATAGAAACTGATTATTTAAATAATTTAATACATTTACGTAATAAGTGAGTCAAATAAATGAACATTCAATTTTTATTATTTCTGTAAATTAACCTCTTAAAATTTTGATACAAAAATTGTTTTACACATTGTAAAAAAAATTATTACTATTTTGAATATTTATTTTAATATAAAAAAAAATATAAACTAAAAAAAAATTAAATTTTCCACAAATTCGAAAACGATTAACATAACCTCAAAAATCAAAGATTTCGAAAAAAAATATAATTATGTATATTATAATAAATAATTTTTATTAAAAATAAACTAACAAAATAAAAATTCTTCTATGTATTTATTAATTCAATAAATTTTAAATAAATCCTTATTTTAATTCACCAATTAACGAACATTAAGGAACCACGTGTTTGCATAATTGTTTGATAAATGTTAATTAACACGAATTTTTTTTTTAAATTTACAAATGCAATAATAAAAAAAATAATAATTAATTTTAAAATTAAATTCAAAGTTAAAATGAAATAATTCATAAAATGAAACATGATACATATATTCAGAAAAATGGCAAAGGACGCGATGCCACGTGCCAAGTTATTTTTCTTCACGCACTTATTCGACGAATCGTTTTTTGGATTAGAAAAAAAAAATTATTTATTATATTAAAATTTACCTTATTTATTCGCCAAATCTATTGATGTAGCATGAAGAGCGTATGCATTTCTCACACACGAGAACTCATTGAAGTTGAAATAATTCTAACAGCGTGAGGACATTGACCGACAATGAAACTAGCGTACAATTTCCCTAAGTTTTCTACCTTGTAAATATTTGTCAAAAGCATTTTTCCAAGATATTTTAAAGAGAAAAGAAATTAATCTTGTATTATTAATCATAATGATAAAAAAAATTATTTGCAATTATATGACTTTTTTTTTTTAAATGCGTGTATTTTTTCACTGTATAAATAATTTCTTAGATGTCTTTTAAAAATACTTTTAACAGAGAGAGAGTTGATGACTTTGTCGTGTTGACGTTGCAAGAAAAGTGGAGAAAAATCGACGAGAATCACGAAGAATATATGAAACTATTTCCGAAACCGGATATTAGGTTTTTGGGTAGTTTTTGGGGAGAGTGATAAAAATGAAGTCAATTAAAAGCTTTTAGAAATAATCGATATCTCTCTATTGATTGACGTAGTTTTGATTTACATATCCGTTATTTAAATTTACATTATTTTAATATATTTAAAAAAAAAGATATATAACATGAAAGCCAATTCTTTACTGAAAATTGAGATTTATAATAAATAAAATGAAGTTCCTCTTTATAGTGATTTTTGTTATAAATCAATCAGTTTTCACTTAATTTTTTTTCCTTTTTCTATTACTTTTTCTGATACTTGATGTTAATATTCCAAACGGAAATCAAGCAGACGACATTCATGACAATTATTGTCACCTTTGTTGTTATTGTTTATTAATTCGTTTTTTTAATATTCTAGAATAATGTCACGATTAAATTCTTCAATTCATGTAAATTTGACAGATTCTGTAATTAATAAATTATTTAATAAAGGTATTTATACGTACGTTAACTTTATTAATAAAGAAACAAATCTTTTGATAAAAGACACCGGCTTGTCATTTAAGGTACGTTTTTTAGGTTATATTTTTAAAATAATGGATTTGTAATTTATGTTTTTATTTTATTTTTATTATAGGGAAATTGAACAAATTTAAAGAAAAAAATCAATTATATACTTATTCTGTATGAGAAAAAAAGTTTTATCAATTTAATCGATTTAAAATTCAATTTATCTAGAAATTTTAATTCATCAAAATTTCGCAATTTAATTAAATTTTATTCGATTCAAATATTAATGAATAAAAATTTTAATTTTAAATTTCGCAACTATTCAATTCTAATTTTTATTGGTCAAAAGTAATTTATTAATTAAAATTTTGAATGAAATGAAAATGTATAATCGATCGAAATTTAAAATGAATTAAATTTCAATCTATATAAAAATTAATAGATTTAAGTTAAATATATTATCAGAATTTTAATTTATTCAAATTTTAATTGTTTTAAATATCAATTTATACAAATTTCAATTTAAATGTTTGATTGATTTAAGTTATAATTTATTCAAATTTTTTTTTACATATTTATAAAAATATAATTATGTTGCAAATAAATAAATATATATTTTTAGGAAATTGTGGATATTAAAAATGAAATAGCCAACTTTTTAGGTGGACGTATAATTAATAATGCTTTAGACTTATTAAAAAGTGAAACAATTATTTCCTCAGGAGTATCTAGGTGAGTTTTATGTGCCTGAAGTTCTAAACGTTTAAATGAATGAAATCATTTTTTTTTTAAATTACAATGAAAAATTAAAAAATACTGAAATTATTAATTTATTAAATTAATAATTTCTTTTTTGATACAAAAAACTAATATTTTATAATAAAATTTGAATATAAGGTAGTAAAAAATTTTTTTATTCATTTAAATGTTCAGAATTTACAAAATATTGAGTTTTGTTTTCTATCACTTTTGAGTAGCGAGTAAAAAAAATAAATTTCAATATATTTTTTTTTTTATTGAAGTTTAGACAAATTATTGGATGGTGGTTTTCATTCAAATCAAATTTATGAATTTTGCGGAGCCTCTTCATCTGGTAAAACACAATTGTGTTTGTCAATCGCCACTTTCATTGCATTAGAAACAAATAAAATTGTTCACTATATCGACACCAAAGGAGATTTTTCAGTATTACGAGTTGAACAAATTTTAAATGCAAAAAAGTGCAAGGATGAGGTAATTAAAAATTGATTAATTTTCCAATTCATTCTTTAATTATTAATATTTATTATTTTTTGAATATTTTTATTTTAAAATTTAAAATAAATTTTAATTAAAAATTATATTTTGCCCTTTTTTTTTTCTTCATTCAAGGAAATAGTAAGAGTAATGGAAAATATTAAAGTAACAGAAGTTACAAGCACTAATTTATTATTTTCAATTTTACATAATTTGGGAAATATTTCATTGGATAAATTTGATACAAAATTATTGATAATTGATTCGATGTCTACTTTTTGTCTTGCGTCGAATAAAAATATTGAATCAACATATTCTTTATGTAATTTACGAAATATGCTTAGACACATTAAATGGAAATATAATATTTCAATAATTACCACAAATTTAATAACACAATGGAGTGAAGAAAATGCATTTATTTCATTCAAAGATGGTGTAAATATCACAGTTAATGTAAAACCAACATTAGGAAAAATTTGGTTACAAGTGCCAAATACAAGAATTTTGTTGAAATATTTGAAAAATGAAGAAAGAGAAATTTCAATTTGGGATAGTTTAGAATTAAATGTCGGTGAAAAATGCAATGTAAATATAAATTCTACTGGTGTTTGCTAATGTTTATAGACACAATTTAAATATATAATTTATGTAAATTTTTTTTTATTTTTTATAAATATTTCATTAGGATTTAATCTAAATTTTTGAAAATTAATAAAAAAAAAAATACTCCATAATTTATTTAAAAAAATTTTTTTTTTATTAACAATTTTAAAAATTAACAAAAATCTCGAATTTTATTAATTATTATCATTGTAACTGTTAGTTGGTAAAGAATAATAAAATTTTATTTTAATTTTAAAAACGTTTTTAATTTTGAGGTTATGTCATAATAAATCCAACTATTAATATATATAAATTAATAAAAATACAGAAAAATATCTATTTTCTAAAAAAAAACATTAAAATATTTTTTTTACATTTTTTTAAATTTATCGTCAATTTAAAAGTTGATATCAAAAAATGAACGCAACTTCCGGTGTGATGACATTTTGTTGCGACGTTGCCATTTTAGTTCTTTTTAATTGTCTAGGTGTGTTAGTTGCCGGGTTAAAGCTTTTTACATATACATGAAGACCTTTAAAAGTAATAATGAGATGGTGTAAGTAGAGTTGAAAATACATATATACATAAATACTAACGTAAAATTTTTAATACATATACACATGTACAATTTGACATATATGGTGTATATGTGTTGGTTATTATTAGTCATTATTAGATTTTAGTCACTCTAGATATTATTAAATTATAAAAAAAAATATATATTATTATTATTTGTTAAAAAGAAATGGCTTCCTTGGTAGCAGATTATGGATCCTCTTCTGGTTCAGATAATGAATCTGACAATGTTTCTGAGAATGGTGATAGCATGTAAGTTTACATTCTTAAAATTAATTTATAACAAAAACAAAATTACTTTGCGTGTCACGAACACATTTCTAATTCTAACCTAGAAATTTATTTTAAGTCAATAATAATTCGTTTAATTTTGTTTCTTTATTTCTTTATAATTTAGTTTTATAGTTTCAATTTGTTATTAAATTATAATAATTAATAAAATGTCCATGTTAAAAAATTACATAATTTGACAGATTATATCACGTTGAATAATTTAAAAATTAAAATTTTTTAAACACTATTTTTCTTTTAAATTTATATCGTTTTTAGTTCACATAACCTACAAAAAAAAAATTTTTTCTTTTTTTTTAAATCACATGAAATTTTGTATCGGTTCTTTGTAATCTGATATTGTCTAAACTATCAGTTCAAAGGAGAAGGAAGAGGATTCGGACAGTGATAATGACGAGGGCTATAATGAAAATAAATTACAATATGAAAAACTTCCATTACCAACGCCTGATTTTAATGGCACAACCACCATGAAGACTTCTGTTTTTTCAAATCCATTTGTCGAAGCTGAAAAAGCAAAAAGTGCAATTCTTGAGAAACACGTGAAAATGACACCAACAATGGACGATACAAAAATGATAAATGGAAGAAAAATATGTTGGAATTATCGTAAAGGTAGATGTCGATTTGGTCACAATTGTACATTTGCACATGATTCAGATTTACATCGTACTGCATCTGAATTAGAGGCAATGCGTGCACCACAAGAGACAATTATTTGTCAAACATCATATAATGGACAAATTAGTATGATTGATGAAGATGAAATTGATCAAGAGAATAAACAAACGATAAAACGAAAGAAACGACCAGGATTAAGTCAAACACTTGTTCCTGGAAAGAAGGTTTTAAAAATGTATAAAGCACAACAAGCAAAGGTAGTTGGTAGATAAATTCAACGTCTTTTATAAAAAAAAATAGTTCCCAAAGAATTTTTCGTTTCAAATTTAAGAATTTAGTTTCTTTTTTTTTTTTACTTCAATGAATTTTATTGATTTCTTTGTATGGGTACTAAAAATAATGGATACCAATTTGTCTCAAATAGAAGAAAATTCCGCGTTTATAGCTTCCAATTAAATATAGATTAGCAAAATGTTTTTTTTTTTTTTTTTTAAAAACATTCTGCTGGTTCTAGTTTTCCATTTTAGTAGATCAATTTTACCTGTAGTCTTGATATACTGTTAGCCCTGTGCTTCCATTGGACACACTGTCAATGTCATTAGAATTAATTAATTAATGCGCTCTTACGGAAAAAATATTATAGACATTGTGGTGGAAAAAAATTTCCAAATTAGAAAGAAATTTAATTTTCTTAAAATTTTTTTTTTAAACATTTTTGTTAAAATTTGTGTCTATAATAATTTTTCTATATTTTTATTATTAATTATTAATTATTAATTATTAAATATGAAATATTAAATAAATGAATGAAAATAATGAAAATCAACTAAAATTCATAATTTATAAGATTATTCTACAGTATTTATTGCTAAAATTCTATATATAATTAATTTAATGAATCAAAGTTTAATGAGATTTAATGATATTGCATTATAAATTTATTTAATATTTTTATCAGAATTAGTAAAGTAAAGGCAGCGCAAATGTTCAAAAAAAAGTGTTATTTATACATAGAGCTCGTTATTAGTTTTTTGGAAAATTTTCTTTTAAAACATGACAGTTTGTGTACAAAGTAACTTTGCAAACTTCCATAGTTGTACATTTTTAAGAAATATTAAAAAAAGCCTTTTACTTGAAAGTCTTTACGTATATATTATATAATATATATATATAGAAAATATTTAAAAATCCTATATAAAAAATCATAATTTATACTCCAATATATATATATATTAAATATTATTATATTTCAATAGAACTTTTTTAAAGATTTTTTTTTCGATATAAGTTAAATTTTGTTTGAATTCTTCCATATTGTGTTTTAATAAGAGAATTAAAATTAATAAACTAGTCACTTTATTTTCAATATGAAAATATGAAAGGCGCTTCTTAAAACACTTCCATTATTATTTTGTTACAATAGAATTTTTATTATATGCAAGAAAAAAAAACGTGCTTCGAATAGATTTGTAAAAGAATAAATTATTTGTGACTTTACATTAAAAAAATATTACCTGGAACAAATATAAAATATTCACTAGAATATGTATAAATTTTTTTCTGGTATAAAATTACCTAATCCTTAGTGAATATTTCAATTGGAATTTATCATTGTAATTACACATACTTCCGAAATCAAGTTACAATTTTTGTTATAATACTATTTATTATTTTGTATTCATATATATGTTACAAATAATTTTAAAATAAAATATATACAATATACATCTAAATTTGGGTAAAATTCTTTCTTTCACATTATTTTAACTTAAAAATTTATATAATTTTCCAAATTCCTTTTTTCTTTTAAAGGAATTTTTCATTTTTTTTTTTCGATTTTAATAGAGAAAAAAAGATGTAAAAGGGATATAAAATTTAAGTTTTTTTTTCCAATTTTCTAATTTCTATTAGTTAAATAAAATAGAAAATTCTCATTAGAAAAAACAAAATAAAAGAAAACGAAATTTTCAGACAGATATTTTTTATTCGACAATCATATTTACAATTTGAATTCAGATTAAATTCACACATTTAAGAATACAGCAAGTGTATACATCAATAATTTGGTATTGTAACCTTTCATTTAAAATATATCTGATTTAAGTGTATTCTATTTTTTTTTCTCTTTTGTCTGAAAGTCACAGGCACTTTGACTCTGGTGGGAGGAAAATTTGTGATAATTCGATTTAGCAGTATTCACAAGAAAATTGTGATCATCACAGTTTTGTAATATGTATATATATATAATACGATTACCAACGAGAAAAACGATCGTTTTCTTCATTTCATTTTTTTTTTTGTTACTCTTTCTCATATTCTCTCTTTCACTCTCATTTTTACTTTTTGTTCTTTTTATTTCATTTACAATTTTTATGTTGTTTTTCTTTCGCTGTCACTTTAAAATATATAAGAAAAATTATGAAAATCACAGTTATTTATAAAATAATATTGCTGTCCGGAAAAGAGTAATTTTCAAGAATATACAAAAAAAAAGAGTGACAATGTCTCGCAATAATATTATTCTAATTATATCAAATATTCTGATCTATTAAATATATCTATAGTCATTTTAATAATTCATTAAAATTTCTTTTGAAAATCCTTGAAGGATTTTCATTTCCAGATTATAGACAACTATTGAAATATTTTTTCTATAAAATAACTACAGGGATTTATTTATTTTTTTTTTAAGATCTAAGTATTCTTTTTACTAATGATTGAATAACGTACCTATAATTTTGTACGTAAAAACATTAAGTCACTGATTCTTTGTCACAACAATTCAAGAGATTTTCATTGAAAAAGAAATTCTTTAAGTAAGTGAATTTTTTTCTTTGTTGTGGAGTAGTTCAATGAACTAAATTAATTTCATTCAAAAGAAAAATACTGTATTTGTATAATATGTACAACTAAAAATTACTTTTCCTATTAGATAAAAATCGCTACACTCAAAATAAGTACAATTTTCATAACTAAAATATAATATATAATAAAATATTTTTGTTAAAAACAAAAGAGAAAAAAATCTTAATCTACAATATATAAGTCTTAAATACTTTGCGAAATACATAAACGAAAAACTTAACAGTTATTTTCCAAGATTGAATGGAGAAAAATCCTATTTAAAATCTTAAATTAAAATTTAATTATGTCCATGAAATTCTGAATGCTCATTTTTTTTCCCCATAAAAATATATAGATTTAAATATAACATGCAAGAAAAAAATAAATAAAAATTGTTGATTAAAATGTCAAAACAAAATAAATACAATAAATATGAAAAAATTACAAAAAATTAAAATAAAAGAGAAAAATACAAAAAAATGTTTGGGACAAAAAACACATGTTTTTAAAAGTATAATATATTTTTATAATTTGCAAAAAAAAAATTTTGTATTCTATTTAAAATTAAAAATAAAGGAAAAAATCGAAGGCAACAATTTTTTTTTTTGAACGTTCAGAATTTCAGGTGGAAAAGATATAATATATATTCTCTATTTTATTATTGAACTACTCCGTCTTTTTCTTGTAAAATAAACATAGTCTCATATTTACTAGAGTTTCATTCTCCAAAGATGTCTTTGCCAATAAATAAAATCACTATATGATGCTTTGGATGCAGTCTTTCCATTACTTTTTTTTTTTTTTTTTTTTTTTTTTTTTTGTCAGTGGCACAAGAAGTTGATTGTGAATAAATTTTGAAAAAAAAAAATATCTAACACCAGAGACGCTGAGGTAGTGTCTACTTGAATAAAATTTTTTTTTTTTTTACACCCCCCTGCATTGTTATAAACTACACAAAAGGCGCACATTTAGAATTGTAATTTTCAAAATGAGAAAAAAATCACCTTTCACATGCAACAAAAAAAATTTCTAGTTCTCTTAATTTTTCTTTTTTTTTTTTTAACTTGTACTCGTTTGAAATATCGAAGTGCGAAGTTGAAATAGATGAAAAACGAGACTTTCATGTTACAGGCGAGTGTGTGTTAGATGTATATTTTTGTGGATTATATAACATTTCCTTCATTTTTAAAAGACATTTCAATTTCATGTGTAAAAAATTTTTTTTTTTTCATTTTTGTAAATTAATGTATATCAAAAAACATCAAATTATTTTAATGACAATTTATCAAAAAAAAAAATTGTCTTGTGATTTTTGTTCTCTTTATACAGTAATAAGTACTTATTTTGAAAATGGAACTTGTCATTATTATAGAACTTTCATTATTCTTCAATAATGTTTCAATTGTTTTTCGTTAATGAAATCAATTTTTTCTTTTTGCAGTGTGTATGAAAAAATTATCTTCAATATTGAAGTCAATTTTTATGGTATTTAAAAATTGTTTTCGTTACTTTTTTTTGTTTAATGCGACATTTTGCGAAAAGATCATTCGGTTTTTTTTTCTTTTCAAATTGAATAGCAGAAAGCTTTAAGAATGACACACACACACACACACGCGATTAATTTGAAAATAAACTCTTACTCTATATAATGTAAATTTTTCATTAGACGATTATTACCCGAAATTTTCCATTTATTTAAAAATTTCATAAACAATAAATAATTAAAAAGAAATTAGAAATAAGATTTTAAAACAGAAAAAAAAAATTTATATAAAAACAATTGTATTAAAATTTTATTTTTAAATTTAGTTTTCAAAAAAAAAAATATATATATATATATATAAAAAGGTAACAGGTTTTAGTAATTTTTTTTTAAATCGACTTGAGAAAAATGTTGAAAAATTTCGGGGAATAATATTGAATGAAAAATTTTATAAATATTTACTAACAATTGTCTTGAGAGGACAATTTTCAACTACCAAAAGACATGTTCAATTCTGTTACTCATTGAAAGAATTCATTTTTTTTTTGTATTGAATGTGTTACTTTTCTTTTTGTTGTTTTTTTTTATTTCGTGACGACGGCTGTAGCATTTTTCGTTTGCCCATTGTGTTTTAATCCATTTGTGACGCCATTCGTCATAACGTGAATGCCATTTTGAACAATTTTTGCATCAATACCATTTCCATTGACTGTTGTTTCTGTATCGATTTTTTTCTTCTCGATGCCATTTAGCTGTTTATTTGATTCCATTTTGTCGTCAGGTTGACATTTTGTTGTGCTTAGTGGTTTCTCGGGCGTGCCTGGAAGAGCGTATTCTGTACAATTAATAGAGAAATATTGATAAAACTTGACTTACAAACTATTTATCGGGGAAACTAAAGCACCACACGACATGCGAGATTAATAGTTTTAAAAAAATCGCCTTAATATCATTAATAATTGTGAAATAAAATTAGTAACAAATTTAAACAATTGGCATATTAAATAAATAAATAAATAAACGTAAACAATTTAATAATAAGTGACAATGAATAATTAAAATATGTGATATTCTTCTTTTATTTTGAATAAATAACAAAAAATATTTTATCTCGACAATAAATTTAAATTATATTATTAAATACAATTATATTATAATTTTATATATTCAAAATTATCTAATTTCTAATAATCTATTTTTGTAATATTTTTTTTATATGTTAGTCGCCTATTTATGGTCCTTCTGAACCGCGGAAGTGTAAATAAATATTTATAAATTTAACATTTTTACACTTTTTTTCAAAATTAAAAATATCTCTTAATTTATCATTCCCCTCCCCCAAAAAAAAAAATTTAATAAAATTCTAATTAAAAATTAGTTTTTGATTCCAAAAAAAAAATATTGATTATTTTTTGAAAAGAAAAGAAATGTTTCAACGTCTTTTTTTTTAAATGAAATTTTTTTGTTTTTTTTTCTTTCGATTAAATTTCTAAAATAAAATGTTGATTTTTTTTGAAAATATCAATTGATTGTAAAAAAAATTCTAAGTGGAAATTTTTTTTTTTTTTAAATATAGGATATAAAAAATGTATACCTCGAAATGAATTAATATATACATACCATGCAAGTTACGACAATATTTATTTGTATCGTTCCATTCTTCTCGAAGACTGAGATTGAACATACTGTAATCGGGATTGCCGGTAACTTCCTTCTCAATTGTTAAAAATTGCGGTAAAATTTTTCTTAAATCATCACCACTTAATGCTGTGTATGTTTCAAGTAACATTAATCCCCTGCATCTAATTAGTATAGTGAAAAATTATTTTATTATTTAAACTGTTTTAAATAAATTTCAATAAATTAAAAAAAAGCAAATAACAGAAAAAAATATATTAAAAATTTTATTGACTTTTTTATTAACAATTAAAACATTATAGAAAATTATAGAAATAATTAAATTTCAGAAGGTTTTAAATTGAAATTTTTGAAAATAGTTGATTTTTAAGTGAATTTCAATTGAAATTTTTTGTATTTTATTTGATGATTTTTTTTTTAATTTTAGACAATTATTGAATTTTATCAAATTTTTAATTGAAAAATAATTTAAGATAATCCGAGGCCTGCGAAATATTTTAAATTAATTTTTTTGTTATTCAAAAACCAAATTATTTGCTATTACTGCAATTGATATTAATTTCAAATCTGGTAAAATAAAATAATTTTATTATAGTATTATGAAATTTCCACCGTCAACAGATGAAATGATTAAATTTTTCAGCACAAAATAGAAAAGAAAAATCAAAAAGACTTAAAAAAAAAATTAGATTTCTAAAGAAATAAGAAAGTATTGAAATATAAGAAAAAATTATAATTTTTTTTTTACCTAGGATGTCCTGGCTCTCTATAAATATCCAATTGGAAATACTGATTATTGATTAAGAAGCAACGACGACGTTTAAAAATGGTAAAATGTGAATCGTCCCTTTGAGCCAAATTATTTAAATAATCTCTATGCGTCAATTGTGTTTTAACTTCAACAACTTGTCCGCACATCTTTGGTCGTCGAATCGTGTGAATGTAGGACCAGTGACCTGAAAAACATTTCTTTTTAAAAATTTTGCTTCATTTTTAAAGGCGAAAAAAAAATTGAATTTCAATAAATTAAAACAAAAGGAAACAAAAACCTTTCAAATTACTACTAAAAATAATAAAATTATAAAAAAAAAAAAATTCTTCAAACCTTTTTGACCGCGTTTACGAAGACGAGCCTGAAGCTTCGGTGTGTTTCCTTGCAAATAATTATGTACAACATCGAAATCTTGAAACGGTGGAAATTCGCTGTCCGGTGGTAGTGGTGGTTTGACGAGAAATTTCACTTTTCTGCTACTTGCACGAAGTCGATCGCCCGTATCGATGCCCAATTTTTGACAAACACATTCAATCATTCGACAAATTTTACTCTCAAAATCTTGAGAATTGTCAATAACATCGAAATAGGGATGGCCAACCCATGCGGCGGCGGCATTATAGTCAAGTTCACGGGCAAGTTCAACGCCTTCGGAACGACATACATGATCTTCGGTTGAATAAAAATCCTCAGCACCGTTCGCCGCTGAGACCATGTGAATTATTTGATTGTAACGATTGTCGCGCAATTCCACATTGTTCCAACCATTCGAGGCCATCATCAATTCCCATTTGTCTTTTGAAATAACTATCGATAAAAAAAAAAGAAAAAACATTTTTCAAATTAGAATATATGGTTACGCATTTATGAATATTTACCACTTACAGACCTCAGATCGACGTCGTTCTAATCGACTTAATAAGAATAACTCAATAGAAATATATTATCAAGAAAATTTTTTTCGAATATTTCAGAAATGAAGACGTATATTTTTAAAATTTTAATTATGTCAAACAAATTTCAAAAAAAAAAATCTGACAATTCAATTTTAGAGTATTTATTTGTAACTTTTTTTAAATAAATGAATTTTTAAAGAAATATTAAAATTATTAAAAATAATAAAACTTTGGAAGAGTTATACAGAGTTGCCACACAACAAGCGTAAAATATTTGTTTTTTAAAAATTATAATCTTTATTAAAGAAAATAAAATAAAAATTTTTCGAAAATCTATTATATTAAAAATCATAATTTTAACATAAAATAAGAAAAAAAAAATTCTGTTTCATTTCTTAAAAGATAGTAAAAATGTAAAAATTTTTAACTATTTTTAGTAGAAAATTTATGATTTAAAAATATTAAAAAATTCGTTCGAATTGAAAACATGCCGAAATAAGACAAAATATACTTTTTGAACTAAGTTTTTTTTATAAATTCCGTTTTTTTACCGTTTTTCCTAACATTTCCAGGTAATTTTGAATTTTCCTGACTTTTTTCGGTTCACCCGGTTTTTTCAGTCTTATGTGGCAACCCTTATTATAGTTGAAATTTTTAGAAATAATTAAATTTCAAAAGATTTTGTTACATAAGTTTCAGACAAAAATTAAATTTCACAGAATTGAAAATAATTTATGAAATATAATGTTAGATAACATTTTTTAAAATGTAATTGAATTTTTAAAGATTTACAATTTTAATTTTTGAAATTAAATAAACTTCAAGTTATTTTGAATAATTGAATTTTTTTGATGATTTCTGTTCTTGAAGAATTTATTAAAAATTAAACACAAAAATTGAACTGTGAAATTTTTTTTGATTGAAAAAATGCTTTCAGTTTATTGAATTATTCGAAAAATATTATAAAAATCATTAAAAATAATTTAATTTCGGAAGAGTATTATTGAAATTATTAAATTTATTAAAAAGTTTTAGATGGAAAATTTTAAGAGATTTTAAATTGAAATTTTTTGTAATTTTATTTGATTTTTTTTTAATTTAAACAATTGTTGAATTTGATAAAAAAAAATTTTTAATTAATTTAAGATAATTGAATTTGTGAAGAATTTCATTAAAATTATTAAAAATAATTAATTTAGAGAAAAATTTGTTAAATAATTGAAATAAAGAAGATCTGAAGAAGATATGTATTGTCAAAAAAAGTCAGAAAAAGTAAAAAAAAAAGTCGTATAATCCGAGGCCAGCAATTGAAACCTATTGGATTTATTGTGATGTCGAATTAAAAATTATAAAATTTTTATTTAGCCGAATTTTATAGAGATTTTATAATAAGTCAAATTTCTATTTAACTAAATTATGATTTAACAACATTTTTATTAAAAAAATTTTCTGTTCGACCTAATTTTTATAACAGAAATTTTATTTAGTTGAATATTGTTAGAGTTAAAAATTATTGCAATATTTGTTGAAAAAAAAAATCGTCAAGAATTTCTCAAATATTTTTGAAAAAAAAAGAACTGAATTGTCACCATGCAAAAATGGGTTAATAAAATTATATAGTTAAAACAAAAAAAATATAACTTACATGCAGAGGCGTCCATAGCACCACGATCACAGATTATAAGGCAATTTCGGGAACAACTTTCGCCCAGTTGAAAAAATGTATTTTCAATTTGGATCATAGTTCGCAGAAGATTCTCTTGAAATTTGAATGCTAAAAAATAAAAATTATCGTTAGTGACAAAAATCCCCGTTTTTTTTATATTGTTAAAAAAATATTTTTTTTAGAAATTTTTCACATTACAAAAAGTTTCTTAAAAAAATTCTTTTTTTTTTTTTTACTTTTCAAATGAAAATAAAAATAAAAATTATCATCATAAATATTACTGAAATAATGATTTTTCTCTCTTTGCTAGCAACAGTTTTTCTAGCCATATATTAATTTCTACGATTTCGCTATCATCAATAATAATAAAAGCCGTGAAATTAATAACTAAATGATTTCTTTTTTTCTTTACTCAATTTAAAAAAAATTGATTGATTGATAATTACTGATTTTGATATAAATTTGTAATTTTTTTTTATATATTTAATAAATAATAAAAATTAATATAAATTTTCCTTTTTAAAATATTTTTCATTTTTTTTTTTCAGAAACATTGAATTTTAGAATAAAAATTATTCCACAGGAGTAAATTTATTAAACAATCTTTCAGTGTCTTTAATAAAAATTGTGAATGAAAATAATGAGATTCCAAGGACACGAGAAATTAATAAATAATTGAAATAGGAACTTTTATTTAATCGTGAGACAGAAAAATTTGACTTAAGAAGACAAGTTATTTGACTCTTTTTGTCGTTAATAGAGGACAATTACAGTAATAGACAATATAACAAGTTTTACTTGAAGACACGTGTCTAATTTCCATCATGAATATATAAATATACATTGTATGTATATTTCAGGCTTAGAATAAATTATTAAAATACTTTTAAAAATATCAAATTTTTTTTTTAATTAATTTTTTTTATACTCTATTTTTGAATTCAAAATTGTTTCATCAATATATTTTATATTCACATTTTTTTTTTTTTTTTTACATTTATTATAGTTTTATCAAACTATTTCAATGTTCTTCTCAAAGAAATTCAATTATTTCTTATTTATATTCCAAATCACGAAAAGAAAGAAAAATAATAATGTTCAAAAAAAAATTATTCTGTACCAAGAAAATGATAAAAAAAAATTTTATTTTTTGAAAATTCAAAAAATATACGTATTTTACGAAAATACATATTTTTAAATTTCTTAAAAATGTTCAATTGTTTTTTTTTTTTTTTTGTCCAAACGACAAAAATTATATTTTAATTAATATTGTAACGTCGAGAAAAAGTTTGTTAGTGTTTTGTTTACTTTTGACGTGCCGTGAATTATTTTCATGTTTATATTCGTACCTATATATTGTATTGTTTTAATGAATTGGCTTTCTCTCAGAAAATTCGTATGATTGCATTGTCACGTTTTTAATTTGGTGAGTATTTCCCATTAGGAAAGTAGCCAAACTTTTGTTTTGGAATTGTTCCCAAAATCAATCTTCACATTGTGTTTCGAAGTTTAATAGCATCAATTTTCCCCCCCTCAGCAGCTAAATCGAATTCTTTTCATTTCGACAAGAGAGAGAGAGAGAGAGAAAGAGAAAGATTAATTATCTCTTCAAGATTTGTAAAGACATGAAGAGACTATTAAAATGTCCTAATGAATCTTTTATTAGTCTATTATTAAATTCAATTAAATGGATTAAATATACAAAATTTTTCTGTGACTCATACTTTTCGTTTGATAAATATCTAGAGACAAAGGGTTAATAATCTTTACAAGATTTCCTTTAGGAGATAAGAATCGTTCTTTTTCCAATTGATAGCTGAAATATCCAGTCATTTCTGGAAATAAAAAAAAAAAAAAAAAAAAAAAAAATTTCTCTTGATAAAATTATATCATATCCGTTTATTTTATGTTGATTTCCTTATTTAATAGATAAACACATTCTTCTTCGATGATTTAAAAACCCTGACGAAAACTGGAATCAAAGTTCATGATTAGAGAATAATTTTTTTTTTCTAAATTTAAATTTCTAATATAGTGAAAAATTAAAAAATAAATTGTAAAATTTATAATTACAAAAAAATTAATTAAATTTAAAAAAAATATTTTTTTACAAAATTAAAAAATCAGACATAAAATTTTTCAAAAGATTTTAATTTTTGAAAAAAAATAGTTGAAATATTTATTTTTTGTATCGAATTTTTGTTCAATTTAACAAAAATTTATTAAATTATTATTTATTTGTTTATCAAATAATTAATTATTGTATGGAAAATTTGAAGATAGAACTCATTTTTTTTTTAAAGAATTGATTATAATCGATGCGACAAAGAAATTTATTATTATCATATATAAGGTGGAGCTAAAAATTTTCCTGAGTTTTGATCTGTCAATCGTGGAAAGTACCGAGACCACTCAATCAGAAAATTATTGACGTAAGGTTTTTCAAGTTTGTTCTTCAATTTGTATCAAGCTTCAAATGCAAAGTAAATGTGTTTGCATTTCTCTTTTTAGAATACTGATTGGCACGAATATTTTTTTTTTTTGCTAATAATTGACCAATACAAAAATAGAAACGATATCAACAAATGGAATTTTTTTTTCTCTGAATGGAAAAAGGAAAATAATTTTTAAAAAAACCCAAAAAAACTAATTAAATTCTTTTACTTTCAAATGGAATATAATTACTTTCTCAATATTAAAAAAATGATTGGATTACAAGCAGATAAAAGCAAACAAAATTACCGCAAAATTATTATAAAAAACTAAAAATAATTGACCATAAATTTTCTCTAAATAAAACAAATAAATGTAAAATATTTATTCATAATTCCAGCATTTTTTAATAAAAAAAATAAATCCAAGTGTTAATTATTTAAAGCGGAAAGATACATTTCAAGTGAAATACAATATTATTATTTTCTTATCACAAGAAATTTACACACGATTCATTTTGAAATTCATATTTCATTATTATTAAATTGACAATGAAAGTGAAATAAATAAAACTTTAATAATCCAAAGGAGATAAGACATTCTCTTTATTTTAAAATATTAATTAAAAATTTCAATTTTTAAACAATTGTATTTAAATATAACAAGAAAATTAAAAAAATCAATTAAATTTAAAAAATTTTTAATTTAATTCTATCAAAAAATTTTAAATTTTGAAACATTTACTTATTGTTAAATTAAATTATTTTAAAAAAAATTTATTATTAAAAAAATCGATTCTTTTTTCATATTTATTTATAATTATTTTATATTTCACAAATATACCAGCAATCAGCCTTCAATATAATAAAGAAACTGTTTACAAATATAATAATAGGTACAATATTTAATATAGGTAAATGTCTGAACAAAGAAAAACAAATTTTAATCATTAAAATAAATAATATTGCACAAGTAATAAATTTAATTAATTTCAAACTATTTTTACAATTTTCTGAGGAAAATCGCGAAACAAGATTTTTTTTTAAATCAATCAATTTCAAAATAATTAAATTAATAAATATATTGGTTTTATTAGCAAATAAAATTATAAAATTTAAAAATAATTTTACTATAAATTTTAAAAGATCCAATTTTATATAATTTCCAAAAGAAAATATTATAAATAAAAATTTCTTGTCAAATAATAATTATTTATTATTTTGTGTTTTTTTGTTTAAAGTTTAGTAAAAATTTTTTTTTTTTTTATTCAATTTTTTACAAACAAAAACTCAGTTTGTTCTTTAAAAGATTCTCTGCAATTTTGTTTGTTGGTTTATTGTTAAATAATATTTTGTTCAAAAAATATATATAAAAAAACAAAAATTTTATTTGTTTAATAACTTTTGAACAGAACATTGTTCACAAAATTCAATAAACAAAATTTTAGAGAATCTTTGAACGAGTAAAATGAGATATAGTTTGTAAAAATTGGATAAAAAAAAAAAATTTTATTTACAATAATTTTTTTTGAAAATTGAGCAACTAAATCTTCAAAAATTATGATTAAATTAATTTTAACTATAGTTTTATGTTATTAAAAACAATTTTTTAGTTTGAGATTATGTCAATAAGTTGAACATCCATAATTTAATTTTTTTTTTAAATCAATTTGCTTTTGAAAAAATAATATGATCATATTTTTTATGTATAATAATTAAATTAATAATAGTTAAGTTAAAACATAAAACTATAATAAATTTTTTTTTAAATTTGAGCTTCTTAAATTCTAAATTTTCTAATTTATTTTTAAACATATTAAATTCGAAATTACAGAACTCGCTATAAAGCGACTATCACTTCTGGATTATTTATCTTATCAACTTTTCATGGTTTTTAAATAATGTTTTAAATAGATTCGTTGCTAAACTTCTATTTTTTTTTTTTGACAATCTTTATTTTAAAAATTCATTTTTTTAAATTTCTTTCCTTTTTTAGCAAAAATTTCGTTTTTTTATTTTATTTTTTGAAAAAATATCACTTGAATGTTTCTATATATATATATATGTATAAAGAAGCATTGTTAGCCAATTACGGGAATTTTTCTCCAAGGGATAAGCAAGACTCACCCTCACTGGAATCAACTATGAAAATTTGAGGCCATTTGGCTTCTTCTTCTATTGAGATTTTCCATTTTGATGATAAATTTCCCACATTATGTGAATCAGAATATTCTCTATTTTCACTGCAATCATCTAAACTTTTTTTTTTTTTTTTTTTGTTTTTTTTTCTCGATTAGATGAATTAAAAAATGAAACGAATTATGAAAAAAAAATTCATTAGAAAATATTTTATATTTAATAAATTAAAAATAATAAAAATAAAATATTACTAATTAAAAATTAGTTTTGTTAATTTACATTAAAAATATATAGAAAACAATTTTGTTTTTGCGTTTTCTTTTCAGAATTGTTTATACAATTATAAATAAAAATTTACGTAACTTGAGATATATATACATATATAGCAATTTCCAATACTTGAAAGCAATGGTCATTGACATTGACATTGACTTCGCGAATAAAACGTAATCATTTTGTACGTGTGTCTAAATGATTTTACTGTCATATATTATAAATATCTACAGACATCAAATAGGCATATAGAATATAATCAACTTGACAAGTTGCATCTAAAAATTTCATACTGCGTAGATTGAAGTAGCGCATCGATCCATCATACAAGGATACTTTATTATCCTTTTTGCCCTTTAAAAATTACCTATAATAATATTTTCCCATTTTTGTTCAAAATAAAGAAAAATTATAACCTTTTTTTTCATCTCATCTTTGAAATTAATTTTTTTTTTTAAATATATAAAATACAGGCCTCGGATCGACTTTAACGCACAAAAACAAGCCGTTTTAGTTTATTTACATTTCAAATAAAGTCGAAAAAGTCGATTTTTTATTTTAACAAAATTTAATTAGTTAACAAATATTTTACTTTGAATAACTAATGTTATTAGATATTAAATTCATTTTATTAATTCTGTAATGAAAATAATTCTACAATGAATATTATCAAGAAAATTTATTTCGAACACTTTAGAATCGAACTAATTGTAAGACAAATTTTTTGAAGTCTGATTTAAGCAATTTATTTGAATTAAAAATTTTGTCATAGTTTTTAGTTTTGCTGGTCAACAAAAATTCAGAACAATAATTAAGTTTTACAGATTTTTTAAATAAAATTTTTTTTAAAATAATTGAATTACAAAAATTTTTTTTTTTTAATTTTTGAGTTATTATTTGAAACTTTTTAAATAATTGAATTTCTAAATAAATATTAAAATTATTAAAAATAATTGAATTTTGAAAGAGTTAAAATTAAAAATTTTCGAAATAATTGAATTTCAAAAGATTTTGTTAAATTTCAGAAAATAATTAAATTTTACAGAATTGAAAATAATTTATCAAATAATTTTAGATAACAGTTTTTAAAAGTAATTGAATTTTCAAAGATTTACAATTCAGATTTTTGAAAATTATTTTGTTGATGATTTCTGTTACTGAAAAATTTATTAAAAATTGCAGACAAAAAAAAAATTTGAAAATTTTTTAAGTGAAAAATGATTTTATATAATTGAATTTTCGAAAAATATTATAAAAATCATTAAATTTCAGGAGAGTTATAGTTAAAATTATTAAATTTCAGAAAATTTTAGAAATAATTAAATTTTAGAGGTGATTTTGAATTGAAAATTTTTGATTTTATTTCCCGATTTTTTTTGAATTTTGAAAAATTATTATTAAATTTCATAAATTCTTTAATTCGACAAATTTCATTAAAATTATTAAAAAATAATTGAATTTTGGAAGAGTTACAATTGAAATTTTTAGAAATAAAATAATTGAATTTTTGAAAAATAATATAAAATTCATTAAAAAAAATATTTATATTTCGGAAGAGTTATAATTAAAATTTATTAAATTTCCGAAAGTATTTGATGGAAAATTTAAGAAATAATTAAATTTTAGAAGGTGTTAAATTGAAATATTTTAAAATAATTGAATTTCAAGTGATATTGATTTGAAATTTTTGATAATTTCCGTTGCTGATTTCTTTTTTAAATTTCAAAAAATTAGATAGTTGAATTTGTAAAGAATTTCATTAAAATTATTTTTAAAAAAATTAATTTAGTGATGAATTTTAGTTAAAATTTTATTAAATAATTGAAATAAAAAAGATCTGCATTGTATATTAAAAAGAGACTCATTTTATTAAATATTTTGTAAAAAAAAGTCAAAAAGTCGTATCTTATTAAAATAAGTCGAAAAAGTCGTATAATCCGAGGCCTGAAAATATTTTCAATTTTTTTCCGTAGACATAAATTTTGTTTTCGAAAAACAAATTGAAAAAATTTTTTTTTTTGAGACAAAAGGAAATTTAAAAAAATATATATATGAGAAGAAATTTTTTAGATACATAAAAAAAATGTACAACTGTCATTTATAAAAAACGATTTGGATAAATCATTTTCGGTGAATAAAAAAATGTGTTTCAAAATTAGTCGAGAGTGCAGGTGGCTGTGCCCAATAATTTAAACTTTCGAGGAGACCCCTTTGGAAAATAGCCAAAAATTATTGCATAACTTTTTTCATATTGCGTCAATATTTTCTTTAAAAGCGTGAATCAAAAATTGTCACATGGTGACATGTAAAACTTGTTGAAATTTTATGATTGCATTACCTACATCTATTCTTTGAAATCAATTCAAATATTTTGAAAATTTGACTTTCCTCTAATTTTTTGAATTTTTATTTATTTAAAATGCATATTTTGCTAATCGTTTTTTTAAAGTTTGAAAAACTTCAATAAAATTATCAAAAAAAAAAAAAAAAGAAATATATATTTGTGACAACTTTTGTGATTTTTTTTCGTTTAAATATATATATGCAAAATTCAAAGGCAAATTTTCCTCATAAATTTTGTTAGAAATATTTTTTTCTTGTCACCAGACAAGCCAGGTCGACGTATCTTGTCAAATTTATATTTGGCAACAATCCGAGCAAGTATAATTTACAACGGAATAGTTGTTACGAATAAACCACGCAATGACATTAAATAATTTGTTAATTTATCTCCACTAAATTCTAATCGCAAAAAGTCATTGTGTGAAAAAAAATCGTTTCCAATTAAAAACAATTATTTTCAAATTTAATTAAATGATTATTATTATTATTATTATTTTATGTAATGAATAAAAATGAAAAACCAATGAAATTTAATAAACTGATGTAGTTAATAATAAATTGTTTTAAAACTCGTTAAATTGAATTCAGTTTTTTTTTTTTTGTTTAAAAAGAAATCCGATAACAATATTGAAATAGGAGATTCTTTCTTTCGTTCAAATCGAAATGATACCGAATCGTTATCATTTCGATTCTACTGATGTGAAACATGCAACTCGTAGTGAAATTAGAAACCAAAAAGTATTTAAAAAAATAAATAAAAGTATTATAATATAAAAACAGTCACTGACCGTAATTGATAATTTGTAAAAAGACTTAAACAAACTGTATAAAGAAGCCAACCGAAAGAGGTTCATTCCATCATATCGGAAACCTACATTGTGCTCGTACTCAAGGCCGCGAACGTATTACATTAGATTCACATGTTTTCAATTAATTACATAATTTTTATCTGACGAAAATTAGCCCCCAAAATATGTAATAATTCTCATTTTCATTCAATAGAATAATTATTTAAATCATCATAATTATCAAACTATATTGCTTTAGAGAAAATATTTTATAAAATATTTCACAAATTTTTCAAAATCAATTAATTAAATTTGATAATTATTCAAAAAAAAAAAAAAAAAAATTATTTCCCGGATCTTTCGAAAGATTCTTTATTGTTAGAATATAACTTTTTCAAGTACCATTTTTTTTTTTTAATTGTCTTGAAATTACACCTTAAGTGTCAGTCAAAATTAATTTATTCATGAAATTAATATAATGATGAAATTTAAATTTAAATAATATTTAAAAGAAATATTTAAATCTAAATATATATATATATATATATATATATATATATATATATATATATATATAGGTAGGAACTTTTTTATCAATCTTTATTGAAGTGGAAAATGTATAAGTACAAAAAAACCTAAGGTCGTTATGGTTTCCCTGCGTAATCTATTTCCGGTGATTGAGAAATGGAGTAGAGAGAAAAAAAATATGTAAAAACATATTCTTAAACAACTTGAAGAAAAAAAAAGAATAAAAGAAAAATTTTTTTTTGACAAAAAAAAACTTATTTTTTCAAGGAGATGAGAGAGACGTTATACGACATTGGTTGGAAAATAAAAATATAATTGAGCGCTTAGCCGGTTCGTCTGGAGGTGAAGGTTCACAGAACCGGAAATATTACATTTGTTATACTGTCACAATGCTTTATGTTAATAACAATAAATTATTTTCTTTCAACATTGTAGCAGGTAATTAATTCAATTTTTTACCTATAGAAAATATTTATTTTCATAATTTAACTAATTTAAAAAATTTTTAATTTTTTTTATTTTAAAATAAATTTTTTTTTCAAAAATAAACATTAACTTTATTATTTCAATTAAAAATATTTTTTTAAAAATCTAATCCCTTGTAGAATCTTGTTCATAAAATGAATTAATCTTTTTAACAATTAAATATTGTGAAATTTATCTTTATTTTTCGTCTTTATCTTATAACTAAGTCTCTGATATAAAAACAAATAAAAAATTATGCAATTAAAAAAAAAAAAAAAAAATTCATAAACTCTCAAGAATTCCAAAAATAGGAAATCTTTTCTTAAAAAGATTACGCTACACTAAAAAAAATTTTATTTGGATCATATAAAAAGTATTTGATCCAAATACATCATTTACTTGTCTATTATCCAATAAATATGTATTTGAACCAAATACACATTTACTATAAACCTAAGTATTTTATTCTATCGTATCAAATAAATAGTTATTTGAATCAAATACAAAAGTATTCAAATCAAATAAATGGAATATTCAAAGCTAATAAATAATTATTTGAATCAATTATGAAAATTATTTCATTCAATACTGCATGTTTTTTTATTCAAATAAATATTTATTTGCATTAATAATATATTTTTCTTGAAACAACTAAAAATTTTCTTGAATCAAATATTCGATTATTTATCATAAGTAATTGTTTTAATTGAAATTAAAACCTCTTTAATTGCGGCAATTATTATTTTATTTGAATAAAATGTAAGAATTTTTAAATTCAAATAAATCAAACTTTGTATTGAATAAATAACACATTTATTTACTAATTCTTCCATTTCTAAATTAAATTCTTACTCAAATAAATAAATTAGAAAATATGTAATTACTGCATACTATGATCGGATATTTTCATTTTTCAACTAATTAATACATAGAATTAATGATTAATAAAATAGTGTATTAACATTAAATAACGCATTATTTATATTAAATAATTTAGTTGATTAATATAAATAAAATAAATTTATTGTATCAAATACTTTTTATTTGTATCAAATAAACGAAATATTTGATTGAAATAAATGAATGAATAGTTTCATGTAAATCATTATTTGTATTAAATAAATTCATTTATTCAATTCAATTAATTATTTAATTGAACCAAATACGATTTATTTGGTTCAAATAAATGCGATTCAAATAATTCAAGTTATTTGAATCAAATATATATTTTTTTAATCTAAATAAAAAGTATTTGAAACCAATTAAATATTTTTCAAATAATTTGAAGTATTTGAATCAAATAAATTTTTTTTCAGTGTATATAGATAGAGAGAGAGGGAAAAAACTGTTGCTAACGTGAGAAATTTAATGAATAACAAAAAAAAACACCTTTTATTATGAAAAAATGAATATTTTTATCCAAAAGAGGAAAATTAAATTAAAAATGATGTCAGAATTAATATTAATAATATATAATAAAATATGTTGACTCACCCTCTTCTGCGTTCAGGTCTGAAAATTTGATACCGCCACTGAAATTGAAAAAAAAGCAGAGGGGGATGAGATTAATGCTTGAGAAAATATTTTTCCGAAATGTGTTCCTTTTTAGAAAAAAGAGAGAAAAAAAATAAACTTTAACTTTAAAATAAATTAAAATATAAAACAAATTGTGACTCGTAGAAAGAGGAAGAAAAAATTTCTTCAATTTTCAAGAGTTCTTTATTATTTTTATATTTTTATATATATGTATATATAAAGGAGTTACTTTTATGAAACGAATATATAGGTATATATGATTCTCGTTTAGCTATTTTTATCAGACACTCATTCATTTTAATTTGCAGTGTATTCTCAACAATGTCAAAACTTTTTACTCTCTCTTTCTCTATTAAAGTCACAATCTGAATTTTCATGAATTTAAAATTACTTATTCTGAAAAAAACAAGAATTTATTCGAAAATCTTAAATTTTCCGCTTTTTTAAATAATAACAATAATAATCCCAACCCAGTTATATAGTCATTTCAGATGAAAAAAAAACAATTAAATTTTTAATTATTTTATAACATGATTCTTAAGTCTAAATTAATTTTTTTTAAATTCTTCAGTTTAAAAAAATGATTACTTAAAAATTAATTTAAAAAAAAAAGAAATTTTTTTTTCCAAAAATTTTTTCCCAGAAATTAAATATCGAATAATATAAAAAATTTTTTTTTTATATTTAATTTTTTAATTCACTGCAAAGCAAACAGAATATATTTTTTTAAAAAACATTATAATCGAAATTTTCAAATTGTCATATAAAATTCAAATTTGTTCTTATAATAATAATTTAAAAAAAACAGCAAAATTATCTACACAAAATGTAATTAGTTTTTTCTAATTAAAAGTAAAATCGTTTTATCAGACGAAATTTAAATTTAAAATTAAAAATTAATTAAATTAAATTTTTAGAGTTAATTAAATTTAAGAATGCAAAAATTTGCTAATATTTAAATTATAATAATGTATCCGTATAGAATTGGAACTTTTTTTAAGTTTTTGCATTAATGAGAAATAATTTTTTAATTTTTCGAGTGTTCAAGAAAAAAAGGCACTCTTTGAGAAAGATAAAAATGAGAGATATATCATTTTTTTTTTTTTTTTTTTGTCTTTTGTTTTGATTTCGTCAAAAGTGACGTAATTTAAAGAACAACACAGCAAATGGGCAAATGCAAAATGTCGAGTCTAAGAAATGAGAAATTTGTTAGCGTGATAGTGTCATACCTGAGCAGCACGGTCGCTGTCTCGGGAACACGGAATACCTGAAAAATAAGACAACCACCACTCTATCGAATCCACAACGAAGAGATAATAATCGCAAAAAAACACTTTTCTCACATCTTTTCTTTTTTTTTGTTTCTTTTTTGCAATTATTTTCAGACGAAATTGAAATTTAAACACACTTAGAAAAAATTTCCACGTTTAATTATTATTAAAAATAATAATAATAATTAATATAAAATTATTTATATAATTAAATATTAAATTATTATTTTCAATTAACAAAATATTCTTATCGAACCATTAGAGTTGGATGAAATGAGAATTGTTTTAAATTTAATTTTTAAAAAATGAAATTGACTGTAATTAAAAATACCTACATTGTAGGATAATTAGTACAAAAAATACATTTTTTTTAAATATAGTCATAAAGATTAAAAAAACAACTGATAAAAATCAGCTATTAGAGTAATTGTATTTTAATACATTTTTTTTTTGTTCAACAAATTGAATTGTTTTTGTATTTTAATTAGAAAATCCGATTCTTTTTTCTAAGTGTGTTATATCCTTCATTTGAAAAAAACCAACGTCGTTTCATTTCACGTTTGCCAAGAGAAAGAATTTTAGAATGTATAGGAAACTCAATGAGTCATTTATGAATTTATAGTTTGAATTTTTTAAGGGGAGGGAAAAGCACTTTAGATCATTTTTCCAAGTGCAAATATAATTGAAGCCTTCATTTTACTTTTAAAATTTCCTTTGTGTATGTATAATGGAAATTTACAACAAAAATTGAAAATATAAAAATATATATTTTTCAAATATTTATTTTTAAAATATTAAATTTTCTTTTGAAAATAAAATATATACTTTTTTAAATTAAGATTTTTTTAAAAAATATTTTTCAAACATTACTTTATATATTAATTTAAATTAATATTTTATACAATAATGTTTGTTTAAATATAATATTTAATTTTTTACGTTTAATTTGAGAAATTTTTTTTTACTGTAAATTCTGATTTTTGTTAAATTTTAACTGACAATGATTTCTGGACTTGAATTTAAAAAAAAAAAATCATTTAGCAAAATTCAAGGTCAATGTTAAAAAAAAAATACTTTGGCGGGAAATTCTAAAGATAGACAAAATATTGTATTTGAAAAATTCAATGATAATCAATGATTTTCAACATTAATTTAAAAATTTTGTTTTTTAGAAAAAAATTATATATTTAAAAAATGCCCACCTTCCATCCCATATTTTCAAAGAAGGTACAGAGCCGAGTTTGTCCAGTAGTTTTTCCTCCACATGGTCCTAAAAAAAAAATTTTTATTTTTTTTTATTTTTTTCCATTTTTTAACACTAACTGCAAAAATTATCAATCTTATATATATATATATATGCTAAAGGATAATAAAAGTCAAATTCATTTATCAAATCGATAAGAGATTAAAAATTCAAGGATTAATCAAGATTTATACCCCCTGTTAATTATTATTATAGCAATCAAATTTGTTTGCATTTCTTCTTGTGACTTATAAAAGTATAATAATAGAAATCAATAAAGTTAACATATAATTTCCTGTCAAAATTCTCTACCCCTCCCCCCACCCACGGGAAAATTTCGCCAGATTCTCGTTTAAATTTGCTAAAAATAAATTTTATTTTTTCTGATTTTATCTTTTAATAAAATGATAAAATTAGAAATAGTTTAATTAGAAAAGAAGAGTTTATCTCTTTTAATCACAAAATCAAAAAGAAATAAAAAAAACGAGCTATAAAAATTGAAAAGGGCGGCTAGTGATTTACCCTTGACACAAATACTATATATATGTATATATATATATATAAAAATGTATGATGAAACAAAAATAAAATGACATTTTTTTTTTACATTTCCGTTATATTTTTTAATAAAAAATTTCTCATAAAAAAGTGAAATATAATTCAATAATAAAAACAGATGATATGATATAATCGAGAAATGGCAGTGAAAAATTATTCGGAGAACACGTGGTCTGAAAATACTCGGCTGCTATGTTAATATGACCACGTAGTCACGTACAACCACTGTTTTCTAGACATATTTTAATCTTTTAAAATATTTTACGTCTCGTTTAATAAAATACTTATTTTTTTTTCGCAAATACATTGTTGTCATTAATGAAAATTGATAAATTATTAATTATTAGATTACAAACCTCCTGTTAAAACGAGTTTGTATAAGCGTTTCTGCTCCATTTTGTCTGTGTCTTTTTGAAGGGGTTTTTCGATGGTTCACACCAGACAACTTTTTTTTTTTTTGGCAAGTCAGCTGATCTTGACAAGTTTTGACACTCGACTTGGACGTGCGATTTTAAGTTAATACTACATAAACACTTCACCTAATGTGACATAATGTTTTATCGAGACGTGCTTCGAATTCATTGATGATGATAAGTTAAGATGAATGTTGAAGATATACGCTAAAGTAGCGTCACCACAAAAAAAATAAACTACTAAACTGTACGACAGCAAACGCAACAATGCCTTCCGTATTTTGTCTTCGGCTTTTATTCGGCCTTTTCACCCCGAAACTTAACGAAAGCTTACGAAAATTATCGAGCGCCATAATTCAATGTTGATTGGTGGATAAGGATAAAAATTTACTTGTAATTTCTCAAAAAATTTTTATTAATATAGTATGAAATTATTTTTAAATTGTTAATAATTAATTATTATTCAAATGCATATAGTGTTTATGATACAATTAATAATTTTATAAAAAATCATATTTTCCGTTCCTTGAAGTTAGTCAATAGTCATTTAATCACATTCTCTATTTTTCTTATTATTTTAAATGTATTTTTTTAATAATGAATAATTTATTGACAGTCTAAATATGATGTTTAATTTAACAAAACGATAAAATATTTTTCTGTATTTTAAAAAAAAATGAATTTTTATTAATTACATTCAAATTTCCCTCTACAATAATCACGTGTCGTCTGCTTTATTTCCGCAAAGAAAGATATCTTCACGTCGGTGCTGTAAAGAATGAAAGTGAAATAAAATATTGTTATAAAAAACTATATATATTTATTGTGAAAATTGATTATTGATAACTTAAAGAAACAATGAATTGTTAAAATATTTTCTTATCTAGATCCTGGGTAATGTTGTATTTATGAATATTGTCCGCATTTTAATTTCAAGATTAGAAATTTTATCACCATCGAGTGATAGGTTATTTGTTATTTAGAAATTGTTCAATTACTTGCATGTTTTTTTTTATAGTTTTTTAGAGTTGAGTATTTTTTTTATTATATGTCAATGGAATTTACGTGTTTTTTAAACTTGCTCTGAATGTTATCTGCTTTTTGAATGGGACAAACGATATTTCAAATTCTTTTATAATAGATTATTTCTTATTACAAATAATTATCAATTGATAATTAATTTTTTTTATATTGTATTTATATGTATCATTAATTTCATAATTATCAATATATAATTTTCTAATGAAATGCTTTATTTTACTGTTTTTTTAAAAAATAATTTATTTAAGCTTAATTGTGTCATTAAAAATTTGTATTTTATTAATTTATTTAGTTTGTTTAGCAGCAATTATTAATTATAATTAGTTTAATATTTATCATTATTTTATTAATTTATCAAAGTTGTCAACGACCTGAAAAACCTAGAAATGTCAGCGAATTTTGTTCTGGAAAGTTAATTTTCTATATTTGAATCTCGCAAATCTCAAATTTCCAAGTTGATATTACGACTTTCCTAAACAAAAAAAAAAAAATTTGAATTCCTTTCATTTTTTCTACTTTTTTCGTCTAATTAAAAACAACTATTAACTGTAATTATTAACTAATAACTCAAGTAATTTAAATCAAATTACGAAAAAGTAAAAATGAGTATATTTTTTGTTTAATTTAGAATCAAAAAAAAAAAAAAAATTGTTGCAATCAAATCTAAAATTTGAATGAAAATAATCCAAAAAATATCCAATAAATTATTTTTAGAATTTAATTGACATATTTTGTAATTTTTGTCGTAACTAACTAAAAATTTATCAAACAAATTTGAGTCTAGAATTTTTTTTAAAAAATAGTCTGAAAAAGCTGGAAAAGTTATGGAATTTTTAAAAATTTTAATTTTTTTTCTTATTATTTTAATTTTTTAATTTTTATATTTTATACTTGCAGGTTTCACAATGCAAAATGATTGTCCCAAGACGAATAATAGCGATTGCTGTAGGAAGTGGCTTCAAAAATTATAATACAATACAATATAGAACAATAAGCGTTTTTTCAAATCGCACCCGAAACAATGATTTTATCATTATCAATAAAACTCAACATCGATATTATAAAAATTTTGGTCATAAGCCAAAACCTGCCAGTTCATTATTCATAGTTTACAGTACTTTTCTTTTATCAGGAATGCTATTTTGTTGTACACATTATTTTTGGTAATTATTAGAAATTTATGTAATTAGATTTCCACATTTCTGAATTTTAAACAAAAAATTGAACGAAAAATAATACAGATATATTATTAAAATTATAGTCCTTTAATTGTATAATATAAATTTAGTAACAATTTATTTTTTTTTTTAGGATGAATTTATATGATAAAACAAAGGAAAAAATTGCTGGACTATTTCCAAGAGCCGAAGCTGCTGAATTATTAAATGAAAATCAAGAAGAAAATGATACAGACGTGGAACATGTCGAACATGAAGAGCACAAAAAGAAAAAGAAGAAGCACAAAGTTGGATTTCGTGATAGAAAGGTGTGATTTTGTTATTATTTTCTTCTCATCTGTATCAATTTTTTGTTCAATGTTTTCGACAAATATTGTTTTTTGTTTTTCAAAAAAAATTTATTTTATCATTATTTATAGTTTATGAAAAAAAAAATATATTGTTTCAAAATATTTACTAAAATGAGAAGTATTTTAAAAATAACAATTAAATAATAAAATTGAAAATAACATTGAAAAAAAGTTAATTATTAAATTTTACTTATAAAAAAAAAAAAAATTTTTTGTATGAAACGTTTTTACAGAATAATGATAATAATATTACGTTACGTTAAATGAAATTTTTAAGCATTCTTGCAGATAATTGAGTATGAAAATAGGATGAGAGCGTATTCGACCCCAGATAAAATTTTTCGATATTTTGCCACTGTCAGAGTAACTAGCTTGGAAGGCATTGAAATTTACATGACGCCTGATGATTTCTTAAGAGCAATCACACCTGGCATGAAGCAGCCAGATGGTAAAATTTTCCTACATTTCATTTAGAAAAAGAAAAAAGAACGAAAAAAAAAAAACATTTAGAAAAATGGTATTTCTAACATTGCTTCTATTAATCCTTAACCAGTAAATTTTTGCAATCATCTCGAAAAATCAAAAATTTTAAATGATTTAATATTTCTCATAAAACCTTGTAATATTTGAATTTTCTTCACGCTTTGTAATCAGTGGATTTTTAACAAAATGCTTCTAAGAATTTCTTCTTTTCAGCAAAACTTTCGCTTTCCCTGGTTGAATTCTACAAATTAAATAAATTGTTTTTTTTTAATTTAATTTTTAATAATTTTTTATGTTAGGATTAAAATCTATTTTATTTTTAATTAAATAATCAAAATTGTAATTTATTTTTTTTTGTAAAATTATTAAAATTATTAATTTTTAAAATATATTTTTTATTAGAAGGATTTAATTTATTTATTTTTATTAAAATTTAAGAAAAAATTTTTAATTTTTACTATTCTGAGGAAAATTTCTCGTTTTTTTTATTTTTTTTTTTTTTGAACAATTTAGAAACTCTTGGGGTCCTTTACTCTCCGATAAAGAAAGATTGTGTGCTGTGAATGTGATAAAATTGATTGAAATGCATGAGTGGAAATAAAAATTAAATAAAGAAATCAACAGTTAATGAAACTTTTTAATGTTATTAAAATAAAAATAATAAAATTGTATTTAAATAATGAATAATATAATTTTAAAAAAATTGCTTAAATAATATCATAATTTGAATTGTGTGGAACAGATAATCGAATATGAAAATCGAATAAGACACTATTCGACGCCAGACAAAGTGTTTCGTTACTTTGCAACACTTCAAGTCACAAATCCAACCAACGATGTACATGAAATTTTTATGACACCAGACGATTTTTTACGGTCTTTAACGCCTGGTGTTAAGCAACCTGACGGTACGAATTTTCCAAAATTTTCTCTATAAATTTTTTTTTTTTTTTCTTTAATTTTAGTCTCTTAAAAAAAAAATCGCCAAATTATTTTTTTTCCGATTCATTGACTGTTTCTGTCGTTTGCTTTGCATTGAACTCAAGTGTGTAATCTTGTGCTTCTTCGCTTTCATTGCATGTGTCATTATATTATTATTATTATTATTATTAGCGATAGAGAATGAATTTTTTGGTGTTGTACTTTAGAAAAAAAAATTGAAGAAAAAAAGGTCCAATTTTTTTAATTTTTCTGTGTAAAAAAACAAATATATTCATTTAATAGACAAAAAAAAATTTTTAATTGATTTTCAAATTTTTTAATGTAGTAAAATATTGAATGAAAAAATTAAAGAATACAAAATGAAAGGACGTTTAATTTTTGCAGGTCTTGGTTTAGATCAGTATAAAAGATACGATCCAAGGGTAAGTTATTCGTGTAATTTTGTTTTATTATTAAAATATTATATTAAATAATTACCGAATTAAAGTCAATTTAATTTTAAAATTTCATTAATTTTTTTTAATTTTATAAAATTAACAATTGAGTCAATTCATTATATTTTGAGATTCAATTCACAACCAACTAATTTTCAAAAAAAAAATTTGACTTTTGTTCAGCCAGTAGAAAATATAAAAAAAAAAAAAAAAAAAAAATTGTAAAACAATTTGGAATTTATTTTTAAACTATTAAACAACAAAATATCAATTTTATTTAAAAATTTTTTTTTTTATTTTCCAAGAAGAAAGAAAAAAAAATGCAAAGAACATCTAAAAGTTTATCTCAAGTTTTTATTTAATTTTACTTTCTCGTAATTTGTGGATAAAAAATTGCCACATTAAATTATTTTACAGGTGAACTTTAAAATCTTATTTTATATATTATTTCATATTTTAAAATATTTCGATTAAAAACAAAAAACCGAGTTTGTTGCTATTATCAATATTTCAATGAATATGAATATTCCACAAAAATTTTAGCAAATAATTTGCGAGAAAATCTGCAAAAAATATTTACATGTGATGATAATAATAATTTCAACAATTCTTTTTATACTTTTGTAATAAATTGTATAATTTTTTGAATATTTTCTACTAACTGAACAACTATCAGTTTTTAGCACCTCATAAATTGTAAATTCATATTTTACAGTAAATATCAAATTTACCAATAAAATTCTTATTTCGTGATAATGATACCTTAATAAAATCATTCCTGCAAAATATTATTAATTTTTTTAAATTTATCGGCGAGATTTTTAGTCGAAATACATAAATTAGATAAATTGTCTTTTTTTCATATTCAACAGAATATTCAGAATCAGTTGGGATTGACATTAGATGAAAACAGCTTTTTTTATCGACTAGGCAGTTATGGTTTGATTACATTCTCGGATTACATTTTTTTACTCACGGTTTTGTCAAGTAAGTAGAATTTTTTGCCAAGAAAAATATTATCATTATGTTATCAATTCATGAGAAAGAATTTTTTTTTCTCTCTATTTTGTCTAATTAAATATTACTTTAGCATCAAGACGACACTTTGAAATTGCATTTAGAATGTTTGACTTTAATGGCGATGGGGACGTCGATTGCGATGAATTTAATAAAGTTGCAACTTTAATTCGACAACAGAGCAGTATTGGAAATCGTCATCGCGATCATGCCAACACTGGAAATACTTTTAAAGTAAATAATTAGAGTTAAATTTAAATTTGAAATGAATTATTAATTTAATTTCAATTAGTAATCCAATAAAAATTAATTTGAATTGAAAATTACGTAATAATTGACAATTAATGAGAAATTTAGGTAAAATTTTGAACTTAATTTTTGAAATATATAAATATTGAAAAAAATACCTATATTTTTAAAAAATACTTTTGATTAAGATTTTTTAGTTTTAAATTTTTCTTTGTTGCAAGTTTGTTTTACAATTTTTATTTTTAGTATCAAATCATTTTATTCTTTCCTAATTATTATTTTGTATATGTATAGTTTTTTATTATTATATTATTCATTATAAATATGTATTTTTTTAAAAACAGGGCGTAAACTCGGCATTAACAACTTATTTCTTTGGATCAAAAATGAATCAAAAATTGACCATTGAGAAATTTTTAGATTTTCAACAACAATTGCAGACGGAAATTTTAAATCTTGAGGTATTGATTTCTTGATAAAATTACGTTAATTTATCAAAACTAATTCTTGAGAACGAAAAAAAAATATATTTTTTTATTTGTTACTCCAGTTTGAACGCAGGAATCCTGATGAAAATGGTAATATAACTGAAGTTGATTTTACGGAATTACTATTGGCCTATGCTGGTTATCCTGAGAAGAAGAAAACTAAAATGTTGAAACGAGTAAAAAAAACGTAAGTTTAATTTAAATTAAATACCTTAAAAAAAACTATTTTTTAATAACTTAAAAATTAAAACAAAAATTTTATTTTTAAATTTCCAACTAGTTTGTATTTTACAAAAAAACAAAACTACAATTTAATTATTTTTTATATAATAAATGCAATCGTGTAATTATTATTTATTTTCGTTATTTTATTATTATTTATTTTTCGTGTATTAATTATTTAAAACCTAAATGAAAAAGAATAGTAAAAAAAAATATTGAATTTTAAATTAAATTTAAATAATTGATCATTAAATAGGATTTATAAATAAATTCAATATTTTTATTAATTTCATTAATTTATAAAATAAATATTTTCAAATAATTGAAAATTAATTTCTTTCTTTTTCTTTATCAAGTTTCAGAGAATGTCCGAAAGGTATCAACAAAGACGAATATTTAAAGTTTTTCCATTTTTTGAATAATATTAATGATGTTGATACGGCTCTTACATTTTATCACATCGCTGGAGCTTCAATTGATCAAGGTAATTACTTTTGATTAAACATTTATTAATTGATTAAATGAAATCTCAAAATTATATCCTTTATTCTATTTATTTAATTTTTTAACACTTTTTTTTTTATTATTTATTCTACATAAGTTCTTGCCTTCCAGCACATTTCTTTCATGTAACTCAATTTTAAAAAAAGTAAATAGCAAATATAGTAAATTTTATATTATTTATTTTATAAGTTAAAAAATTTTGTTGAACTTTTATTTTTTTTTAATAAATTGATATATCTGACTAATAAAATAAAAAATATATTTTTGTTTATAATATGGAAAATATTTATTTTCAGCTACTTTGAAACATGTCGCAAAAACTGTGGCTCATGTAGATTTGAGCGATCACGTTATTCAAGTAGTTTACACCATTTTCGATGAAAATAGTAAGTATTTTATATTCTAATGATAAAAAAAGAAGAATAAAAAAATTAATAAATTATAAATATATTTCTTTTTTAAAAAGTAATGCCTAAAATTTCATAATTTTTATAAATAAATCATTTTTAAATTTATTTAATTTTAACATGAATATTTATCTAATTTTTTCTCCAATTGGTAAATTTTATTATTTTATGATAAATGTGAAAAATTTATTTATTCATTTTGCTTATTTATTCAGAAAAAGAACAATTTTTTCTTTTATTATTTTAGCTTTCTCAAAAAATAAGTAAAAAATTATCTATCAAATTTTTGTAATAATAATATTGATTTTTACTGATTTTTGCACATTTTTCAGTGGATGGACAACTGAGCAATCGAGAATTTGTGGCTGTGATGAAAAATCGAGTACTTCGTGGCTTGGAAAAACCAAAAGATACTGGCTTTATAAAATTAGTCCAATCAGTGATGAAATGTGCGAAAAATAGTTACTACAGTCCTTTTGAAAGATAATAATATTATATTTAGCGATTTGTAACATAGTTCGCGAATCAACGTTGTTTTTAATTAATAAATTTTTATCATAGGGTTGCTACAAGTTTTCTCGATTAAAATTTCATTAATTTTCCAGGTATTCCAGGACTTAATATGATTTTTTTTTTAAACTACATAAAACAATGATTTATATAAAAATAGTTATTCAATATAAAAATTTTATTAAAAGACGGTAAATATTTTTTAAAAATTAATTTACTTTTATTATTCTTAGGCTATAGGTAAAAACAATAAATAATAACAATTAATTAATTTTAAGTTTTTATCATACTGAGAAGCTTTTTGATTTGTGCGCTTCTTTTTCTTTTCACACTTTGACCGTTTTGTCAAAATATTTAATGAATTTTATGATTTTATTGTTTTCCAGGTGTTTTGTACTTTTTTCCTGACTTTTTAAGATTTTCCATGTTTTTAGAAAGCGTAGCAACCCTGTTTATTACTTCAAACACAGTTTTCTTGATTTAAAAAAAAAATCGTTATTTTTCAATTTTTGTGAAGGGAAAAAAATTACGTTACCATTATAATAGTGAAATTTACAACTTTTACAATTAATAATCAGCAAATAATATTATCTATACTATTAACGGTGAAATTTGCCTGTACAGTTAGTTTTCCGTCTCTTTTTTTTTACTTAATAAAAAAAAAAGTATACATATTCGAGACTTTTGTTTGTCATACATTCACTTGCACGTATATATATATTCACTTTCTCGACTTTGTGATTAATAGAGTAGATCCCGTAAAATGTTTGCGCTTCATTGAATAGACAACTGGCCGCATTAATTTTAGTGTGAAATTATACTTGATTCAAGAAACAACTGTGATGGATTATTAAAATTTATAACAGTAAACTAAATTAGTAAAATTAGTGAACTAAAAATTTATATTAAAATATTTATGTTTGTAATTAATATTTTTTTTTAATTCAAATAAATTACAATTCAATATTTTAAACTAATTAATTGTGAATTGATAAAAATCACAAAATTGTAAACTACAGCACAAAAAATATTATAATTAAAAATAAAATTGTAATGAATTTATAAATTATATTATTTAAAATATAATTCAAAAAGTAAATTTTCCAAACACTTTGAATAAAATTTGAGAAATGTCTTTGACATTCTTTTTGTGTATAATTATCGTTGATATAATTTCAAATGTTATCTGTGCTCCTATTATAATTAATGACAATTCAGAAAATGGTAAGATTAAATTTAAAAAGATATATAAATATATATTTAATTTTATTTATCCTCAACTAAACAATATTTTTGATAATTTTGATTAAAAAAGAATTTTACGTATTTTTTTCTAAAAATTGATATAAAATTAATTAAAATTATTTTCTGTTTTTTATTTAATTTAAAATATAAATATTTTATTTTTATGTATAGAATCTTTTGAGGATTTGAGAGACAATTCAAATGAAGATATTTCAGAGACAGAAGTTCCGAGTAGAATTTTATTCAAGAGACAATTTTTCCAGTAAGTTTTTAACTATGATTTTCTGTCAATTTTATATAAGATAAATTGATTATTTATCAGAACTTTTATTCACATAGAAAAAAACAAAATATTTATAAAAATAATCAAAAAAAAACAATTTTTTTTAAATTAAACTTTTCATTAAATATTTAAGCAAATAATTAAAAAAATATAATTTAAATATTATATTTCATACTTTAGGGATATATTCTCTGATCATTTGGCACCTTTATTGTTTCAATTTGGTCATGTTTGTGAAAATCCAACTGAATGGGAGCAGAGATTTGAGCAAAAGGATTTTGAAAATAATCGCCATCAAGGAAAAGTATGATAATAATATAAAGAAATTTTTTTATTTTTTACTTATTTTGTTATAGGTCTTATTTATTTATTTTATTATTTTTGTTACAGGTATTATGGGGAAATGCAAACGGAAATTATGGAGAACATTATTGGGATTTGGCCTCTGGCAAATGATATACGTAAAATATTTTTTTAAAATAATAAAATATGAAATTTTGTACATAAACTTTTTAAATAAGGTGTAAAATTAGAATAATCTTTTAAATATGTTTATTTTGTGAATATTGTTCTTTCTCATTGTGATCAGCAACGAATTACATAATAAATATTTCAAGAAGACTCATTTAAAAAATGAATATTTCACTTTTTAAAAAATTGGAAATTTTGAGTAATTCTATAAATTTCTGGTGAATTACCTTTTACATATCCAATGTACACTCTTGGTCGTAAATGCCTACACTTTTTTGTCCTTTTCTAACTCACATGTTGTCATGGCAACACGTGCGTTAGAAAAGGACAAAAATATGTAGGCATATACGACCAAAAGTGTATACAGAAACCTCTCATTGCCTTTCAGGTTGGTTCTACAATAGGCAAAATCGTATCGTTTTAAGTGCAACTCGTCAAAATTGTTCTTTTTCTATGTGAACATGGAAAATTCATATATAAAACTCATGGAGTAGTATAAAAGCCTAAGCACAATAGAAACGTAACCGGAATCGTAATCGCAATCACAAACGGAAGAATAAGTAAGAGAAGAACAACAATATATGACTATCCTTCTCTAACCCATTCTTCCGTTCACGATTAAGGTACGGTCATACGACTTTTGGAAAAACCATTCTTGTCTTTCTCTCTCCTAAGACAGAGGCATAAGATTGTCTCACTCTGCATTTTCTTACATTTCCCAAAGACGGAAAATGCAGAGTGAGACAAACTTATGCGTCTGTAATAGGAGAGAGAAAGACAAGAATGGTTTTTCCAAAAGTCGTGTGACCGTACCCTTACGATTGCGATTACGGTTACGTTTCTATTCTGCTCAGGCCTTAAAGAGACCGAACAACCATGTTAAATCTGCATTAAAAGTGGACCAAATTTTGATAACTGCTTAAGGTGCTTTTATACCTCAAATTTCGATCAGATGAACATTATTTCTGGACCGTGAAAATGCGTGAAAAGTCATTTTCACGGCGGGTATTTTTGAATTGTTTTTAAAAAAAAATGTTTTTTTAAGAAATATAATGTTAAATAATTGTTTTAATATGTAAGAACAATTTAAAATAGTGATAGAAAGATGATTTGATTGAAAAATTTAGCAAATTTTGCTTTAAAACGTTTCCTGATACAAGAAAGTATAAAATGACGATGTTTGTGAAATGGTTTGTAAAGTACTTCTTCCTTGTGAGTGTCCTTTAGGGTACGGTCACACGACTTTTGGAAAAACCATTCTTGTCTATCTCTCTCCTAAGACAGACGCATAAGTTTGTCTCACTCTGCGTTTTCCGTCTTTGGGAAATGTAAGAAAATGCAGAGTGAGACAATCTTATGTCTCTGTCTTAGGAGAGAGAAAGACAAGAATGGTTTTTCCAAAAGTCGTGTGACCGTACCTTTATACTTAACTGGCATTTCAAAATTTCTAACGCTACTAACTCAACCCTGCGTTCTACTCATGGACTTCCCCAACCTGTTTGAAACTTACAAATAAAAGCAATGCCCTACCTCACCCTGATTTTTTTAATATGTTTGTACCTATGTTGAGCCCCGTGAAGTTGGCACACCAAGTTAAAGGAAAACAGGTTTTCTTGTATGGAATCGATTGGTGGTCGTTTGGTGGTGTTTGGTATTCAGGTTTGGAGGTTTGGTGGTCAAAATTGAAAAAATTATACAGATTTCAAGTTTAGAGTGCCATCTTCACGACAGCACTCCAAAAATTAGTATTTTTTGAAAATTCCTTTTGATATCGTTTGGTGGTCGTTTGGTGGTGTTTGGTAGTCAATTTTGGAGATTTGGTGGTCAAAACTATAAAAGATAAATTATTTCTAAAGCTTTTATAAGAGTGCGTGTTTGTGAATGCGCATAGTCTTCTGGCGCGAAAATTCAAATTGTATTTCTAAACTTATTAATTTTTTTCCTAATTTCATTTGTAAATTTATTTAAAAAATAGTATTTCACAAAATTTTGTATGAATTTCATTAAATATAATCATGTAATAATTAAATATAGTAGTAACAATAAAAAATTTTTGAAATAAGTAGTTTTGGACAAAAAATTTTACATGAGCACTTTAAAAATTGAAATATTTTTTAAACATTCTTTTTGATATCGCATGGCGGTGTTTGGTAGCCATTTCACAAGGTTTGGTAGTTCAATTTATAAAAGATAATTATAATTTTAAAAAATTCATCAAGGTGAATAAAGATGAATGCGCACTATGTCATAGTAGGAAAATTAAAATTGTTAATTACGACGATTCCATTACTCTCTTAATTTCACAAGTAAATTTATTATGAAAACAGTATTTTACAATACTAATCATGAGATTTTTATTTTAAAATTTATTTATATTTTTAATATAGAAACTTTCAAAAAAAATTGATAACCACAATACATACATTAAAAAACAAATTAAAAGTTCTAAAATTATATTTAATTAGGTTTATTGTTAAGAAAAGGGGAAAAAATGTTTGAGATAATAATATTATTTATATGAAAATTTGAATATATCTCTTCACGTTACAAATAAAAGTGAGTAAATTGAGAAAAATTTCGAAAGTATGTTTTAATAATTAACTAATAACTACCAATCCTTCAAAGTTGACTACCGAAAACCACCAAACAACCACTAAGCAGTACCAAAAAGAATTATTTAAAAATTATTATTTTTGGAGTGCTAACTTCACATCAGCACTCCAAAAATTAATATTTTTTGAAAATTCTTTTTGATATCGTTTGGTGGTCGTTTGGTGGTGTTTGGTAGTCAATTTTGGAGGTTTGGTGGTCAAAACTATAAATGATAAATCATTTCTAAAACTTTTATCAGAGAGCGCGTTCACTATTACGTAAGATCAACTGGCGCGAAAATTCAAATTGCATTTCACAATACTTAATTTTTTCCCTAATTCCATTTGTAAATTCATTTGGATTACAGTATTTTACAATTCTGTATATGAATTTCATTTAATATCATATTATAATTAAATATAGTAAGAAAAAATTATCATATATTTTAGGTACTTCAAAAAACGTTTTCCACTTTTCCCCTAATAACTACCAATCCTTCAAAGTTGACTACCAAAAACCACCAAACAACCACTAAGCAGTACCAAAAAGAATTATTTAAAAATTATTATTTTTGGAGTGCTAACTTCACATCAGCACTCCAAAAATTAATATTTTTTGAAAATTCTTTTTGATATCGTTTGGTGGTCGTTTGGTGGTGTTTGGTAGTCAATTTTGGAGGTTTGGTGGTCAAAACTATAAATGATAAATCATTTCTAAAACTTTTATCAGAGAGCGCGTTCACACAGTAAAAACAAAATCTGAAACCGAATGTAAGCTTACTTTAATTTTTAACTTATTTTAAGCAAGAAACTTTATTTAATAATGAAAATTAGCTTAAAATAAGAGTTAGTGGTTCTCTTACTATAAATAAGCTTATAATTCGACTGATTTTTAATTCACTGGTCTTAAGTAAAAAAAAGACGACAGTGACTTTTTAAAAGTCTTTACTTGAGCTGGGTGTCAGTCCGCCGATTCTTAAAGTGGTAGTTGTGACGTCACAGGCAAAACGTCTGTTGTGAAAACGCCATAGCGTACGCGTACAGTGAAGCGTGGTTGAGAAATGATTTTCTCGTGTTTTAATTTTGGTTTTATTCATTTATAATTCACAAGAATGGGTTTTTTTACTGGGTTTTTAATATCGAATATTCCAGCAAAGCACGCATATCTTTCACCTTTGTCTCAGCTATACTATTTAGAAAAAAAGTCGCTAAATATTACCAAAAGTACAAAACTGTGTGGAACTTGTTGGAAGAGCTTAAATTATTCTAAACTGTTAATTCCTAACTTATTATTTTTTAAATTTAGTTTGCAGAATTGAAAATGAAAATGACAAGATTTTTTTAAATATAAAAGTTCCTCGTCATTTTCATTTAAATAATGCAAATTTATAAATTAGAAAAAATTGTTATAAGTAATATAAATATATATATATATATATCAAAATTCTAATATGCTTTTAAGTCATAATTTAGGATTATTATCACACCAGGTTAACGCTGAAAGACAGTCTGTAAGGAAGCTTAATTTCAGCCCTCTTTTAACATAAGACTAAATGATAGTCTAAAACCTAACTGAATTTCAGTTCTTCAACAAGCTTAGAGCTAAATTTCAGCTCGTATGACATCTTACTTATAGTAAGATAAGGGTATTCTTTTTAAACATTTTTTGAGTACTGATTTTCAGTCAATATGATCTACTTCCGTTTACATCTTGAAAAAAGACAACTTATAAGCTTAAAAGAAGATTTTGTTTTTACTGTGCACTATTACGTAAGATCAACTGGCGCGAAAATTCAAATTGCATTTCACAATACTTAATTTTTTCCCTAATTCCATTTGTAAATTCATTTGGATTACAGTATTTTACAATTCTGTATATGAATTTCATTTAATATCATATTATAATTAAATATAGTAAGAAAAAATTATCATATATTTTAGGTACTTCAAAAAACGTTTTCCACTTTTCCCCTAATAACTACCAATCCTTCAAAGTTGACTACCAAAAACCACCAAACAACCACTAAGCAGTACCAAAAAGAATTATTTAAAAATTATTATTTTTGGAGTGCTAACTTCACATCAGCACTCGAAAAATTAATATTTTTTGAAAATTCTTTTTGATATCGTTTGGTGGTCGTTTGGTGGTGTTTGGTAGTCAATTTTGGAGGTTTGGTGGTCAAAACTATAAATGATAAATCATTTCTAAAACTTTTATCAGAGAGCGCGTTCACTATTACGTAAGATCAACTGGCGCGAAAATTCAAATTGCATTTCACAATACTTAATTTTTTCCCTAATTCCATTTGTAAATTCATTTGGATTACAGTATTTTACAATTCTGTATATGAATTTCATTTAATATCATATTATAATTAAATATAGTAAGAAAAAATTATCATATATTTTA